CAACTTTTTACGTTCAAAAAAGTCCCTGACCCTTTCCAAAAATCGCACTAGGTGAAAACACACAGGTGTGAACATGCCCCATAGGAAATCATGTTAAATGGACTGTACTGCGTTTCTGCAGAAAACACTTAGGTGTGAACCTAGGGTTATTTTATCCAAATTGATAAATGTTTGCATTTAGTTCTACTTTAGAACAAGCCAGCACTGAACTCTGTAGCTACAGGTACTGTGCAGCAATCAGTCCTCAAAATACAGGAGCACTGAATTTCTTCTCTAGGCAACTCAGCTCACCCTGTTGCCCCCTCCCAACAGTGACTAAGCAGATCCGCTCACCCTGTTGCCCCCTTCCAGCAGTGACTAAGAAGATCAGCTCACCCTGTTGCCTCCTCCCAGCAGTGACTAAGCAGATCCGCTCACCCTGTTGCCCCCTCCCAGCAGTGACTAAGCAGATCCGCTCACCCTGTTGCCCCCTCCCAGCAGTGACTAGCTCAGCTCACCCTGTTGCCCCCTCCCCGCAGTGACTAGCTCAGCTCACCCTGTTGCCCCTCCCCGCAGTGACTAGCTCAGCTCACCCTGTTGCCCCCTCCCAGCAGTGACTAGCTCAGCTCACCCTGTTGCCCCCTCCCCCCGCAGTGACTAGCTCAGCTCACCCTGTTGCCCCCTCCCCCCGCAGTGACTAGCTCAGCTCACCCTGTTGCCCCTCCCCGCAGTGACTAGCTCAGCTCACCCTGTTGCCCCTCCCCGCAGTGACTAGCTCAGCTCACCCTATTACCCCCTCCCAGCAGTGACTAGCTCAGCTCACCCTATTACCCCCTCCCAGCAGTGACTAGCTCAGCTCACCCTGTTGCCCCCTCCCCGCAGTGACTAGCTCAGCTCACCCTGTTGGCCCTCCCAGCAGTGACTAGCTCAGCTCACCCTGTTGGCCCTCCCAGCAGTGACTAGCTCAGCTCACCCTCTTGCCCCTCCCAGCAGTGACTAGCTCAGCTCACCCTGTTGGCCCTCCCAGCAGTGACTAGCTCAGCTCACCCTGTTGCCCCTCCCAGCAGTGACTAGCTCAGCTCACCCTGTTGCCCCCTCCCAGCAGTGACTAGCTCAGCTCGCCCTGTTGCCCCCTCCCAGCAGTGACTAGCTCAGCTCACCCTGTTGCCCCCTCCCAGCAGTGACTAGCTCAGCTCACCCTGTTGCCCCTCCCAGCAGTGACTAGCTCAGCTCACCCTGTTGCCCCTCCCCGCAGTGACTAGCTCAGCTCACCCTACCCCCCTCCCAGCAGTGACTAGCTCAGCTCACCCTATTACCCCCTCCTCCCAGCAGTGACTAGCTCAGCTCACCCTGTTGCCCCCTCCCCGCAGTGACTAGCTCAGCTCACCCTGTTGGCCCTCCCAGCAGTGACTAGCTCAGCTCACCCTGTTGGCCCTCCCAGCAGTGACTAGCTCAGCTCACCCTGTTGGCCCTCCCAGCAGTGACTAGCTCAGCTCACCCTGTTGCCCCTCCCAGCAGTGACTAGCTCAGCTCACCCTGTTGCCCCTCCCAGTGACTAGCTCAGCTCAGTGACTAGCTCTCAGCTCACCCTGTTGCCCCTCCCAGCAGTGACTAGCTCAGCTCACCCTGTTGCCCCTCCCCAGCAGTGACTAGCTCAGCTCACCCTGTTGCCCCTCCCAGCAGTGACTAGCTCAGCTCACCCTGTTGCCCCTCCCAGTAGTGACTAGCTCAGCTCACCCTGTTGCCCCTCCCAGCAGTGACTAGCTCAGCTCACCCTGTTGCCCCTCCCAGCAGTGACTAGCTCAGCTCACCCTGTTGCCCCCTCCCAGCAGTGACTAGCTCAGCTCACCCTGTTGCCCCTCCCAGCAGTGACTAGCTCAGCTCACCCTGTTGCCCCTCCCAGCAGTGACTAGCTCAGCTCACCCTGTTGCCCCCTCCCAGCAGTGACTAGCACAGCTCACCTTTCTGTTCCTCCTGGAACTTACTCAGCTCACTCTATCCCTCAAGCAGTAACTCAGCAGTTCAGCTCATCCTCACCATACCCTTCTGGGTATTTGTTCTCTTTAATAAAAGGGGGGGGGAGGGGGGTGGATACTTTGGTTAGTTAGCCGAGCAATCAAGGTAGTATATTTGTATTTCTGTATGTCTGGTATGAGTTTGTGTTTGTGGACATAGGCCAAGTACCCGAGTCATTAGCCAATGAACAGTCCAATGAACAGTCCAATGAAGAACAGAAGCCAGAAGAAGGAGAACATGAGGAGGAGGAAGAAACCGAGCAGAAGATTCCAGAGGACTTCTACTACGATTATGAGAGTATCTGTTCCCAGCCGTACATCACCCCGGACTCAGGAATCCCAAGTGGAGTCCTCCAACTCCTGTATCCTTCTGTATTCGGAGAGAAGAGTCTATTCTACTCCGCGGGGGGGTATTCCGAAAGGTTGAATAAAAACCAATGTATAGGGGATCATAGTCTAGAAGCATCACCCCCTGTATATTTCCCTTAGAGAACAGGTAGGATCTGTTGTGCAGGGAGGCATAGGTGGCCCAGGTGGGGTATCTCCTGTATTATTCCTGTAGAGAACAGGTAGGGTCTGTTGTGCAGGGAGGCATAGGTGGCCCAGGTGGGGTATCTCCTGTATTATTCCTGTAGAGAACAGGTAGGTTTGTTGTGCAGGGGAATGTAACGCACATCCTACATTCTTTCTGTAGTGAATAGGTGCGGTCTGTTGTATAGGGGGATGTAGTCCAGGTGGCTCAGTTCCTGAAGTTTTTCCTGTAGAGAACAGGTAGGGTCAGTTGTACAGGAGATGTAGTCCAGGTGGATCCGTTCCTGTAGTCTTCCTGTAGAGAACATATAGGGTCAGTTGTACAGGAGATGTAGTCCAGGTGGATCAGTTCCTGTAGTTTTTCCTGTAGAGAACAGGTAGGGTCTGTTGTACAGGAGATATTGTCCAGGTGGATCAGTTCCTGTAGTCTTCCTGTAGAGAACAGGTAGGGTCTGTTGTACAGGAGATATTGTCCAGGTGGATCAGTTCCTGTAGTCTTCCTGTAGAGAACAGGTAGGGTCTGTTGTACAGGAGATGTAGTCCAGGTGGATCAGTTCCTGTAGTTTTTCCTGTAGAGAACAGGTAGGGTCTGTTGTACAGGAGATATTGTCCAGGTGGATCAGTTCCTGTAGTTTTTCCTGTAGAGAACATATAGGTCAGTTGTACAGGAGATGTAGTCCAGGTGGATCAGTTCCTGTAGTTTTTCCTGTAGAGAACAGGTAGGGTCAGTTGTACAGGAGATGTAGTCCAGGTGGATCAGTTCCTGTAGTCTTCCTGTAGAGAACAGGTAGGGTCTGTTTTACAGGAGATGTAGTCCAGGTGGATCAGTTCCTGTAGTCTTCCTGTAGAGAACAGGTAGGGGTCTGTTGTACAGGAGATGTAGTCCAGGTGGATCAGTTCCTGTAGTTTTTCCTGTAGAGAACAGGTAGGGTCTGTTGTATAGAAGATGTAGTCCAGGTAGATCAGTTCCTGTAGTCTTCCTGTAGAGAACTGTTAGGGTCTGTTGTACAGGACATGTAGTCCAGGTGGATCAGTTCCTGTAGTTTTTCCTGTAGAGAACAGGTAGGGTCTGTTGTATAGGGGATGTAGTCCAGGTGGATCAGTTCCTGTAGTTTTCCTGTACAACTGATCCTATATGTTCTCTACAGGAAACACTACAGGAACGGATCCACCTGGACTATATCCCCTGTACAACAGTCCCAACCTGTTCTCTACAGGGAGACTACAGGAACTGATCCACCTGGACTACATCTTCTGTATAACTGATTATTATTATTATTATACAGTATTTATATAGCGCCAAAGGGTATACTCAGCGCTGTACAGTAGCAAGGGGGACATAACATGAGACAAGACAGAAACAATACAATACACGAGGGGTTCGAGGGCCCTGCTCTTTCGAGCTTACAATCTAGGAGGGAGGGGAAGGTGGTACAGGAGGAGATGGCTGTGGGGGATGGAGTGGCGGGAGGAATGGAGGAGGTTAGTTGTTAGGTGAGGGTGGGATAGGCTTCCCTGAAGAGGTGGGTTTTTCAGGGTGCGCCTGAAGGTGAGGAGGGTACCTCCTCAGATCCTACCAGATCCTACCTGTTCTCTACAGGAAGACTACAGGAACTGATCCACCAGGACTACATCCCATGTACAAGAGATCCTGCCTGTTCTCTACAGGAAGACTACAGGAACTGATCCACCAAGACTACATCCCATGTACAACAGATCCTGCCTGTTCTCTATAGGAAAAACTACAGGAACTGATCCACCAGGACTACATCTTCTGTACAACTGATCCTACAACAGACTCTACCTGTTCTCTGTAGGAAGGTGGATCAGTTCCTGTAGTTTTCCTGTAGAGAACATATAGGATCTGTTGTACAGAAGATGTAGTCCAGGTGGATCAGTTCCTGTAGAGAACATATAGGGTCAGTTGTACAGGAGATGTAGTCCAAGTGGATCAGTTTCCTGTAGTTTTTCCTGTAGAGAACAGGTAGGGTCAGTTGTATAGGAGATGTAGTCCAGGTGGATCAGTTCATGTAGTTTTTCTGTAGAGAACTGGTAGGATCAGTTGTATAGGAGATGTAGTCCTGGTGGATCAGTTCCTGTACTCTTCCTGTAGAGAACTGGTAGGATCAGTTGTACAGAAGATGTAGTCCTGTGGATCAGTTCCTGTACTCTTCCTGTAGAGAACAGGTTGGGACTTTTGTATAGGAGATGTAGTCCAGGTGGATCAGTTCCTGTAGTTTTTCCTGTAGAGAACATATAGGATCAGTTGTACAGAAGATGTAGTCCAGGTGGATCAGTTCCTGTAGTTTTTCCTGTAGAGAACAGGTAACATGTAGTTTTAGGTTCTCATGTACGTACAGGTGGGATCCTCAGGTCCAGTGACTTGTTTCCTCAATATATCTCAGACATTCTTTTGGTTATGACTGCAACAAAAGAGCCAACCTCCATTTACTTGATGACCAGACCCTGCTGTATGCTGCCGGTACAGTGATCATCATCCTCACCCTGAAGACACAGGAGCAGCAATATCTGAGGAGCAGCAGCGGTGGGGGGATCGGAGCTGTCACGGTACGTTTTCTTGGATCCGTTTAATCCAGCAGATATCCAAAGATATTTTACAGGAGACAGACTTTTGATTTAGTTTGGTGATCTGATGAACACACTTACATTATTATCATATAGAATATCCCAGCATCCCTATGGAGCAGACAGTGGTTCGTGGGTCAGTGCTGTCCTTGAGAAATGGCGGCATAGTCCTGCTGATGGGCATTTGGTGTAGGTAACGTAGGTTGGAGCACTGATGATGGATGTGCTGGAACTGAGCCCTTCTATTCAGACGTATGGCAGTGCCATGTCCACAGTGCGGTCAAGACCACCCCTGTTATGTTTGTATCTGCAACCACCCAATATTTTCCAGACTACATGGTGGAAATCGATCTTCAGTAAGCTTTTACCCAGGGTTCGGTTCTGTGAGGATATTGAACATATTATTGTTTAGAACCTGTTGCTTCATTTGCTCATTCTGTCCTCTCTGAGCAGCACTGCTAAGAGAACGGCAAAGTATTTGCACTTAGCCACTGAGAGCTCCCTCCAAGGGCTCATGTATACGGGACGTTTGGAAAACTCTTCTGAACAATGAAAACTGACTGCTGGAAAATGTAGGTCAAAAAAAACGTCAGTTTATGTGCGTTTGCGTTTAGAAGCGTTTTTAACCACTTCCCGTCCGGCCCGTTTATATACAGTGCAGGTGCCTGCCATTTCGGACACAGCAGAACACCAATCGCTGAACGGGACCTCTGTGTGAGATCCTGATCATGTGATCACTGATTGGCCAATCAGTGATCACATGAACAGTAGTACACATGATGTCACTTCTGACATCATTGCTTACTACCTGTGAATGATCACAGAGATCACATGGTACAGGGCTATTCACAACAGCCTTGTACCATGTGACAAGCTGTGACCAATCACAGCTCTCACAGTATTTCTCAATGGCTGCAAGCAGGGGCGGACTGACAACTCATGGGGCCCCCGGGCAATAGGGGATCATGGGGCCTCTGTGTCCTTGCCCTCACTCAAAAAAAGCCTATAAAAGGTACCAGGGGAATTTCATGGGGCCCCCTACTAACCCTAAATCTTCATCACCCCCCACAAGTAGTACAGTGTCACTATTTTTTTTTTTTTTTTTACTAAATAGATAACTGAATACATTTTGGCAAAGATTTATGAAGAAAGATTATTTATTTGTAAAATTTTATAAGAAAACACCTTTTTTTTTTTTTTAATTTTTGGATTTTTAATTTACATAGCAAAAAAAAAAAAATCCCAGTGGTGAATAAATACCACCAAAATAAAGCTTTATCTGTCTCAAAAAAAATGCTAAAAAATTCATATGGGTACAGTGTTGCATGACCGCGCAATTGTCATTCAAAGTGTGACAGCGCTGAAAGCTGAAAATTGGCCTGGGACTGGAAGAGGGGGAAAGTGTCCGGACTGGAAGGGGGGTGAAAGTGTACGGACTGGAAGGGGGGTGAAAGTGTCCGGACTGGAAGGGGGGTGAAAGTGTCCGGACTGGAAGGGGGGTGAAAGTGTCCGGACTGGAAGGGGGGGAAAGTGTCCGGACTGGAAGGGGGGGTGAAAGTGTCCGGACTGGAAGGGGGGAGAAAGTGTCCGGACTGGAAGGGGGGGTGAAAGTGTCCGGACTGGAAGGGGAGAAAGTGTCCGGACTGGAAGGGGGGTAAAAAGTGTCCGGACTGGAAGTGGTTAATGACCCGGTAGCTCTCAGATGTTCCCCAGCGGTGACTGGTATCCGGGTCGGAGTTCTGGATGAAAAAGATGGCGATGTATGCTGATGACCTCATTTTATTCCTAAATGACCCGGGCCCCTCCCTTCTGAAGACCCTGAAGATGATCTCAGAGTTCTCTGCCTACTCGGGGTTACAGGTTAATTGGCAAAATTCCCAAATCCTGCCTATTGACCCTGACGCCAGCAAACAGGCTGACCCTAATATACTTTTGGTATGGGCCAATCAAATTAAATAATTAGGCATTACGATCTCCCCTTCCTCTTCTGATTATTGTGTATTGAATTTGGTCCCCCTGTTAAATACCATGAAAAAATAAATTGAGGGCCTGGGATAGTCTTCCGCTGACATTAATGGGTCGGATTAATATCTTTAAAATGAAATTGTTGCCTGGTTTCCTCTATGTGCTTAGACACTCGCCTGTTTGGATCCCGAAAAAATATTTTCGTTTGGTTAATACCTGCCTCATTTCTTTTTTTTGGGGTTCGAATGACATCTGTCGACTCTGCAGAAACCCTGTCAACAGGGAGTCCTTGCATGCCCTGACCAGGGGGCCGACTGACCATTTGGAAACTCGGGCAGTGCCCGAGGGCCCGGGGTCAGTAGGGGGCCCCATGAGATGCCCCTGGTACCTGTTTCATAGGCTTTTTTGAGTTTGGCCAAGGAAACAGGGGCCCCATGGTCCCCTATTGCCCGGGGGCCCCATGAGTTGTCAGTTTGCCCCTGGCCCTGACTTATTGAAATATTATCTGGAGGCCATGCTTGCACATGCTCATAATTGGATGATTGCTGATGACTCCAATGCAGTGGTAGTATTGGAAGCCTCCTGCTTGGGCTCCAATGAGGCGTTGAGGAATCTTGTCAAGGGCTCCTCTTCCATTGACCGAGGCAATGAAAACCGTTTTACGGGCATGGTCTATAGCTCATACAGATCAGCGGGTTCCTTCAGGATTTTTCTCTCAACATACCCCTCTATGGTGTAACCCTAGGTTGCCTGGATTTGCTATGATCACTGACCCTCATGTCTGGGCAGTGAAGGGCATTAAGTACATCGACCAAATGGGAGCTACGCACATTTGACAGCCTGAAACAATATGGTCTCCAAAATACTTATTTGTTTAGATATTTACAACTTAGAAAAGCTTTTTGTACTCAATTTCCGGGAACACCTGTTGTTTTTTTGTGGATCTGATTTGTTGAGTTTGCTCAGGGATGACGCTTTGGGCAAACCTCTATCCAGTATATACAAAGAATTGCTTCCATCTGTCCATAAGGGGCTTGAGGCACTTAAAACAAAGTTGATTTTCCGGACCTGGATGATGAGGGTTGGGAAGATGTATGGGAATGTTCCGTTCACCATCTGGTCTCTGTTAAAGACAGGCTGATACAATTTAAAATTCTACACCGTATTTATCTCACCCCTATACGTCTCCATAGACTATATTCCTCAGTTCCTGCCGACTGCTGGAGATGTGGGGCGTCCTCAGCTGATTTCATTCATATTTTTTGGCAGTGCCCACATATTCAGTTTTTTCTGGAGATCAGTGGTGGCCTGTATCTTCTTGGTTACCACCATTCAAGTCCCGTTATCAGTGGATGGATCAGTGGATGGATGTCTGTTGGGGCTAGTTGACTCTCTCTGACCCACAGTAGGGCTTCCAGAACCTTATTAGGAAGTTTATGGTTTTATGATAGAAAAGCCATTGTGTTTGCAGTCAGGGGCGGATTGACAACTCATGGGGCCCGCGGGCAATAGGGGATCATGGGGCCCCTGTGTTCTCGCCCACACTCAAATCACACCTAAAAAAGTCTATGAAAGGTAATAGGGGCATCTCATGGGGCCCCCTACTGACCCTGGGGCCCTGCTCGAGTTCTAAAATGGTCAGTCCCCCTTGGTTGCAGTGTGGAAGTCTCCGATTGCCCCCACTTCTAATTCATGGAAGAGGATACTTAACTCTACTATAGTCTTTGTATAAGGCTACCTATCTCTCAAGGGGGTTGTGTCCTCAGAAATTCCACAAGGTTTGCGATATTTGGGTAGACTCGCCAGACACGAAGGAGGAGCAAGATTCTTCCATTTAGCTTGAAATTTAACTGATATCCCTGATGATCTCATGGAGATCTCGGTGGTTATGTTATTAATGCTGGTGTAAGAGCCCTGGAGTTGTCATCTCAGTTAGCTTCCTAGAAGGCGTATTTTTACAGAGTTTTTCTTGGTGTCTAGAGCTGCCTTGAACTTTACATGGGAGCGAGCGTACAGTTGACTTGTTACTTTTATTGTTTTTTTTTTTTTTGTTATTACGTTTGTAACCTTGTCAAGTGTGGTGCCAAGCCTGGGTATGCCCTAGAGCAGTGATGGCGAACCTTTTTTTTGTGAGCCCGAGTGCCCAAAACTGCAACACAAAACCAACTTTTTTATTTCAAAGTGCCAACACTGCAATTAACCACTTGCCTACAGGGCACTTCTACCCCCTTCCTGCCTACAGGGCACTTCTACCCCCCTTCCTGCCTACAGGGCACTTCTACCCCCTTCCTGCCTACAGGGCACTTCTACCCCCTTCCTGCCTACAGGGCACTTCTACCCCCCCCCCGTCCTGCCTACAGGGCACTTCTACCCCCTTCCTGCCTACAGGACACTTCTACCCCCTTCCTGCCTACCGGGCACTTCTACCCCTCCCTGCCTACCGGGCACTTCTACCCCCTTCCTGCCTACCGGGCACTTCTACCCCCTTCCTGCCTACAGGGCACTTCTACCCCCTTCCTGCCTACAGGGCACTTCTACCCCCTCCCTGCCTACCGGGCACTTCTACCCCCTTCCTGCCTACAGGCTACTTCTACCCCCTTCCTGCCTACAGGGCACTTCTACCCCCTTCCTGCCCACAGGGCACTTCTAACCCCCTTCCTGCCCACAGGGCACTTCTACCCCCTTCCTGCCTACAGGGCACTTCTACCCCCTTCCTGCCTACAGGGCACTTCTACCCCCTTCCTGCCCACAGGGCACTTCTACCCCCTTCCTGCCTACAGGGCACTTCTACCCCCTCCCTGCCTACCGGGCACTTCTACCCCCCTTCCTGCCTACCGGGCACTTCTACCCCCGTCCTGCCTACAGGACACTTCTACCCCCCTTCCTGCCTACCGGGCACTTCTACCCCCTTCCTGCCCAGACCAATTTTCAGCTTTCAGTGCTGTTGCACTTAACAATGACAATTCTGCGGTCATGCAACACTCATTTTTTCACACAATAGAGCTTTTTTTTGGTGTTATTTAATCACTACTGGGTGTTTTATTTTTTTTGCACTATAAATGAAAAAAAAGAGCAAAAAATTAAAAACATAAAAGGTTTTCTTTGCTTCTATTATAAAATTTTGCAAACAGGTAATATTTCTTCTTTGATATGCGTTGGTGAGGCTGCACTGATAGGCAGCACTGATAGGCATTGATGAGGCGGCACAGATAGGTAGCACTGATGAGGTGGCACTGGTGGGCATTGATGAGGAGGCACTGATGATGCACTGATATGCAGCAATGATGGGCACTGATAAGCGGCACTGACAGACGGCACTGACCGGCAGCACTGCTGGGCATCATTGACGGGAGGCACTGATGGGCGATACTGCTGGGCGGCACTGACAGGCGGCACTGCTGGGCAGCACTGACAGGCAGCACTGACAGGCGGCACTGCTGGGCACTAATGGGTGACACTTCTGGGCACTGATGGATGACACTGCTGGCACTGCTGGGCGGCATTGCTGGGCTTTCATTTGGGAGCAGATTTAAATGCATATATTTTTATTTTGTGTTTTTTTTTTTTTTAGGAAAAATTAGGAAAAAATACATTTTCCTGTACTACACTGCATCTTTTCGCTCTCACTCATTTCTGCTCTTCCCTCCCCCCCTTCTTACCACTGAACCTTTACTACTTCTCTCATCAATGCTCCTTCACTACCAGGAAACATTGACTGAAAGATAGGGGAGAGGGAGACCTATGTGTCCAATGGTCTCACCCCTTGCTAATGGAATTTACTGGTTCCACATCCCTTATTTACAAGACACTGAAAAGCACACAGACCCTAACTGAAAGAAACTAATGGGGCTTTTACAGGCACCATACCAGAAGGAAACTCAATACTCAAAATGTAAAAAAATGAAAGCTTTATTAGACAATGTTAAAATCACAGTTATTTATTATTTCAGGTACTTGTATAGCGCTGTCAATTTATGCAGCACTTTACATATATATTGTACATTCACATCAGTCCCTAACCCTCAAGGGGCGTACAATCTAAGGTCCCTAACCCTCAAGGGGTGTACAATCTAAGGTCCCTAACCCTCAAGGGATGTACAATCTAAGGTCCCTAACCCACAAGGGGCGTACAATCTAAGGTCCCTAACCCTCAAGGGATGTACAATCTAAGGTCCCTAACCCTCAAGGGGCGTACAATCTAAGGTCCCTAACCCTCAAGGGGCGTACAATCTAAGGTCCCTAACCCTCAAGGGATGTAACAATCTAAGGTCCCTAACCCTCAGGGGGTGTACAATCTAAGGTCCCTAACTTACATTCATACATACACATACTAGGGCCAATTTAGACAGGATCCAATTCCCCTACCAGCATGTCTTTGGAGTGTGGGAGGAAACCGGAGTACCTGGAGAAAACCCACGCAGGCACAGGGAGAACATGCAAACTCCAGGCAGGTGGTGCCGTGGTTGGGATTCGAACCAACGACCCGAGTACTGCCAGGCAGAAGTGCTAACCATTTAGCCACTGTGCTGTCCACAGTTTTGGTAAAGATTTAGAGCAGGGGTCTCTTTTTTTCTATTTTTGGTAAATACCCGCATACTAGCCATAGTGAATTGAGATTTTCAGTATCGCATGCGAGATGTGGTCATGTGACTGACTTAACTCATGTGATAACCTTTAGTGAATTGTGCCCAAAGACCCTACACATACAGCCAGAGCTACAATGGAATGGTTTAGAGCAGGGGTCTCCAAACGTTCTAAGCAAAGGGCCACTTTACTGTCCTTCAAACTTTAGGGGGGCTGTACCGGAAAATGTCCCGGCATCAGTGGGAATAAACAATGTCCCATCTTTGGTGTCAGGGAAAGGAATTGTGCCCCATCGAGAGTGTCATTGGGAGAAATTGTGCCCCATCATTGGTGTCATTGGGCTCCATTCTTGGTATCATTGGGATGAACTGTGCCCCATCATTGATGTCATTGGTTGAAATTGTGCCCCATCGTTGGTATCACTGGGAGGAATTTGTTGGTGCCAGTGAATTAAATAGTGCCCCAAGGGCCAGATAAAAGCAAGCAAAATGCCACATCCAGGCCCCAGGCTGAAGTTTGGAGACCACTGATTTAAAGCATTAACATAGTTAATAATAAAATACATGTTTAGCTTGTACATAGTAACATGCTTATTACATAGCATTGCAGAGCATATCCCTAGATGACATGACTAGCGTAGGTGACATAATTTCCTTAAGATCTTTCACTGACGCGTTTCGCAGGACAACAGCCCACTTCCTCAGGGAGATATAATGGTTAGCACTTCCGCCTGGCAGTACTAGGGACGTTGGTTCATATCCCAACCACTGCGCTACCTGCCTGGAGTTTGCATGTTCTCCCTGTGCCTGCGTGGGTTTCCTCCAGGTACTCCAGTTTCCTCCCATACTCCAAAGACTTGCTGGTAGGTGAATTGGATCCTGTCTAAATTGTCCCTAGTATGTGTATGTATGAATGTGAGTTAGGGACCTTAGATTGTACGCCCCTTGAGGGTTAGGGACCTTAGATTGTACGCCCCTTGAGTGTTAGGGACTGATGAAAAAATGACACCTTTAAACGATCAGATATTCAAGTTTACCATCAGGATGTTGATAAAGAGCCACAAGGAGCCATGACCATTTGAATCCAAATAGGTCCCTCCATCAAGGGTAATGAAGGAGGCAGGAATAGGGCCAGGTGGGCAAAATCACGGACCCATTTGATCTATAAAAACAAAAAAAAGCCAAAAAAACCCCCCCGCACCTATATTAACCATATAAGAGATGAAGCCAACACCTTCTTGGGAATATAAACTACCGGTATATTAGCAGAAAGAAAGCTAAGAAAACAAATCAAATCAGCGGAATAGTCACTGTGGCCCAAATCCATCCAAACTTCACTGCGTCTCCCCACACTGATTTTAACACAAACAAATGATTAATTGAGGACAACAGGGAAATAGTCTATGCATTGGCCTCGGCTAGTTACATATTAGAATTCATCTTTTCAAAAACGAATTTACTCACTACTGCACCTTCTCTCATCAATGCTCTTTGACTGCCACCAGTTCTTGGCTACCACCACTTCATGACTACCACCACTTCATGACTACCACCACTTCATGAGTACCACCACTTCATGACTACCACCACTTCATGACTACCACCACTTCATGACTACCACCACTTCATGACTACCACCACTTCTTCACTACCACCACTTCATGACTACCACCACTTCATGACTACCACCACTTCATGACTACCACCACTTCTTCACTACCACCACTTCTCCACTGCCACCACTTCATGACTACCACCACTTTACCTGTGGACACATCTCTCGTATCATGTCTGCACAGAGCGCCCACTCTCAACATGGCATATTCTCCCTACCATCAACTGCACTCCCTTCACCAGTGCCCTGGTTACCCTCTTTTTCCCCAAGCCTATGGACTTTTTGTTTACTACATTAAGCCCCCCCACCCTATGTCCCTGAAACCAATAGCTCTCCCCTAACTCTTACCACTGCACCTGCAACCGCCACCGTCCTCCCCAATTCTCAAACCACCCCAACTACTGTGCACCCCCCTTCACCAGTGCACTGGTTGCCCCCTTTTCACCAAGCCTGTGGACTTTTTGTTTTTTACTACATTAAGCCCCCCCACCCTATGCCCCTGAAACCAATAGCCCTCCCCTAACCCTTGCTACTGCACCTGCAACTGCCGCCATCCTCCCCAATTCTCAAACCACCCCAACTACTGTGCACCCCCTTCACCAGTGCACTGGTTACCCCTTTTTTTCACCAAGCCTGTGGACGTTTTTTCTTACTACATTAAGCCCCCCCACCCTATGCCCCTGAAACCAATAGCCCTTCCCTAACTCTTACCACTGCACCTGCAACCGCCACTGTCCTCCCCAATTCTCAAACCACCCCAACCCAACTACTGTGCACCCCCATCACCAGTGCACTGGTTGCCCCTTTTCACCAAGCCTGTGGACTTTTTGTTTTTTACTACATTAAGCCCCCCCCCCCCCCCCCCACCCTATGCCCCTGAAACCAATAGCCCTCCCCTATCTCTTATCATTGCACCTGCAACCACCCCCCCCGTCCTCCCCAATTCTCAAACCACCCCAACCTTCGTGGTCTGGAACGGGCGCATTTTGCTAGTCCTATTAATATTACAACATCCCAGTACAACATTGTATAGAAGGTCTCAAATGTTGTAAATAATCACAAAATGTCCATATTTTCTTTTTTCATGCCAGTTTATAGTGTTTGTAGGTGATATGTATGGAACGACCTGGATGAAGATCCCCAGATTTCACAGGTTATAAATTTATGTACTCTTGGAAATTTTGGACTTTCTTTCTTTCCAGGTCCATCCCAGCAGGAAATATTTTGCCGTGGCGGAGAAAGGACACAAACCAAACATTATCCTTTATGAATTTCCATCGCTAAAACCGTTCCGGATTCTCAGGGGTGATTAGAGCCATGCTGTATATATTTGGCTGATTGCTACATGTTTGCTTTGCCATTGCTTGTTTTTTCTCTTGTATACAGTGCCTTGAAAAAGTATTCATACCCCTTAAAATTTTCCACATTTTGTCATGTTAAAGCCAAAAACGTCAATGTATTTTATTGGGATTGGATGTGATAGACCAACACAAAGTGGCACATCATTGTGAAGTGGAAGGAAAATGATTAATGATGATTTTCAACCTTTTTTTTACAAATATATCTGAAAAGTGTGGCATGTATTCTGTGCCCCATTGTTGGTGTCATTGGTTGGAATTGTGCCCCATCCAGGGGCGTATTTACCACAAGGCAAACAAGGCATTTTTTCAGGGGGGCAGCACTGCCCCCCAAAAGAAGGGATCTTCCATCAAGGACACACGCAGCATAGTAACCAGGTGAAATCTGAGAGAGGCTACTTGATGGTGTATGCAGAGCTTGACTCTTGCCACAGGGATTGTCTGGAGCTGTGAAGGTGAGTGTCTTCTCTCCCAATGGGGTGGGGGAGGGGGGTTGCCAGTGTTTATGGCATGGTGGTAGTGGAAGGCTCTCTCGGGTGGGGCTGGGATGGGGTGTTGTTGGTCAATGTCAGGCTCTTATCATGGGGGGGGGTTTTTTTCAGTGTCAGGGTCTCTCCGTGGGTGGGTGGGGGAGCTGATTTTTGTGTTGCCTAGGGCAGGTTGGAACCTAAATACACCACTGGCCCCATCGTTGGTGTCATTGGTTTGAATTGTGACCCATCATTGGTATCCGGGGGGGGAGTCAATACTTTGTAGAACCCCCTTTGCCTGCAAATCCAGATCAAGTCTTTTTGGAGACGTCTCTCCCAGCCTTGCACATCTAGAGAGGGACATTTCTGCCCATTCTTCTTTGCAGAATAGCTCAAGCTCTGTCAAATTGGACAGAGCGCGTCTGGGGAACAGCAATTTTCAGGTCTGGCCACAGATTCTCCATTGGATTTAGGTCTGGACTGTGACTGAGCCATTCTAACACATGAACATGCTTTGATCTAAACCAGTGGTGTTCAAACTGCAGCCCGGATGCGGCCCTTGGGGCACTATTTAATTAATCCACTGACACCAACGAATTCCTCCTAGTGATTCCAACCATGGGGCACAATTCCAACCAATGATACCAACAATGGGCACAATTCCAACCAATGACACCAACGATGGGGTACAATTCAAGCTCCCAATGATACCAAGAATGGAGCCCAATGACACCAATGATGGGGCACAATTTCTCCCAATTACACCATTGATGGGGCACAATACCTCTCACTAACACCAAAGATGGGGCATTGTTTATTCCCACTGATGCCAGAACATTTTCCAGTCCGGCCCCCCTAAAGTCTAAAGGACAGTAAACTGTCCCCTTTGCTTTGAAAGTTTGTAGACCCCCTGATCTAAACCATTCCATTGTAACTCTGGCTGTATGTGTAGGGTCTTTGGGCACAATTCACTAAAGGTTATCACATGAGTTAAGTCAGTCACATGGCCACATCTCGCATGTGATACTGAAAATCTCAATTCACTATTGCTAGTATGCGGTATTTACCAAAAATAACAAAAAACACCCGGTAAATACAGCATAAAAAGACCTGAAAGTCAATTCACATAAGGAAATAAAAAGTAAATGCATGCGGTAATTAAGTAGTGGTCCAGGCACGCATCAACATGGGAACAAGGTGCTTTGGGGGGGGGGGGTGGCACCCTGCCCCTAAGCACCCCCCCAATGTTGAGGGCATGTAGCCCCCTTTCCTGACCTGCCAGGCTGCATGCTCGTATAGGGGCTTGGTATGGATGAACCCCATGGGGGGGACCCCATGCTGTTTTTTTTTTTAAAATTTTTTTTTTAATTGCTGGCAATTTTTTTTTTTTACTTTCAGCTGTCAGTGGGGAACCTCGCTGACAGCTGAAAAAGTAATGCATGGTTTTCACTACCAAAATACCGCATGACTTGATTAAATAACTTGTGCAGTATTTTAGTAGCATTTTTTAGTGAATACAAATGTTTTTTTTTTAAAAACTGATGTGCGGTACGTTACCACATGTGAATTATGGCCCCTGTACTGCTGGAAGGTGAACCTCTGCCCCAGGCTCAAGTTTTTTGCAGACTCTAACAGGTTTTCTTCTAAGATTGCCCTGGATTTGGCTCCATCCATCTTCCCATCAACTCTGACCATCTTCCCTGTCCCTGCTGAAGAAAAGCATCCACACCATATGATGCCACCACCATGTTTCACGGTGGGGATGGCGTGTTCAGGGTGATGTGCAGTGTTAGTTTTCCACCACACATAGCATTTTGGTTTTTAGGCCAAAAAGTTACATTTTGGTCTCATCTGACCAGAGCCCCTTCTTCCACATTTGTTGTGTCCCCCACATGGCTTCTCACAAACTGCAAACGGGACTTCTTATGGCTTTCCTCCAACAATGGCTTTCTTCTGGTCACTCTTCCATAAAGGCCAGATTTGTGGAGTGATGACTAATAGTTGTCCTGAGGACAGATTCTCCCACCTGAGCTGTGGATCTCTGCAGCTCCTCCAGAGTTCCCATGGGTCTCTTGGCTGCTTCTCTGATGAATGCTCTCCTTGCCCGGCCTGTCAGTTTAGGTGGACGGCCATGTCTTGGTAGGTTGGCTGTTGTGCCGTACTCTTTCTATTTTCGGATGATGGATTGAACAGCGCTCTGTGAGATGGTCAAAGCTTGGCATATTTTTTATAACCTAACCCTACTTTAAACTTCTCCACAACTTTATCCCTGAACTGTTTGGTGTGTTCCTTGGCCTTCATCATGTTGTTTGTTCACTAATGTTCTCTAAGAAACCTCTGAGGACTTCACAGAACAGCTGTATTTATACTGAGATCACATGACACACAGGTGGACTCTATTTACTTATTAGGTGACTTCTGAAGGCAATTGGTTCCACTAGATTTTAGTTAGTGGTATCAAAGTCAAGTGGGCTGAATACAAATGCAATCCACACTTTTCAGATATTTATTTGTAAAAAATGTTAAAAACCATTTCTCATTTTCCTTCCACTTCACAATTATGTGCCACTTTGTGTTGGTCTATCACACCGATGGTGAACCTATGGCACGCATGCCACAGCTGGCATGCAGAGCCCTCTCTGTGGGCACTCGAGCGGATCGCTACCCCCCGGCAGCCATCGCCAATGTCAACACTCAGAACCGAGTCACAGTGACCTGACACCTGGCTCCTGAGCATTCCATCCCTCTCTTCTGGATCCTTCACGCACACAGCTGGCTTCGAGACCCAGCAGAGCGGTGCCTCCTGCGGCACAGCGGTATCCATGAGGATTTCTTACCCGGGCACAGCGTGTCTTCTTGTTCCACAGGACGTTGGACTATGGCAATGCCTATATATGGCTACAAAAATATAAGTTGCTTTTGTACAGACTTATATATAGCCATATTTTGAGAACATTTTCAGACATATGGGTGGGGTTAGTAAGTAATTTTTGGTATTTTTGTGTTTTTCTAGACCGCAAGTGCTGAACACCAAGAAATGAGCATAGGAAAAAAAGCAAAAATGAGAACAGATAGTGAAAGATCATTCCAACAGACCTGGAAAAAGTCATTTGGAAAAATACATGCACATGTAGAAATTTATGTTTTTTTCAATAAGAAAGAAAATGTTAATTCGGACAACTGTATGAGTTGTTTTTTCCTAAAGCGGAGTTCCACTCACTCTGTAAAATAATAAAAAACTGTAGCTGCTGACTTTCAAAAAACAGTCACTCACCTGTCCCACGATCCCGTGTTGCCCCCGCCGCAACCCGTTTCACCAGCCATCCTGTATTCCAGGAAGCCGGCATCTTCAGTGTGGGCACCTGGCTGTGAGAGCTTGCGGTTACACAGCCAGGTGCCCACTGCGCATGCGCTAGTAGCGGTGCGCTTACTGAATGGCCCCGTTGTCTTCTGGGACCTGACATGTGTCCCACAAGACTTCGGGGAGGGTGCCAATCCTTAATGGGAAGCGGGGGACCAATCTTTAAAGTAGAACTTCCCCTTTAAAGTGGAACTCCGCTTTAACTAAAACCTCAGTATTCAGGTTTATTGCAGTGTTGGCGCTTTGAAAAGTTGGTTTTGTGTTGCAGTTTGGGCAGTGGGGCTCCAAAAGGTTCACCATCACTGGTCTATCACATCAAATCCCAATAAAATACATTTACAATTTTGGATGTAACCTGACAAAATGTGGAAAATTTCAAGGGGTATGAATACTTTTTCAAGGCACTGTATCAAATTTTTTTACTTCCCTGTACAGGAGTTGAAGTTTTAAGTGCTGGTTCGCAGTGGGAGTTGCTGCAGTGTTTTTTTTTTTAAATGAGAGAGAAGGGAAAAAGGGGGGTGACTGGTGCAGCAACATATGAGCAATCCCTGCTGATCACATCTTTGGGCAATTTGAGGTGTTGAGACTCCAAGAGAGTGAGCTGTAGACTCCGGAAAAGAGAGTCTCAGAGCCCATGTATAGCCCTCCAGCTCACCCACCATTCAACAGTTCAAAGCAGGTGACCCTCAGAGCTCACAGCATTGAACCTGGACTCACAGAGATAAGCTGTAGACTCAGGAAAAGAGAGTCTCAGAGCCCATGTATAGCCCTCCAGCACACCCACCATTCAGCAGTTCAAAGCAGGTGACCATCAGAGCTCACAATACTGAACCTGGACTCAAACTTAGCGTACCTATTTGGTGACTGCAATGATCTAGCTACTGCTTACCTCTTATTGGTATCTGCCAGTCTTCTGCCCCCACTTTTCTCCTCACTTTGGGGTAGTAATTACTAGAGTTCTGCCCTCAATTGGACAGCAGTTCACCAGGTACAAAAGGCAATTCTCCATGCAATTGCATTTCTTCCTATTGGCCCTTTATATAGTTGTGTTGGGAATTCTGTAGTTTGCTGCTCCTGGCCATGGACTTACCAGTCTAAAAATTTGGCCTTGATAGAACCTACGGTAGCTTGTTAACAGATTGCATCCTTTAGGCTTTGAGCAGCTGCCTGAAGATCAGGTGCTGCTAGAGGGGCGAACCCAAAACCTGTGAGAGTTTTATGCCTAGGAACCCATATTCCCAGTGGTGGTTCCTGGTGAGAAGTAAATACTTCTCAGAGTCACAAAAGGGGGTCAAAAACCACAATTACTGTGATCAACCACTCCAGATCCACAGTATCCCCCACATGATAATCCCAGATGCATAGGAATTACATCCCCCAGATGTTGATATTCCAGATACATAGAAATTAATGGACAACTATCCTTTATCAGGTGGTACAGAAGAAGCCTATGCCTTTATAGACTTTAATATGTCTGGGACTCTCCTGGCCAGTGTGGGGAGCAGCCCAGATTACATGCTGACTATATGGGACTGGAAACAGGAGAAGATCATGCTGAGGTCGAAGGCTTTTTCCCAGGATGTCTTCCAGGTCACCTTCTCTCCAGAGAATGAGGAACAGTTGACCACCTGTGGGACAGGACACATCAGGTGAGATCTTCCTGACCTATATAGTTTTACCAAGCCTGGATAAAGGGTTTTCACCACCTGGAAATGTATTGTAAAATAATTGAGATTTTACTATCAAGTTTCTACCTACTTCCTGCCTAGATTTTGGAAAATGGCACGCACGTTTACTGGTCTAAAGCTTCAAGGAGAACTTGGAAGATTTGGAAAGACTGCACTTACTGATATAGAGGGATATGTGGAACTACCAGATGGGAAGGTAAAACTCTAAATACTTTTGTGTAGGTGGTGAAAGGGGATTATTTGATATACTAAGAATAATTTACCCCTGTTATAGGCAAAGCCATGTCAACTTGGCTTGAAAATTTAGATAAACCAGGAACAGTCTGATATGTCAGTAAGTATTTAGATGTGATGGATTTTTATTTAAAGATTTCATGCTAAGGAGATGGATGAAAAAAAAATCTAATCCTAACAAAATAAAAACCACTTGCAGTGAGTTGAATGGTTTTTAGGGTACTGCAATGGGTATGGTCTCAACCCTCTCACCTCTATTCCTTCAGGTGATATCAGGCTCTGAATGGGGAAACATGCTGCTCTGGGAAGGAGGTCTCATCAAGGTGGAGATCTGCAGAAGAGGCCATAGGCCATGCCATAATGGTCCTATTAACCAGTTTGTTCTGGATGAAGGGGAGCTTATCACCATTGGAGCAGATGGACATGTTAGGGTAAGGACAAAATATGTTTTTAGAATTTCAATGGATCTATTAAAGCAGCATGGTTCTGACTTCCTCTCCATCATCCATTTTCTTCTGTGAGGTCTGGGACTTTGAGACTGTGGACACTGCTGACACCATCGATGACACTGGGCTCTTCGAAATGGAACCAATGAATGAGCTGTTGGTTGAGAAGAATGTGAACCTTCGCTTTATGGTGAAGACAAGAGAAAATGACTCACCTGTTTGGTTCGCTCAGGTATACTAGACTTATTGTCTATGTGGATGTAATTTTATATTATGATGTATCTGTGCTTGGCATGTGGAGAGAGTCTGGACATAGAAGGCATATTTCTACATCAAACTATTGAACAAATGTCAGGAGTATTCATGCAAGCTGGATAAAATGTCCTCGTATGTTCTGTAATAGACTAATTCCAGTATTGTCAGTTCCATCTAGTGGCCAGAATTCAGTGAAGTTGTCTGAATAACCCAGTGAGGAAATATACTGCATTTTGAAACTGACAATATAGGCATTATTCTTTTACAAAAATACGGGGACATTTCATCAGTTCTCATGAATGCTTGTGACATCCGTCCAATGAACATTTTGTAAATGGTATAGTAGTCACAGGGAATGCTATAATAGTCACAGGCTTAGGGTACCAGTAGTGGGATGTATTAGGGATGGGAAAGAGACTGAATATAGGACTGTGGAGAACTTTGTCACATGGTGTGACGGGGGTGCGGGGGGTGGTTGTGGGGTTCGGGGGTGTCACTTATTGCAGTCTGGAAGCTCCCTTTAGCAAGTTTGGCCCCCATGTCCCAGCCCCTCCCCATGTTAATGGATATGGGGTACATAGTTGTGATGGGATTCACTTTGGGTGGGGGGCCCATGGAACACAGCTCACTTTGGAGAGGTGGGGAGACCCCTGTCTCAGCTCCCCATATCCCTCTTATGTGTAATCACCCTGTGCCTGTCAGGGGTACAGGGTGATCTGTCCTAACATTGGGGTGGGGGGTTGTTGTTTAATGCCATGTGGTTGCATCCCATTGTTCTATTGTGTGTCTTGCTTGGGAGCAAACTATTATGGGATGTATACTGTATGTTTGTGTATTGGCTTGGTGGGGGGGTTTCCAGCAGCCCTTTCTCCTGTCTGTTGGTGTGTCTCTTGTTACTAAAGGTAGATTGCCCCGCCCTGTGTCATTATCCAGGGAGGAGGGTTGTTCCCTTGAATGTATATATCTTGTATCTGTGTTAAAATAAAGTAGTCTATTTCCTGGTTTACTTCAAGATTGGTGTCGTCTAGTCTTGTATGGTCGGCTGTGGTGTCCAGGGGCGGACTGACCATTTGGAAACTCTGGCACTGCCCGAGTTGCCGGGGTCAGTAGGGGGCCCCATGAGATGCCCCTGGTACCTTTTTTCATAGGCTTTTTTGAGTTTGGCCAAGGACACAGGGGCCCCATGATCCCCTATTGCCTGGGGGCCCCATGAGTTGTCAGTCCGCCCCTGGTGGTGTCTGTTGTCGGTGTTCGGACGGGGAAGCGGTATTCTAACGAAAGTACCCAAGTGCAGTCTGGGGATGGTTCCGTTACACATGGTGTGAGGATAATTATCTGTATCTAAATGTGACTAAGACAGAGTAGCTGGTTGTGGATTTCAGAAGGAGAAAAGCACCCTGTCTACATCCGAGGAGTGGATGTAGATATAGTGGAGAATTACAAGTATCTGGGGATGCACATAGATAATGTGGACTGGAGCAAGAACACTGAGGTGCTCTACAGTAGCTGCCTCTATTTTTGTGAGGAGGCTAAGGTCCTTTAACGTTTGCTGGATGATGTTGAAGATGTTTTATGAGTCTGTGGTGGCCATTGCTCTCCTGTATGTGGTGACCTGCTGGGTAAACAGGCTTAGAGTGGCCGTCACCCACAGACTCAAGAAACTGATTTGCAAGGCCAGTGATGTTGCTGGATTGGAGTTGGAGTCTTTAAACAGTATTGAAGAGGAGAATGTTGTCAAAAGTACATTCAATCTTGGACAACTCCTCCCACCCACTCCACAATATGCTGGTCAATCTACAGGGGTACCATCAGTGACAGATTTTTACAACCTCTATGCACCACATAGTAACACAGGAAACCATTTTTGCCTGTAGCCATCAAATTATATCATTTTTCTCTGTGAGTGCCGAATGTGAGAATTCAGTCTGGTTTATGGGCCAGATTTTTATGTCCACTCTTTGCTTTGCCAAGAAGTTCTTCTTAAAAGTGCTTCACCACTTGTGCCACTCCAATGCACTTACCACAAATCCATGATCACCTTAATTAAAAGGAAAGTCAAAGAATGCTTGATATCTCAGAAACTCTAAAGCGTTCTTTGGCTTTACTTTTAATTAAGATGGTCATGGATTTGTGGTGAGTGCATTGGAGTGGCACAAGTGGTGAAGACCTTTTAAGAAGATCTTCTTGGCACAGCAAAGAGTGGACTGATTTATTTTATTGGTGTAGGACTTTGGCACATTTTCATTATTATTTTTATTATTATTTATTTATTTATTTTCACTAAGTTATGATTTATGGCATAGTGGCAGCACCATACTTGTTGTTTTATGTGGAGGACCAGTAAATAGCCTGACACATGTACTAATAGAAGAAAAGTATAACGTTTTTGAAAACCTAAGTACAAAAACCCACTGTCTGGCTAATAAAATAATATTTGGCCTAAAAAAAAACAACCATAGCAACTGCAGGGAAAATAGTATATAGCCCCCCCCCCCCCAAAAAAAAAGTCAAACTGGTGCAGAACGATACTAAGAAACATATATACCGCAGTGTGGGGGGGGGGAGCATAGTCCACGTGAAGTAAATCACATGAAAGAAAACTCTCCACCATATGGATATTCAGAAGTGGCTCCACTGCATGTGGCTAAATATTATTCAGAGTCCAAGAAAAAAATCCTCTGATGGATTATATTGTAAGGCCAATGTATGGTTAAAAATTCAGAATTAATAGAGAAATTCTCCAATGGAACGTATTATAGGTCCAACCCACATATAGACAGTATAGACAGGTCACTGCATGTGGCTAGATATCATTCAAAGCCCATGAAGAAGTCATCATTTGAATGTATTATTATTATTATACAGGATCATTCGGAGTCCAAGAAAAAATCCTCTGATGGATTATATTGTAAGGCCAACGTATGGTTAAAAATTCAGAATTAATGGAATGTTTTATAGGACCAACCCACAGTGTAGATGTCACTACATGTGGCTAGATATCATTCAAAGCCCATGGAGAAGTCATCATTGGAATGTTCAATTAATATATATTTATAATGCCGCGCTCCTACTATAAGTTTTTAATCACATATTGTGTATCACTCATCTAAATAAATATATAAATAATAATAAGTGATTGATGTGACATATAAATCAATATTTAAATTGAACCAATAAAGTGCTATATTATACCATATGTGCTCAATCAATAATGGTGATACAATAAATTGTGCAAGTATAATACATATAGTGCATAGATAAATTAAAAAGTCTTTTTTATATATATAAATTGGTGCAATGTGCAGGTGAACTCCTTAATCCCTCTTTCCAGGTGCCGTGTGGTCTCAGTGTGCGCTCACCTTAATATTTGCCCAAATAAATTTAGGCAAATAAACTTTTTGTCCTTCCAGGACTGGTGGGATGATGCTCCTATATAAGGTATTCCCAATGGAAGTGAAGGTCTGCTCAGATCCTCTTTTTATCTCCTCTCACTCCATACATATAGCCACTCATGGATGGACCTTTGGAACATATGTGAATATCTCCTATTTCCCCTCCTGGGGACACCTCCTCCTCTTATCCACCTTTCCTCAGAGTTGGATATGTAAATCAAATGGAGAAAAGAACGACCATGGTGCCTTATCCTTTTATATGAAAGTAGTTTATTGCTGCCAGAAGCGGTGATATAGCAGTTTATGGCACTTATCTGATACAGATATGTAGAAGCTGATAATGCTCTCTGCCTCTCTGTCTGCCTCTGCTGGAATCGCCGAGCCTCTCCGATGCAACGTCGTGACGTCAGAGCCCCTCCCCTACGCGTTGCGTCACAGGGTCACGTGACTTCATCAGGGGGAATATCCCTGTGACGCAACGCGTAGGGGAGGGGCTCTGACGTCACAACGTTGCATCGGAGAGGCTCGGCGATTCCAGCAGAGGCAGACAGAGAGGCAGAGAGCATTATCAGCTTCTACATATCTGTATCAGATAAGTGCCATAAACTGCTATATCACCGCTTCTGGCAGCAATAAACTACTTTCATATAAAAGGATAAGGCACCATGGTCGTTCTTTTCTCCATTTGATTTACATATCCAACTCTCAGGAAAGGTGGATAAGAGGAGGAGGTGTCCCCAGGAGGGGAAATAGGAGATATTCACATATGTTCCAAAGGTCCATCCATGAGTGGCTATATGTATGGAGTGAGAGGAGATAAAAAGAGGATCTGAGCAGACCTTCACTTCCATTGGGAATACCTTATATAGGAGCATCATCCCACCAGTCCTGGAAGGACAAAAAGTTTATTTGCCTAAATTTATTTGGGCAAATATTAAGGTGAGCGCACACTGAGACCACATGGCACCTGGAAAGAGGGATTAGGGAGTTCACCTGCACATTGCACCAATTTATATATAAAAAAGACTTTTTAATTTATCTATGCACTATATGTATTATACTTGCACAATTTATTGTATCACCATTATTGATTGAGCACATATGGTATAATATAGCACTTTATTGGTTCAATTTAAATATTGATTTATATGTCACATCAATCACTTATCATTATTTATATATTTATTTAGATGAGTGATACACAATATGTGATTAAAAACTTATAGTAGGAGCGCGGCATTATAAATATATATTAATTGATTATTAGACACACAACCAAGTGAGTTTGTGAAAGTGTCAGCGCACCCAGCATAACATCTAGGTAGTTTATAATTATTAATAATTTACCGAACACCTTAGTCATAGTAGCTCACAAGTATTCACTTTTATTTTGTACATCATTGGAATGTATTATTATTATTATACAGGATCATTCGGAGTCCAAGAAAAAATCCTCTGATGGATTATATTGTAAGGCCAACGTATGGTTAAAAATTCTGAATAAATGGAGAAATTCTCTAATGGAACGTATTATAGGACCATCCCACAAGTGAGCAGTATAGAACCAGAATGAGTTATGGCACATATGTCAGACGTCACTGGAAGACCCCCAGGGAGAGGTGCCCATATCATTGCATATAGCCTTTATGTAGCTTGTAACTTGGCACCCCATATTATTATTATTATTATTATTATTCAGTATTTATAAAAGCACCAACGGTTTATATCATATACCATATCTTCCCTTGTTGGCAATTAAATCCTTTCTTTCAACTGTATGACGTATTACTTGTAATTGCCCAATGGGGGAGCCACCAGTTTGATCAAAAAGAGTTCCAAGCCATAGAACACTCAAATAGATGGAATAATACTTAGCCGTCCATGTGGGTCTTGGAAGGTCCAGACTATTTTCATAGAAGATGGTGGTCTGTAGGTCCATATCTAAAGGAACCATAGTCTTATGTTGATGGAAGAGATAAGGGGGTAGGCATCCCAAAAGCTGACAGTATGGGAGCAAGGCTGGAATCCTGACCGGTTTCGCTGGTCACGCCAGCTACTTCAGAGACAAATGTCACCAATGCACCAATTTTAATGTATCCAGTTACAAAACGGAATATGTAGCAGTATATAATGTATATAAATGTTCAACAAAACTGAAGTTATCCCTCAAACTCATCATTTATGTGGAGGCAACTCCTGTTTTCTTTCTTTCATTTACTTTCTCTTTTTATTTTTTAGGATGCCAGCGGTGGAATCTGGAAGCTGGACTTGTCCTTCTCAAATATAGTAATATTATTTTTCCTTATTGCTTCCCTGTCCCCTAATTTACGTTTGTCTTACATACGGTGTATATAAAGGCCATTGAGCTCTGTTCAGTTACTTTTGGGCCATTGCTGCTGCTTTCCTGACATTTCTCTTCTCTTTAGTGTAGTTATACTTTATAGAAATAGGCAGTCCATTGATGGGAGCAATTTTAAAAGTATCCTAAAACAATTACTGGAATATGTTATGTTTGGCTTTTTCTCTGGTTTACACCAATTTTTCATAGTGTAAAGCATGCTGGGTAAAAATGTGCAACATACATTACTAGGGATGCACTGATTGCATTTTTTTTTACACAGAGTACCGATACTTTTTTAATAGTACTCACCAATACCGTTATCAATTACCGATACCTATTGCCTATGACAAGTAGGTAGAGGGGTGATGCGATATGGGAAAAAATGCGAGTTCACACATTACCCCACTGCACTCGGTGTGAACAAGTCCTTAAATGTACTCTGTGAGGCAGAGTTCAGTTTTCTGTAGGTTTTAAAGCCCCCTCCCCTCCAAATCCCCCCCTTTTAGCACAGATCCCCCTTCCTGCACCCCTCTAAATCCACCCTTCCAGCACAACCCCCCCCCCCTCACCCAAATCACCCTCCCAGCACAACCCCCTAAATCACCCTCCCAGCACAACCCCCCCCCCCTCAGATCTCTTTTCCTAGCACAAATTATGTCCCTAGTATAATGACAGCAGGGAGGGGGAGAGAGCCATGGGTAAATCACAACACTCACATGCACCCTATATTACACATATACATGACATGATCAGAGACTGCAGACTGACTACAGGATATGATCAGAGACTGCAGACAGACTACTGTAGATGGTCAGAGACTGCAGATATACTACAGGAAATGGTCAGAGACTGCAGATATAGTACAGGAGATGGTTAGAGACTGTAGACAGATTACTGTAGATGGTCAGAGACTGCAGACAGACTACTATAGATAGTCAGAGACTGCAGATATAGTACAGGAGATAGTCAGAGACTGCAGATGAATACAGGAGATGGTCAGAGACTGCAGACAGAATACAGGAGATGGTCAGAGACTGCAGACAGAATACAGGAGATGGTCAGAGACTGCAGACAGACTGCAGGAGATTATTATTATTATTATACATGATTTATATATCGCCAACAGTTTGCTCAGCGCTTTACAATATAAGGGAGACAGTACAATTACAATACATTTCAGTACAGAAGGAATAGGAGGGCCCGGCTCATGGAGCTTACAATCTAAAGGAAGGGGGAGGTGATACAAAAGGTGATAGCTGTGGGGGATGATCTGGTGGAGGGGATTCAAGTTCAGTTCTTAGGTGGAGGTGGGGTAGCCAGTGATTGGATGTGGGGCCCAAAGGAGAGGTCAGAGTCTAGGATTACGCCTAGCACCTTGGCATGAGGGGAAGGACCAATGGTTGTGCTGTTGATCTCAATGGTAAAGTCACGAGTGGGGGATCGGGGGGGAGGAAATATTACAAGCTCAGTTTTGGAAAGATTGAGTTTAAGGTAGTGATGTGACATCCATGCTGATATGTCGCTTAGTATATTTGTGATACGTGAGGAGATTGAGGGGGTGAGCTGGGGAGTGGAGAGATAGATCTGGGTGTCATCAGCATAGAGGTGGTATTGGAAGCCATGGGAGGTTACCAGTTGGCCCAGGGAGGAGGTATAGAGAGAGAAAAGGAGGGGCCCATGGACAGAACCTTGGGGTACCCCAACAGAAAGAGGAAGTGGAGCGGAGCAGGAGGAGTTGTATGTGACACTGAAAGTGCGCTGAGAAAGGTAAGTGGAGAACCAGGAGAGAGCAGAGTCATGGAGGCCGATGGAGTGGAGTTTACTGAGGAGGAGCGGGTGGTCGACTGTGTCAAAGGCAGCGGAAAGGTCAAGGAGTATGAGTATGGAGTAATGGCCATTGGTTGGGATGAGTATGGAGTAATGGCCATTGGTTGGGATGAGTATGGAGTAATGGCCATTGGTTGGGATGAGTATGGAGTAATGGCCGTTGGTTGGGATGAGTATGGAGTAATGGCCGTTGGTTGGGATGAGTATGGAGTAATGGCCGTTGGTTGGGATGAGTATGGAGTAATGGCCATTGGTTGGGATGAGTATGGAGTAATGGCCATTGCTTAGGGTAAGTATGGAGTAATGGCCGTTGGTTGGGATGAGTATGTAGTGGCCGTTGGTTTTAGCAGTTAGTAGGTAATTAGTGAGTTTTAGTAGGGCAGTTTCTGTGGAATGTTGTGGGCGGAAGCCAGACTGTCGGGGATCGGGAAGGTTGTTGTCGGTGAGGTAGCAGTTCATACGGTTGTGAACAAGGCGCTCGAGAAGCTTAGAGGCAAATGGGAGCAGGGAGATGGGTCTTAAGTTATTCAAACAGGTGGGGTCCAGCGAAGGTTTTTTGAGGATGGGGGTAACCAGTGCATGTTTGAGTGGGGAGGGAAAGGTGCCTGTGGAGAGTGAGAGGATGAAGATGGGGGTTTGAAAGTTTAGGATAGAGCAGGAAGGAGGCTGCAACAGTCGTGAGGGGACAGGATCCAGGGGACAGGTGGTGAAGTGGGCCTTGGAAAGGAGATCGGTAACTTTCTTGGTGGTAACCGGGTCGAAGGAGGAGAGTGTAGACTTTGGTGTTGGGCCTGGTATGTTGGTTAGAGGAGGAATCTTGACACTGGAGATCTCATCACGAATTGTGTCGATCTTCTTCTTGAAGTGACTAGCAATCTCCTGTGCAGTAAGTAAGTTGGTGGGTGGAGGCAGTGGGGGTTGGAGTAAGATATTAAGGGTAGATAAGAGTTGATGAGGATTGCATGAGAGGGTCTTGATGAGAGTGTTAAAGTAGGTTTGCTTAGCAGTGTGGAGGCTGGAGTTGTATTTGAGAAGAGCGGATTTGTAGGGTAAACTTTTCCAGGGATTTATTTTTACGCCATGCTCGCTCAAGAGTGCGGCTGCGTCTCTGAGGAGATGGTCAAAGACTGCAGACAGACTGCAGGACATGGTCAGAGACTGCAAACATAGTACAGGAGATGGTCAGAGACTGCAGACATAGTACAGGAGATGGTCAGGGACTGCAGACAGACTAAAGGAGTTGGTCAGCACTGCGGACATACTACAGGAGCTGACCAGAGACTGTGAACATAGTACAGGTGATGACCAGAGACTGTGAACATAGTACAGGAGATGACCAGAGACTGTGAACATAGTACAGGTGATGACCAGAGACTGCGGACACAGTACAGGAGATGACCAGAGACTGTGGACATAGTACAGGAGATGACCAGAGACTGCGGACACAGTGCAGGAGATGGTCAGAGACTGCAGACAGACTACAGGAGATGGTCAGAGACTGCAGACATAGTGCAGGAGATGGTCAGAGACTGCAGACATGGTACAGGAGATGGTCAGAGACTGCAGACATGGTACAGGAGATGGTCAGAGACTGCAGACAGACTAGAGGAGATGGTCAGAGACTGCAGACATGTTACAGGACACGGTCAGAGACTGCAGACATGTTACAGGACACGGTCAGAGACTGTGGACAGACTACAGGAGATGGTCAGACGTGGCATTCTATTGTTTACATTTCAGCTGTCGGTGGGGGAATTCTGCTAACATCTGAAGGAACCAAACCTGAAGGTATCGGTTTTTTAGTATCGGAACACTTGGATGAGTACCAATACTCCAGCAAATGCTCAGTATTGGCACCGATACCGGTATTGATGCAAGCCTACACATTACAGGCACTGCTGGGTTGTGCTGCTTTTCTTTTTGAACGGCACACCATGGCACTAAGGCAATGCCCAATGGTGCCTGTCTGATTATTGGCGTGTTCGAGTGCATCAGCAACCCGTTCATTTCAATGGGCTGCCCTAACGTGACCACAAAAATGTACACGGCCCCATGTATGTACACTGCAGTTTATCCTACCAGAAAGCCAGTTTCTTTCCTTGCCAGACTGGTCTGTGCTGTGTTGTAAGAGCTGTGTAAATGTCAGGACTGGATAGACAGAGATACCAATCCTTTGGCAGGTAAAACCATTCCAACCAAAAATAAATTGCAGATAAAAAAACACAAAAATTGTTAATTGCTTTGTAATGTGTCTCTGAACTGCTGGCAAATCTGACCTCTTTAGCAGAGTCCGTTCTCTAGAACAGCCCCCTCCCTCCTTTGCACATCATAGCCCTCTCTTCTTCTGGGAGTGTCTAAGTACTTTCTGTGCTGGCCCAGCTTCTCATCTCCTCCCCTTCTACATAACCTTTTTATGTAGCTCTGGGGGAGGAGTGAAGGGCAATACTAAAGAGGATGGGTGTCAAACTGGCGGCCCTCCAGCTGATGGGGCCATCATGCCTCTGCCTTTGGGAGTCATGCTTCTAATTGTCATTCTTGCAATGCCTCATGGGACTTGTAGTTTGGCAACAGCTGGAGGGCCGCCAGTTTGACACCCATGAACTACAAGTCCCATCATACCTTTGTCTTTGGGAGTCATGGTTGTAACTGTCAATCTTGCAATGCCTCATGGGACTTGTAGTTTGGCAACAGCTGGATGGCCGCCAGTTTGACACCCCGTGAACTACAAGTCCCATCATGCTAACTGTCAATCTTGCAATGCCTCATGGGACTTGTAGTTTGGCAACAGCTGGAGGGCCACCAGGTTGACACCCGTGCTTTATAGTGTCACCAGAGTGACAGCTGGGTCAGCCTACATCACATCCATGATGGCAGTGCAAGCCAGCTTCCCATTATAAAGGGAGGATACGGATCGAATGATTGTGAATGGTGAAACGATCGTCTTGTTTATACCTTTAGCGTGGCTATGAACTTACATTGGTTCTTTTTTATTTCTTTCGTCTAGACTCAGGACCCCGAACAGCTTTTCTCCTTTCATTCCGGGAAGATTAACGCTTTAGATGCCTCTCCCTCCACCTACCTCATGGCAACGACATCTTCAGACCGTGCGTCCACACCTATTATAAATCTCATCCAAACAACTACTTTGCATGTTCACTACAATTTACTTTGTATCAATGCTGCAATTTTTAGTTTAAAGCTGAATTCCAGGAATTCAGCTCCTTTTGTAAAAAAAAAAAAAAAGTAAAAAAAAGGAACACTGTGAGTTAGGTCCAGTGAGGTGCATGCCACCCCCTGGACTTAGCTCTATTATTTATATCTGCAAGCTTTAGTCCTCGTGCACATGGGACGTTTTGATAACGCTGGTAACATTAGCTGTGTAAATTCACGTTAAAATTGAGTTTTTCAGCTTTTTGTAGCGTTTTTGCATTAGCGTTTAGCTGCGTTTTTCCATGATTCGCGGCATTTTCCCACGTTTAGCGGCGTTTTCCTAAATTTTTCCGTGTTTGCGTTTTTTAGAGGTTTTTTTTGGTATAAAAAACATCCAAAAATGCCGGTTGGTGGCATTTTACCGCGTTTTACTGATTTTCACTGTTTTTCAGTGTTAGAGCGTTTTTACAGTTAAAAAACTCCTCTAGAAGCCCACTTGTTCTCGGTTTTGTTATCCAGCCAAAAAACTTCCCTGCCAAAAAAACGTTGATTCCAGTCTCTGTGTGTATATGGACACATAGGATAACATCCTGGGGGTTTACTGGCCGTAGAAAAAACCATCAAAAGCCAAAAACAGCCGCTGTAAAAACGTCACGTGTGTGTGGGGGCTTATAGTACTCCTGGAAGACAGCTATTGCTGTAGTTCCGGGAGCCTGACACTGATCCTTCTGAGCTCTGCATCTAGAACAGGAAAACTACTGTTGCTGCTATGCCCGCCCAACCCTCCTCCTGCCCGTTCACAGAAGCCTTTGTATTACGCATTCATAAAATACAAAGGCTTCTCTGAATGGGCAGCAGAGAGGAGGGGCGGGCATATAGCTGCTATGTGTGCCTTTCTCCTCTCTCACAGCTCCCAGTGTCTCTTTGGGGGAACTGTAGACATTCAATTCTGTGTCTATACAATTACTTTGTCTACAGTTTTGAGATAATTGTATACAGACAAGGCTAAACAGCACAGCCCTGTCTGGCAGGAAAGGAGACCTGATTTTTTCTCCCTGCAGGTCTTGTCCCTCCCCCCAGCTTGTGATTGGACAGTTAAAGAGAGGCTGCAGACTGATGGGTTCATCTCATCTCTGTCACTCTGCTCTCTCCTTCTGTCAGCATGCTCCTTGTGCTGCTTCTTCATCATCACTCAGTCTGAGCTCTGCTGTGCAGGGACTGTAAGAGGCTGATACCTGGTCAAATGTGGGTGCTTACACTGCATTCATTTGTGTCTTTAACCCCTTGACGCCGACATTACACAAATATGCATCCTCACAGAACTGGGCTTTTTTCAGTGGGGCTGCATATTTGCGTACCTGTCTTTGTGCTGGGAGCGTGCCGCACAGTGCGCTCCCAGCACACAGACTGCGGTGTCACTGAGAGCACTGCGTCCCGTTCTAACGATCAGGACCCGGGACTCCTGATTCCTGTCACTGAAAGCCCTGGGTCCCATTCTAACGATCAGGATCCGGGACTCCCGATTCCAGGTCACTCTGATTGGCTATCACAGCGATCAGTCACTGGGCAGCCTGGCCCCCTTGTGTTTTTTTTTTCTCTCTATGAATGGAGGAGAGATATACATTGAATCTCTCTTACTAGAGCAGTGGTTCTTAACCTTCCTAATGCCGGGACCCTTTAATACAGTTCCTCATGTTGTGGTGACCCCCAACCATAAAATTATTTACCCAGTAATTATAATTCATGAAGTGTCGTTTTACCTCCAATACTGCTGCTTTCAGCACAGTAGCTGCTTTCAGCACAGTAGCTGCTTTCAACACAGTAGCTGCTTTCAACACAGAAGCTGCTTTCACACAGAAGCTGCTTTCAACACAGAAGCTGCTTTCACACAGAAGCTGCTTTCAACACAGAAGCTGCTTTCTACACAGAAGCTGCTTTCAACACAGAAGCTGCTTTCAGCACAGAAGCTGCTTTCAACACAGAGCTGCTTTCAACACAGTAGCTGCTTTCAACACAGTAGCTGCTTTCAACACAGTAGCTGCTTTCAACACAGAAGCTGCTTTTACACACAGAAGCTGCTTTCTACACAGAAGCTGCTTTCTACACAGAAGCTGCTTTCTACACAGAAGCTGCTTTCAACACAGTAGCTGCTTTCTACACAGTAGCTGCTCTTTACACATCGGAAATATGTGTTTTCCCAGATTGTCCTAGGCGACCCCTGTGAAAGGGTTGTTCGACCCCCAAAGGGGTCACGACCCACAGGTTGAGAACCACTGTACTAGAGGGAAAACAAAATGTTTGTACAAAAAAAAAAAAAAAGGTAAATAAATATTAAAAAATAAAATAAAAAAATAACTAGATCAAGGTTTGATCTAGTTCAGTGCCAGGGTAAGTGTTTGGGTCAAGGTCAGGGTCAAAAGTCAAGGTCAAAAGGTTAGGGTCAGAGGTCAGGATTTTTAAAAAAAATCTGGTGTCAGTGTGTTTTAGGTAAAAGAAACCCCAAAACAAAATGCGCACTTTGGTTTCTGGGCTGTGCTTCAGGTACAAACAACAAATAACACACATATATGTGTCGCTGCGATCATCAAGAGCTGGAGAATTTATTTTGGGTTGTTCTTTGGTGGTAGGTTATGGTAGTAACAAGAAACGCACAGCTAAATTTAAAAAAATGATTTTTTTTTTTTTACTATTTTGGGCCAGTTTTCCTTTGATAATAAAAAAAATCAGGATATATCCATTACCATTTACCACCAAATGAAAGCCAAATTTGTCCTGAAAAAAACGCGGATGTCGAAAGTAGTTGTGATGATTTGTACGGTTTTACTAACACACAGTCAACATTTCAAAATTTGTGCTTCGGCGTTTAGATTTGTTTTACCTTTAGGCGTGAAGGAGTTAACATCCTCCTGGTGTCTTCTTGAACATTTTCCCTGTTTAGGGTCGGTGAGAATTTATGATTTTGCCGGGAAGCTTCCATTAGTGGAGATGAAGTTCAAACAAGGAGGAACATCGCTGATCTGGGCCCCCCGCATGGTGAGCAGTTAGCCATCGCCTCTCACACAGACACGACCAAGCTGACCAATATTCTGTGACTACGGGCCGCGCTTACGATGTCCCGCGTCTTGTCTTCTACAGGTGAACCCTAAAGGAGGACTATTTGCGATGGGATTCCAGGATGGAGTCATCCGTATCTTGGAGGTCTATAACTCCTCCGGGATGAGACTCCTGGCCGGACGCAGTGGCTCTCAGGATGCTGCCATTGGTCTAAAACAAGCGTTCAAACCTCACGAGGCCTCCGTCACATGTCTGGCGTATGAGCGCAATGGAGAGATCCTCGCCACCGGGGTAAAGTTTCTTCTTGTGTTGACTTATAAGCTGAACTTCAACCAGAAATGTTAGTTTTCTTAATGAGACTTTAAAAAAAATTGCGGGAGAATCAAGGAAAAAGTCACGTATTTGAACCCTTTAGATGCCACTGATGTACTGCATGTCATGTGACGGCAGCAGCGGGGGTTTTACATACAAACTTGCACCCGAGAATGGGTGGAAATCTGACCAGCCGACTACTGGCTGTCATGTCAGATGGAAGTGTTTAGGTGGCTGAACATTCACCCTGGAAGCAGTCTCTCCCCCCCCGCCATGTTTCCTGGGCTTCATTCTCCCAACTGCAGATCTGGGACTGGCATGAAGGGTGCCGCCGGGTAGAGAGGAGGGAGACCAGCGAGAACAGAATGGCTATGGTGTGCAGAATGTACACTAGGGGATTGGCAGGAGAATAGTCAGGTCCAGGCAGGGGTTGAGGTAGGTGGCAAGCAGCATAGTAGACAGGTCAACTGGGTCAGAAATGGCCAGGAAATGTCGGGGGTAAATGTTATAGATTTTTGTAACAAGTACTAGTTCTTTACAAGACACAGAACCAGCCGCTTCCAGGGATGACACGTACTACCCTTTGGGTCAGCGGACACACCCAGTGTGGTTTCAGGGAGTTCTGGAAGTCCTCGCAGGGATTCTGCAAGTACCATTGGAAGTACTGGCAGAGCTTCTGGAAACACCATTGGAAGTACTGGCAGAGACTCTGGGGTCACCATTGGAAGTACTGGCAGAGACTCTGGGAGCACCATTGAAAGTACTGTCACAAATTCTGCATGCACCATTGGAAGTACTGGGAGAGACTCTGGAGTCACCACTGGACCTACTGGCAGAAATTCTGCAAGGACTTTTGAAAATACTGGCAGAGATTCTGTGAGCACCATTGGAAGTACTGGGAGAGACTCTGGGGTCACCATTGGAACTACTGGCAGAAATTCTGCAAGGACTATTGAAAATACTGGCAGAGATTCTGTGAGCACCATTGGAAGTACTGGGAGAGACTCTGGGGTCACCATTGGAACTACTGGCAGAAATTCTGCAAGGACTATTGAAAATACTGGCAGAGATTCTGTGAGCACCATTGGAAGTACTGGCAGAGATCCTGCAAACACCATTGGAAGTATTGGCAGAGACTCTGGGGGCACCATTGAAAGTATTGGCAAAAATTCTGCATGTACCATTGGAACTACTGGCAGAGATTCTGCAAGAACCATTAAAAGTACTGCCAGAGATTCTGCATGCACCATTGGAAGTACTGGCAGAGATACTGCAAGCATAATTGGAAGTGCTGGCAGAGACTCTGGGGGCAAAAATTCTGCATGTACCATTGGAAGTATTGGCAGAGATTCTGCAAGCACCATTGAAAGTACTGCCAGAGATTCTGCGTGTACTATTGGAAGTACTGGCAAAGACTCTGGGATCACCATTGGAACTACTGGCAGAAATTCTGCGAGGACTATTGAAAATACTGGCAGAGATTCTGTGAGCACCATTGTAAGTACTGGGAGAGACTCTGGGGACACCATTGAAAGTACTGGCAAAAATTCTGTTCATACCATTGAAAGTACTGGCAGAGATTCTGCAAGCACCACTGGAAGTACTGCCAGAGATTCTGCAAGAACCTTTGAAAGTACTGCCAGAGATTCTGTGTGCACCAATGGAAGTACTGGGAGAGACTCTGGGGTCACCGTTGGAACTACTGGCAGAAATTCTGCGAGGACTGTTGAAAATACTGGCAGAGATTCTGTGAGCACCATTGGGAGTACTGGCAGAGATTGTGCAAGCACAATTGGAAGCACTGGCAGAGATTCTGTGAGCACCATTGAAAGTATTGGCAGAGATTCTGCATGCACCATTGGAAGTACAGGCAGAGACTCTGGAGTCACCATTGGAAGTGCTGGCAGAGATTCTGCGTACACCATTGGAAGTACTGGGAGAGACTCTGGAGTCACCATTGGAATTACTGGCAGAAATTCTGCAAGGACTATTGAAAATACTGGCTGAGACTCTGGGAACACCATTGAAAGTACTGGCAAAAATTCTGCACATATCATTGGAAGTACTGGCAGAGATTCTGAAAGCACCACTGGAAGTACTGCCAGAGATTCTGCAAGAACCTTTGAAAGTACTGCCAGAGATTCTGTGTGCTCCAATGGAAGTACTGGGAGAGACTCTGGGGTCACCATTGGAACTACTGGCAGAAATTCTGCGAGGACTATTGAAAATTCTGGCAGAGATTCTGTGAGCACCATTGGGAGTACTGGCAGAGATTCTGTGAGCACCATTGGATGTACTGGCAGAGATTCTGCAAGCACCATTGGAAGTCCTGGCAGATATTCTACAAGCATCATTGGAAGTACTGGCAGAGATTCTGTAAGCACCATCGGAAGTACTGGCAGAGATTCTGTAAGCACCATCGGAAGTACTGGCAGAGATTTCTGCGAGCACCATTGGAAGTATTAGCAGACATTCTGTGAGTACTATTGGAACTACTTCCAGAGATTCTGGTAGTACCATTGGAAGGTACTGCCAAGGATTCTGGAATTCCTGGCAGAGGTCCTGGAGGGTTCTAACTCTTCCTCCAAACTGTAAAAAACTAAAAAAAATAGTTTAAGCTGCATTATTCTGTAAATAGTTATTTACCTATTTTTGTATTATGTTAAAAGTTAAGTCCCTCAAGTCAAGAAACTTTATGTAACAAAAACATTTTATTATAATTTTCTCCCAGTCTATAACTTGCATCTGTAACCATTCTTACCCCATAGAGCCTGGACAGAACCGTCTTCTTCTTTGCTGTTGGTGACACCTATGAGCCCATTGGATTCATCCAGGTTCCAGGACCGGTTAAGGAATTGCATTGGTCTCCTCCATCACACGTAAGTTGCTGGGGATGGAAGAGGTTCCACCCACATCTTTGGCCAATGCATACATCTGTGTGAAATTTGGATTGTCATGTCACAGGGGTGGGGAGAGCACCATTGCAGCTTAGCCCATGGGTGGGGGCATGTCTTTTTAAAATTAAATAAATAAATACTCTGTGTTTGTATGTATGTGTGTACATATATAAATATATATAAATATATATATATATATTTATTATGTAAAGCATTGTGTACATTGACAGCGCTATGTCAGTATCTGAAATAAATAAAATTTGCATCATACCGTCAATAGCTCTCTATGGTGCTGAAAGTTTACACAGTTTCAGCACCTCGGAGAGCTATTTTTGCCTGCAGGCTATTGGAATCCTCACTGATATTGCAAGAGATGCACTGAGATGCAATATGACCAGCTGCATTCATCCAATGTACATTTATCCTATTGTAAACAGTGTGAATGTCAATATGGAATGCCTGGAGAATCCCATGGATCATATCTAATTTAATTATTCACAGGGTAAATTGCCTAGTAGTTAATCAATTTGCCTTTATGGAGCTTATCTCACTGACTTTCAAACAGGAACCTAAAACATATATTAACCCCTCGCCTACCGGGCACTTATACCCCCTTCCTTACCAGGCCAATTTTCAGCTTTCAGCGCTGCCGCACTTTGATTGACAATTGCGCGGTCATGCAACATTGTACCCATATGAAATTTTGATCATTTTTTTCTCCCAAATAGAGCTTTCTTTTGGTGGTATTTAATCGCCACTGGGCGCTTTACTTTTTGCGCTATAAATAAAAAAACTGCAAAAAATTTGAAAAAAAAAAAAAAAAAGTTTCTTTGTTTCTATTATAAAATTTTTCAAACAGGTATTTTTTCTCCTTCACTGATGTGCGTTGATGAGGCAGCACTGATGGGCACTGATAGGCGGCACTGATAGGCAGCACTAAAGGGCACTGATAGGCAGTACTAATGAGGTGGCACGGATAGGCGGCACTGATAGACAGCACTAATGAGGTGTCACGGATAGGCGGCACTAATATGCAGCACTGATAGGCGGCACTGATAGGTGACACTGATGATGGGTACTGATAGACGGCACTGACTGGCATTACTGCTGGGCACTGACTGGCGGCACTGACTGGCACTACCCCTGGGCACTGACTGGTGGCACTGACTGGCAGCACTGCTGGGCTGCACTGGTGGGTGGCACTGGTGGGTGGGCACAGGTGGGTGGCACTGGTGGGCACAGGTGGGTGGGCACAGGTGGGTGGCACTGCTGGGCACAGGTAGGTGGCACTTCTGGGCACAGGTGTGTGACACTGCAGAGTGGCACAGGTGGGTGCACTGCTGGGCACAGGTGGGTGCACTGCTGGGCACAGGTGGGTGATCTGCTGGGCACGGGTGGGCGGAGCTAGTGGGCGCACTGCTGGGCACAGGTGGGCGGAACTTGCGGGTGGCACTGCTGGGCACCGATCATCAGGGCACTGATGATTGGTGCCGATCCCCGCTCTGACAACTGCCGGTTCTCGGCAGTACTTTCCTCACGATCTGACAGCGTGAGGAAAGTGCAGCCGAGAACCGGCACTTGCATTTCCCTCTGATCAGCGTGTCATTGGACACGGCTGATCACGTGGTAAAAGGCCGCTGTGATTGGCCTTTTACCACATCACGTGATCAGCTGTGTCCGTAGGACACAGCGATCACGGAGATCGCCGGGTGCGCGCCCCCTGGGGCGCACAGGAGAGCGCGTTCTGGGAGGACGTCATTTGACGTCCACTCAGAACTTGCCGGCCGCAGTTTAGCCGTCATTCGGCTATCTGCGGTCGGCAGGTAGTTAAAAAAAGGAAAAAAAAAAAAATAATATATATATAATTATTATACAGTATATATTAATATATGTAAAAAAATGTACACAATTAAAGTGCCCAAATAATGTTGTGTAGTACTTTTTGATATTGATAAATTTTGCTATTATGTTAAAGCAGACTTGAACCCAATCACTAAAAGACATTTTGTTTGGTCTCGGCAGGAGGAAAACACATTACTGGTTCTGTGTGAGAATGGATTCGCTGTAGAGATTCCGGTCCCGGCGGCTGAAAAAAACAACACGGTTTCTACCTACGAGATCTCCAATCTGCCTCTCCGCTACTTCCGATTTAGTAGCATCAGGTCAAAGATTGAGGTATGAGCTGCCTTGGACTTATTCATAAGCACTGAGGTCAGTGCAATACTCGTGAACCTTTTTTTCCCCACTGGCATACAGTATGGTGTTTTTAAGCTGCTTTTCTATACAAAAAAGTGGATATGTACTTTAGTGTGGCCCTCCCGGACTTTCGTTTAAAACTACAGCACAGGTGTGCGAACTGGGCCAACACACAAGATAAAGGGTGGAAGTGGTGAACTCACCAGTGCTAACTTCTTTTTTAAAGAAAAACACCTCACTATCACACCTACAATATGGTCAACAGTATGAGGACACCTGACCTTCACACCCTCAGTATAGTCAACAGTATGTAAACCTGACCATCACACCTACAATATGGCCAACAGTATGAGGACACCTGACCTTCACACCCTCAGTATAGTCAACAGTATGTAAACCTGACCATCACACCTACAATATGGCCAACAGTATGAGGACACCTGACCTTCACACCCTCAGTATAGTCAACAGTATGTAAACCTGACCATCACACCTACAATATGGCCAACAGTATGAGGACACCTCTGCTAGATTGTAAGCTCCCAGGATCAGGGCCCTCCTATCCCTCTTGTATTAAACTGTATTGTTGCTGTATTATAAAGTCTTTTTCTTTCACAAATTATATTAATAAATTGAAAAAAGAATCATAAATAAATGCCCCCCTTGTCTCGATGACCACAAGTGCAATTCCAAAAGACTATAGTCCTTTTTTCTTCCAAGAAAATGTCGTCTCTCTCATTTTTCAATCTTAGTGAAGTGTCCAATATTCATATACCTCAAAAACCAAAAAGGCTCAACATAGTGTAATATCCTTATAAAAACTGAATTTTTTTTTTCACATGTGTTATGCAGAAGTTAAGTGTTTGATGTGATTCACAATGAATGGCATACATTTTCCTTTTTTATAAGGATATTACACTATGTTGAGCCTTTTTGGTTTTTGAGGTATATGAATATTGGACACTTCACTAAGATTGAAAATGAGAGAGACATTTTCTTGGAAGAAAAAAGGACTATAGTCTTTTGGAATTGCACTTGTGGTCATCGAGACAAGGGGGGCATTTATTTATGATTCTTTTTTCAATTTATTAATATAATTTGTGAAAGAAAAAGACTTTATAATTTTTGTTTAGCTTTCAAGGGTGAAAGTGAGTGTTTTTTTCTTTGGGTATATTTCATTGACCAGAATTAGAGTGTGCTAATTGAGCAATTTATTGTTGCTGTATTGTCTCCCTTTTATATTGTAAAGCGCTGAGCAAACTGCTGCTGCTATATAAATCCTGTATAATAATAATAATCACACCTACAATATGGCCAACAGTATAAGGACACCTGACCATCACACCTACAATATGGCCAACAGTATGAGGACACCTGACCATCACACCTACAATATGGCCAACAGTATGAGGACACCTGACCATCACACCTACAATATGGCCAACAGTATGAGGAAACCTGACCATCACACCTACAATAGTCCAACAGTATGAGGACACCTGACCATCACACCTTCAATATAGTCAACAGTATGAGGACACCTGACCTTCACACCTACAATATGGCCAACAGTATGAGGACACCTGACCATCACACCTTCAGTATAGTCAACAGTATGAGGACACCTGACCTTCACACCTACAATATGGCCAACAGTATGAGGACACCTGACCATCACACCTCAGTATAGTCAACAGTATGAGGACACCTGACCATCACACCTACAATATGGCCAACAGTATGAGGACACCTGACCATCACACCTTCAGTATAGTCAACAGTATGAGGACACACCTGACATTCACACCTACAATATGGCCAACAGTATGAGGACACCTGACCATCACACCTTCAGTATAGTCAACAGTATGAGGACACCTGACCTTCACAGTATAGTCAACAGTATGTAAACCTGACCATCACACCTACAATATAGCCCAATATGTGAAGATATCACCATCACAATATCCAATATGACCTACAGTATGTGAACACTTGACCATTACACCTACAATATGGCCAACAGTATGAGGACACCTGACCATCACACCTACAATATGGCCAACAATATATGGACACCTGACCATTACACCTACAATATGACCAACAGTATGAGGACACTTGACCATTACACCTACAATATGCCCCACAATATATGGACCCTGACATTACACCTACAATATGGCCAACAGTATGAGGACACCTCACCATCACACCTACAGTATGGCAACAGTATGCAGATACCTGACCATCACACCTTCAGTATAGTCAACAGTATGTGAAAACCTGACCATCACACATACAAAATGGCCAACAGTATGAGAACCCCCTCCCAGATGATTGACTACAGGTGTTTCCAGTGAAGGGTGCTATTTACTACAGTATACAATAGAGGCTCTCGTACAAACTCAAGTGTCCTGCACTTAGCCCTGACCTCAGCCCTACTGAACACCTTTGGGAAGAGTTTGAACACCAAATGTGAACCAGGTCTTCTCATTCAACATCAATATCTGACCCCACAAAGGGGCACAAGCCTGTTTTCACTCTTGCTTAGAGCGCCACTATCAGATACACGCAAGTCATGGTGGCTGCAATAGCTTTCTTCCTTTGTGTATAGAGAACCCTCAGCGCAATACGCCTCCTAAAGAAATTGTGCGGCTAGCATATAATGTGTTCCCACAGGTAAAACCACAAATAAATAAAAAAATGCAGCGCAACAATGTATACATATGGTGCTAACAATATGATACATGTGTATATATAAGTAGTGAAGAAAACAAAAAACTGTGTGTTTGTGAAATCAATGTACGCTACACCAAATGTCTTACCAATGCATACATGTGGACACCCATAGAACCACACATAACCAGTGATATTAGGCAGCTTTAAAATGACTGTGATACTCAGCTCCTTCTAGACATTTACTGGTGTGGTTACAAACATGGTGAAGGCAAGAGAATGGTCCAGGAAGACAAGAGAAGAGGTGATTTCTCTTCACAGGAAGGGCAATGGCTATAAGAAGATTGCAAAGATGTTAAACATACCAAGAGACACCATTAGGAAGCATCATTCGCAAATTCAAGGCAAAAGGGCACTGTTGAAACGCTACCTGGTCGTGGCAGAAAGAAGATGCTGACTTCGACTGCTGTGCGCTACCTGAAGCGTAGAGTGGAGACCCCCGTGTGACTGCTGGAGAACTGAGAAAAGATTTGTCAGATGTTGGGTACAGAAGTTTCAGCCAGACAATAAGACGCACACTGCGTAATGAAGGCCATCCGTGCCAGAACTCCCAGGCGTACCCCCTGCTGTCTCCAAAGAATAAGAAGAGTCGACTGCAGTATGCCAAAAGCCATGTGGACAAACCACAAAGTTGTGGGATAGTGTTCTGTGGACATGACCTGAACCTACAATAATGGAACTGTATGGGACCCATGGATCACACCTATGTTTGGAGGAGGAAGAACAACACCTATATGAAAAGAACACCTTTGCACACCCTCAGTATAGTCAACAGTATGTAAACCTGACCAATCACACCTACAATATAGCCCACAGTATGTGAAGATATCACCATGCACACTTACAATATGGCCTACAGCGTGTGAACACGTGACCATCACACCTATGGCCAACAGTATGAGGACTCCTGACCATACCAGGACTACAATATGGCCAACAATATATGGACACCTGACCATTACACCTACAATATGACCAACAGTTGGGAGGACACTTGACCATTTCACCTACAATATGCCCCACAATGATGGACACCTGACCATTACACCTACAAATATGGCCAACAGTATAGGACATCACCATTACAGTATGGCAACAGTATGCAGATACCTGACCATCACACCTTCAGTATAGTCAACAGTATCGTGAAAACCTGACCATCACACATACAAAATGGCCAACAGTATGAGAACCCCCTCCAGATGGGACTACAGGTGTTTCCAGTGAAGGGTGCTATTTACTACAGTATACAAAGGCCTCGTACAAATCAAGTGTCTGCACTGGAGCCCTGACCTTGCCCTACTGAAGACCTTTGGGAAGAGTTTGAACACCAAATGTGAACCAGGTCTCTCATTCAACATCAATATCTGACCCCCACAAAGGGGCACAAGCCTGTTTTCACTCTTGCTTAGAGCGCCACTATCAGATACACGCAAGTCTGGTGGCTGCATAGCTTTCTTCCTTTGTGTATAAGAGAACCTCAGCGCAATACGCCTCCTAAAGAAATTGTGCGGCTAGCATATAATGTGTTCCCACAGGTAAAACCACAAATAAATAAAAAAATGCAGCGCAACAATGTATACATATGGTGCTAACAATATGATACATGGTTATTTATAAGTAGTGAAGAAAACAAAAAACTGTGTTTGTGAAATCAATGTACCTACACCAAATGTCTTACCAATGCATACATGTGGACAACCCATAGAACCAGACACATAACCAGTGATAACAATGAATGTGCACACAAATACTCAAATAAAATGTCCTTAATAGTGAACTGTCCCTTGAATAATTTAAATATCACTTGAACTGGTGTGGTATATATCCTATAGATCGTGATCCAAATACACCAGCAGTCATACGATTAGGGTCTCACAATTTCACTACTGCATAAACGTGTACGGAGCTCCTGTGTCACCCTTTAGTGCTCCTCCACCTCCAACATTTTGTTGCGCTCACCTCCAAGTTTGACCCGTAATAACAGGTCAAACTGCGCTTTTCCCCGTTAACCCGGGAGGGTACACTGGTACACAGATCTTCACCACCGTTAGCCAGCACTTTTACACATCTCCAGATCGCTCCACATCCATGTGAAAAGAATGCTCAATATAGTGAAGTATTGCCACTAAAAACATCCTTTATTAAAATAATCTAGTTCAACTCACATTAAAATGTGTCCTCCTGGGACACTACAGGGTTACAAACTCACTATACAGTGTTTGCTGTAAGAAGTGTGCAGAAATCCCTTTTCCAAAATGGTGGCACATGCACTTCCAGCTTGCAGCCTGATGTTATCGGCATACCCTACGCGTTACGTCACGTGACTTCATCAGGAGTCATTTCTTCCTTTATTTTCACCTGTAACGCACTTCCTGTTTGTTTATTCCTCAATATGCTCAGTTCTAATACACAGCATTTCTCTCTTGGTCTGTGTATTCCAGAGAGAGGAGCAGCTGGCCCAGATACAGAAGAACAGAGAACAGAAGTTGAAGGAGCACCAGGCTTGGGTGCAGAAACAGAAGGAACGAGGAGTGGAACTGACTGAGGAGGAGTTACAGGAGCCGTATGATGATGAAGAAGAGAAACTTCCAGAACTTTATGTCCCTAAAGAGCCCAGCCCCATCCTGTGCGGCTTCTATGCCTCCCCTGGGAAGTTCTGGCTCTCCATGGTACAGTTTATAACATAAGCAAGGCTGGAGCTTGATAACTAACCCTGACATGGTTTGTTAAGATGGAATAAATGTTTTCTTCCTTCTCTTTGCAGGATGGATATGACTCTGGGTTCCTCTATCTTTGTGAGTTCTCCCAAAAGTGAAGATCAAAATGACCCTTCTACAAGGAAGGACGAGCCATTAAGTGCCTTGCCCATGGACAACACCAGCACCAACCCCATCCACAAGATTCATTTCAGGTGCAGACGGCCCTCAGGGAATGTGGGGAGCTCATTTATTCCACATCTTTTTAAAGGGACTCTATTATGGGGGGAAAATAGCTGAAGGTATTCCAGGGGTTATGACATTTCTGGGTAGTAAACCATAGTTCCCCCAGGGGCTGACTGACCATTTGGAAACTCGGGCACTGCCCGAGGCCCCGGGGTCAGTAGGGGGCCCCATGAGATGCCCCTTCTACCTTTTTCATAGGCTTTTTTGAGTTTGGGCAAGGACACAGGGGCCCCATGATCCCTTATTGCCCGGGGGCCCCATGAGTTGTCAGTCCGCCCCTGGTTCCCCCCTACTACACACATATCCTATGGTCCATCTCTATGATGGTAGCCTTCCTGGCCAGTAGGGATGTAGGAGGCAAGGTAGACGTGGCCAGGGTTCAGCACTGTCCGATTGAAGCTTTACCCATCAGAATGGCTCTGCTTTGCCATAGAAGATGCTTTTTTTTAAAATTTTCCCATGACAGGGTCTTTTTAAGATCGGATTGGTTCAGTTCATAAAGGCATAACATGCATCGTATTTTCATAACCATGCATTACAATCAAAGGTGGTTTCAATTAATTTCTGGACACAATACATCTACCAAACGTGTTTTTTTTTGCGCACGTCTACAGGCGTATTTTCTAGAGTGGTGGGGGAGGGGAGGAAAGGTGAGTTTGTATTACTGGGGAAGTGGTGAGGGGTTCCTGGCATAGGCAAAGCACAGTTTTTTCTATTCTTACAGCACAAGAGTTTCACGGCACAGTCATGTGACAAACAAGCTTTCCCACCTCTCCTTACCCCCGAAATCAGTGTGAAAATCCTATATACCAATACTGTTGTGCTGTATCCTTCAGTAATCATCAAAAATTAAAGTGATCTCTACTACTCAAAACCTCAATAAAAAGTTACAAGCACCACTTTTGTGAGAAAAAAAAAAAAAAAAAAAAAAAAAAATGTGAAAGTCTCATTAAATCCACCCATAAGACATATTATTTGGAATGCCACCAGTGAATCCCTCCACCACGTCACACACAGTATCTTGGGCGGAGCCTGTGCTGACGTCATCACGCATGCTGGAGCCGGTACTAGCAAGTGCTGCATACTGATTTGATATACTCATACTGGATATGTTGTAAATAGATGTACTGTTTTTTTCAGCAATAAACCAAGTGTTTTTTACACTATTGGAGGATGTCATCTGTTTCTATTGCTGGGCTGTTATTATTGGAGCGTAAGAGATATACAGTTGACTCTCCTGCCGGTGTGCCCTGTGGATCCCTATGCTGAATGATCCATTACTACAAGGTCCACGCACCTCTGAGCTTTCACAGACCACCTTCAATTTGGGATCTTTTGTTCTGGTAAGAGGCTGTGTGTGAAATGGTGGAGGCTCCAATAATTAAAACAGCCCAGGAATAGAAACAGATGACGTGTCCTAATAGTGTAAAACTGCTTGGTTTATTGTCTATTTACAATATATCCAGTATAATGTGCATATCAAATCAGTGTACAGCACCGCTAGTACTGGCTCCAGCGTGCGCGCGGTGACGTCAGCACAGGCTCCGCCCAAGAGGTTGTGTGTGTGACGTGGTGGAGGGATTCACCGGTGGCATTCCAAGATATCTCACGGATATATTTAATATGGAGGTAATGGATGAATGATTTATACTTTTTGTCACAAGTGGTAACTTTTTATTGAGGTTTTGTGTAGTAGGGATCACTTTTATATTTTTGATTACTGAAGGATACAACAGTGTTAGTAAATATGAATTAGAACATGTTTCGGTTGTTTATTAGATTTTTTTTTTTGCACTGTGTGCAGATTTCTCTTTTTATATATTGTGAAAATTCTGCTAATTCTTGCTGCAGGAGATTAAATATTAACCAGGTTAAAAGAAAATGTTGTGGACTTCCTGACTTTTCCATGTTTACTGGATAGTATTAGCAGTTTACTGGTGGATGTCTGTCATTCTCTAATCTTGGCTCTGCTTTAATACCTCTATAGCTCCAACAAGAAGCTGCTGTTCTGTGGGATGAAGGATGGGGCAGTTCGTGTTTACCCTCTCCAGCCCAATGACCCCTTACTCACCTCCATTGGCAGTTATTGGTCCCTTGGGGTCCATGACAACCAATATGGCAGCATGCAAGCCATCAGCAGCAGCTATGACGACCAATACCTGGTAACCTGTGGAGCCGACGGCAACATCTTTGCCTTCAGCATTCTTTCAATGGAGGATATTGAGCGAGACCTGAAAGTCAAGAAAGCGAAAGTTCCATCTCCGAGGGGTATGTCGAGTTAGACCTCATCCTTTCCACAATATCCCTGCCATATTCCTTCTAAACTATTCCTACTAGCGCCCCCTTTTAGAATATTACTGCAACTGCCCTCCCCTAGCCAGTAAGTATATTCCCAGATCATTGTACCTCCACTTTCCACCTCATACTGACCTTTCCTGACCTTACCACACTCTTTGTAAGATGCTGTGGCTACTGAACTTTGCCAGTTGTAGGTCTACATGCAAGCCAATCAATCTAAAATGTCTCCCACCCTTACCCAAGGTTCTCTACTACTTGGCCCCCCACACTCTAGAGAATGCCTCTCTTACTTACTTTTCCCTAAGGTAATCCCTGTTACCCACACCCCACATGCACTAGCATGACCTCCCCTCTTACCTATGCCTAAGGTAAGTTTCATGCTACTTGCACGCACACTCTCTAGAATGACCTCCCCTCTTACCTATACCTAGGGTAAGTTTCATGCTACTTGCACCCACACTCTCTAGAATGACCTCCCCTCTTACCTATACCTAGGGTAAGTTTCATGCTACTTGCACCCACACTCAATGTAATGACCTCCCCTCTTACCTATACCTAGGGTAAGTTTCATGCTACTTGCACCCGCACTCAATATAATGACCTCCCCTCTTACCTATACCTAGGGTAAGTTTCATGCTACTTGCACCCACACTCTCTAGAATGATCTCCCCTCTTACCTATACTTAAGGTATGTTTCATGCTACTTGCACCCACACTCTCTAGAATGACCTCCCCTCTTACCTATACCTAGGGTAAGTTTCATGCTACTTGCACCCGCACTCAATATAATGACCTCCCCTCTTACCTATACATAGGGTAAGTTTCATGCTACTTGCACCCACACTCTCTAGAATGATCTCCCCTCTTACCTATGCCTAGGGTAAGTTTCATGCTACTTGCACCCACACTTTCTAGAATGACCTCCACTCTTACCTATACCTAAGGTAAGTTTCATGCTACTTGCACCCACACTTTCTAGAATGACCTCCACTCTTACCTATACCTAAGGAAAGTTTCATGCTACTTGCACCCACACTCTCTAGAATGACCTCCACTCTTACCTATACCTAAGGAAAGTTTCATGCTACTTGCACCCACACTCTCTGGAATGACCTCCCCTCTTACCTATACCTAGGATAAGTTTCATGCTACTTGCACCCACACTCTCTAGAATGACCTCTACTCTTACCTATACCTAAGGTAAGTTTCATGCTACTTGCACCCACACTCTCTAGAATGTTCCCCACCCATACCTTTTCCTTAGGTATGTTCCTTGTTGGAGGGGCATTCTCTAACACCAGTCCAATGGGATGCTCAGCTCCACTTCCCCATTTCCCGTGTCAATAATCCATGGCAACACAACCCGCTCCCTCTCCTATGTCCCCAGCACTAGCTTCACTGTTCCTGGACTCAATGACACACTCCCTTCTAAAAACCTGAATACATTTTGGTGTCTCCTTTTAAATCTCCATTGATGTACAACTCCAGACCCTAGATGAAATTCTCCTCCTCACCCAGCAATTTGGAGGTTTTCCTGAGCAGGTAATCTGGCTCCTTTCCCTTTAAATAGGCGAACAGTCACTAGTAGGGGGATAATCTGGTTTCCCACCAGAGTGCTCCTTCCCCTATCCGCTCAGGGGGGTGCAGGTGTACTCACTCAGATCCTCCCCTGTACTTCTGGTGCTACCAGCCTATCAGCGGGGCTGCTCTGTCAGTGCCCATACAGGTGGGCTCACTCCGTGGGCCAGTGAGTTCCAAGGTTTCCTCCTTTCCAGTTCAAGGCTTGCAGGAAGGCCCCATCCCACTAGGCCTCCTGGCAGCCTCCTTCCTCACAGCCTCACATCTTCCTCTCTCCTTCACTTCACACTTCTACTGAGCAGGCTCCAACACTTTTAAGGGAGTCCCAGCCCCTTGCCAAGCCTTCTGTTGGGGATTAGCTGAGGTCCCTCAAGAGTGCAGCCAGCAACTCTCAGATCCACCTACTGCCTTCCTTCAAAAGCCTCAGAGCAGGGGGAAATTCCAGAAGCGCTGGCCTGCAGAGCCTCTCAGCCCTGACCACAATTTGATCCCTCTGTCTATGACACGTGAGCTGCTACTTAGCTCCTGTCTAACCATTAGGCTCTAGCTCCCCCTAGATAAACTAGGAGGGTGCAACACTAGGACACTTCTTTGTCATTGTTTGTTATAACCCCAACTTTCCTCATTCTGGACTGAGCACACTTTTGTTAGTCACGTTTGGTCTTTACTTGTAGCATTGACCATAACCCGAACACTATGTAAGAGCACCTCGGTGGACACTGAAGTCTACCTAAATCTCTCTGGATAATTTGGAGAGATCATTGGTGAAATCTCATACAGACCAGTCTTGTGAGTTTGTACAGTGTCCATTTTATTCCCTGGTAAAGTTTTGAGCCCTGATGAAGGGGGAATGGTATGGCTCCCAAAACATGTTGGCTGTTTTATGTGATTACACTATGAACCATCAAAGCCATCTGAAAAATTTTCACCATTTGGTTTGCCACTCCTGTTGCATTCTTAGGCCCCATGTACACGGGACACTTCTGAACGATGGAAACTGACTGCTGGAAAACGTAGGTTAAAAAACGTCTGTTTAGCTGCGTTTGCATAATGCATTTATGCGCGTTTATGTGCGTTTGCGTTTAGAAGCGTTTTTTTTACAGATAAGCACAGAAGAACCTCCCAAATGCCCAGAATGCACTGTAAAATGGTAAATTATTAACTATTTCAGACTGTTTCAGAGAAATACAGAGAGTAGAAGCAGAGACAGCAGAATGTGTTGAGATTCGCTTAGGTGTGAGTTGCTCATTAACATTTCTTTTGTTTCCAAGGGTGGGAAAGGTGTCTGGTGGAGGGAGTCATTAAGGTCACCTGGCAGGGGGTCTTCATGAGGAATTTGAGGTGTGAATGGTCATTAACATATCTTTTGTTTCTAAAGGCGGGAGAGGTCTGAGGTGTGAATGGTCATTCCAATGTGTGATGTGCTTGGTAGGAACATCCTGTGTTCAGTGTTTTGTCCATCTTCATGCATTTTTCATGATGAGAAAAGGCTCTGGATAGCATCGGGAACTTTAAGAGTTAACTTTTTTTTAAAATGCAACTGCTTATAAACACGCATTGCCGCGTTTACAAGCTTTTTGCGTTTGAAACGCTGATAAAATCGACTGCTGAAACGCAAGTTTTCTGCATTCAAAAAAACGACTGTAAACTCAAATGCCTGTAAACGACTGTAAACGAAGATGTGCACATGGACACATAGGAAAACATTAGGGAGAGTTCAGGGGCTGCTGAAAAAAAAACGCTGAACAGCTCCTAAACGTGAGTTTATCAGCCGCAGTGTACTTATGCTTTGAATAGTTACAGTTGTGTTCAAAATAATAGCAGTGTGTTGAAAAAAGTGAATAAAGCTCAAATTCCTTCTAATAGCTTTTATTTCCATCCACACAAATGCATTGGGAACACGACACATTCTATTCCAAATCACAACATGAAGAAAAATACATCAAATTTGTGTTGTTCCTTTAAAAAAATTGAAGAAAAGTGAATATTAGACGGTTCAAAAAAATGGCCGTGTTTGTATTCTTCTTTACAAACTCAAACATTCACTATATAAACTGAGAAATGTTTGAAGATTTTGCTTTCCTTTGAATGACTTCATGAATATTTGGTTGTAGTCGCACTGTTTCTGAGAACTGCTGTACATCTGTGTTGCATGGAGTCACCCAACTTCTGGCCCCTGTGATCAGGTATTCCAGCCCAGGATGATTGGACCACATTCCACAGTTCTTCTCTATTTCTTGGTTTTGCCTCAGAAACAGCATTTTTGATGTCACCCCACAAGTTTTCTATTGGATGAAGATCCGGGGATTGGGCTGGTCACTCCATAATGTCCATCTTGTTGGTCTGGAACCAAGATGTTGCACGTTTACTGGTGTGTTTGGGGTCGTTGTCTTGTTGGAACCCCCATTTCAAGGGCATTTCCTCTTCAGCATAAGGCAGCATGACCTCTTCAAGTATTCTGATGGATTCAAACTGATCCATGATCCCTGGTATGCGATAAATAGGCCCAACACCGTAGTATGAGAAACATCCCCATATCATGGGCTTGCACCACCATGCTTCACTGTCTTCACAGTGTACTGTGGCTTGAATTCAGTGTTTGGGGGTCGTCTGACAAACTGTCTCCGCCCACTAGACCCAAAAAGAACAATCTTACTTTCATCAGTCCACAAAATGTTGGGCCATTTCTCTTTAGGCCAGTCAATGTGCTCTTTGGCAGATTGTAACCTCTTCAGCACACGTCTTTTTCCCAACAGTGGGACTTTGCGGGGACTTCTTGCAGATAGCTTGGCTTCACATCGGCGTCTTCTAATTGTAACAGTCCTCACAGGGAACGTCACACCTTCTTTCATCTTCCTGGAGCTGATTGTTGGCTGAGTCCGCCCCATTTTGGCTATTCTTCCATCCATTCCAATGGTAGTTTTTCGCTTTCTTCCACGTCTTTCAGGTTTTGGTTGCCATTTTAAAGCATTTGCGATCATTTTAGCTGAGCAGTCGATCATTTTCTGCACTTCTTTATATGTTTTCCCCTCTCCAATCAACTTTTTAATCAAGGTACGCTGTTCTTCTGAACAATGTCTGGAACGACCCATTTTCCTCAGAATTTCAGAGAGAAATGCACTGTAACCAGCATGTACAACATTTGCTGCCTTCCTTCCTTAAATAAGGGCAATAAATGCCACCTGTTTTTCAAAGAATGAATGACCTCACTAATAGAACTCCACACGGCTATTATATTGAACACGCTCCTTTCAATGAGTGATTCAATGACACAGAATCAGCAGCATGCATGTCATGACTGTTGGGTCTGTTGGATTTCTATGACTCTACTACACCTGCTAGGAAATTATTTTGCCATGTAGAAATATCATTTCCACCAAAAACAGTGATTGATCCAGTTAGTGATGTCTGACTGCTATTATTTTGAACACAACTGTACATATGGCGCACACAGAGTCAACATGAACAATGGTGCAGCCACAGTGTACTGTAGCCGTAGCGTGTCCTCATCAACCAATATGGCTAGGTGACACCAGGACAAGTAGATATGACCGCACGTAGGGAAGCAATGAAGTACACAGAGCACACCTCTCCTAGTGGAACTTGTCACATACCACATACTAGTGGATTACTTAATCTGTATATTTTTCTTTTCAACTGACCTCACTTTGGGTGTTCCCACCAGCCTTCCCATTGTTCTATATGCTGCTTGTCTGCGTCATGTCCGCATGCTACAGGTATAGCAAATACTTGTCAGGAAGACTTGTAAACTCCATCTCTATTATCTTCCAGGATAGTCGGGAGGGGGAAAAACATGCCGAGGATATTGAGGATCCTAACGCTTACAGGTAAACTTGACGTTTTAATGATTCATGGCGGAATGAGGTACATATTTATTCTTTATTTTAAAAAACAGCTTTTGTTGTTTCTAGATATGCCGGGTCACTGATCTTTTCATTTCAAATGCGATGTGAATTTGGGCTTTACGTTTTTTTTGACAATGGTTGGGGAATGGTTTGAAGCACCGTTATACTAGTACAACGTTGGTGAGAAAATTGGACGAAAAATACCGCTTTTCGAGCGAAGCGATCGTCTGATAATCTGATCATTCCATACACAGTTTTGAGAGACGGTCATGACAGTTAGATGCCAAATTATCTGAAGGGACAAGCACAAACATTTTTGTTGTACAAAAACAGAACACGATCGGTTTTCGTTTGATCAGTAGAGTATTCGTCTGTAAATAATCAAGTGACCTACATGGAAGAAAATTATATTTGAAATATATTTAAAAATATTCTTCCCAAATATGTATTGACATATTTTTGAAATGCTACAATTTTTGGCCGTATTCAATATATCTTATATCTATCATCCATCTATCTGTCTGTCTGTCTACACTGCATGTTAAAATGCGTTTTTATATTTTAAAACATATATATTTGTCCACGGGCCCTCAGGCAGTACCAGAGTCGCAGTCCCTCCCTGCATATACCTACATATCGCCAAGACTGATGGGTCACCACAACGTGAATTTGAAGGACGTACATCTCATGTGACCCCTCATATTTCTTCTTCCAGCATTGAGAATGCCGCACAGAAGCGCCAGTTGATCTTCTCATGAAAGAAGCTGAGGAGAAGAAGGGCCAGGAAGCGTCAAGAGCTGGTCCAGATGAGAAAGAGTTCCAGGCACTTTCTGAGGAAAGAATGCTGAGCTGCCAAAAAACACATGCAACTGGGAAGAGCAGTAAGTATCTCTGAGGCAGTACACCATAATGCCAGCCTGCTACTCTAAAAGGCCTCATGTACACTGCTGCTCCATGTGAGTTTAGGAGCTTTTGCCATTTTTTTGCCATAGCCTCTGGATTTGAATCAATAAAAGCAAAGGTGTCCATAACAAACACAGATTTCCCAGCATACTTGCCAACCTGCAAAAAAACCCCAAATTGCCTGTCCAAGAATTCTTGTTACCAATCGGAGGGTTTTGTTTGCACCCACATTTACATAATATGCATAAGTCGCAGTGGCCTCACGTTCAAGGCACCCTTTGTGCTGCACGCAGTCCTGACTCTATCATTTTCAGTCTCCCAAGTTGGAGTATGTATTGAAGTGGATGGATGGTTGGGCAGGTTTGCCTGGAGGGAGCCCATTCCTACTTAAAGGCATATGGGACACACTGGACACCCAGCGAGAGCAAAATGGCAGCTGAAGGCATCCAGTGTGTCCCAGCATCCAAGTCAACCAACTGTACAAAGAAGTGGCCACCATCCCAACTAATGACCAGCCTTTGCAGTAAGGGAGCGCATTGGAAGGGGAGCGCACAATCTCTAACAAACTGTATGTAGCCGTGAGCCAATCTATATCCCACACTATACCGCCCAACTACACCCTATGGATTTCCCCCAGTATTTACCCTAATAGAGAACGGCAAACCAGACTGATTACGAGGCATGGAGGAGCTCAGCTATGAGGAGAGATTACAGGGACTGAATTTTATTGTCTACTGAGGAGAGGAAAATTAAGGAGGGATATGATCACCATGTATAATACATAGGGGGGATATGATCTCCATGTATAATACATAAGGGGGATATGATCTCCATGTATAATACATAAGGGAGGATATGATCTCCATGTATAATACATAAGGGGGGATATGATCTCCATGTATAAATACATAAGGGGGGGGGGATATGATCTCCATGATAATACATAAGGGGGGATATGATCTCCATGTATAATTACATAAGGGGGGGATATGATCTCCCATGTATAATACATAGGGGGGATATGATCACCATGTATAATACTAATAAGGGGGGATATGATCTCCATGTATAATACATAAGGGGGGATATGATCTCCATGTATAATACATAAGGGGGGTATGATCTCCATGTATAATACATAAGAGGGGATATGATCTCCATGTATAATACATAAGGGGGGATATGATCTCCATGTATAATACATAGGGGGGATATGATCTCCATGTATAATACATAAGGGGGATATGATCTCCATGTATAATACATAAGGGAGGATATGATCTCCATGTATAATACATAAGGGGGGATATGATCTCCATGTATAATACATAAGGGGGGGATATGATCTCCATGTATAATACATAAGGGGGGATATGATCTCCATGTATAATACATAAGGGGGGATATGATCTCCATGTATAATACATAAGGGGGGATATGATCTCCATGTATAATACATAAGGGGGGTATGATCTCCATGTATAATACATAAGGGGGGTATGATCTCCATGTATAATACATAAAGGGGGATATGATCTCCATGTATAATACATAAGGGGGGATATGATCTCCATGTATAATACATAAGGGGGGATATGATCTCCATGTATAATACATAAGGGGGGATATGATCTCCATGTATAATACATAAGGGGGGATATGATCTCCATGTATAATACATAAGGGAGGATATGATCTCCATGTATAATACATAAGGGGGGATATGATCTCCATGTATAATACATAAGGGGGATATGATCTCCATGTATAATACATAAGGGGGGATATGATCTCCATGTATAAATACATAAGGGGGGGATATGATCTCCATGTATAATACATAAGGGGGAAATGATCTCCATGTATAATACATAAGGGGGGATATGATCTCCATGTATAATACATAAGGGGGATATGATCTCCATGTATAATACATAAGGGGGGGATATGATCTCCATGTGTAATACATAAGGGGGGATATGATCTCCATGTATAATACATAAGGGGGGATATGATCTCCATGTATAATACATTAAGGGGGGGATATGATCTCATGTATAATACATTTAAGGGGGGGATATGATCTTCATGTATAATACCATAAGGGGGGATATGATCTCCATGTATAATACATAAGGGGGGATATGATCTCCATGTATAATACATAAGGGGGATATGATCACCATGTATAATACATAAGGGGGATATGATCACCATGTATAATACATAAGGGGGGGGGGGGATATGATCACCATGTATAATACATAAGGGGGGGGGAATATGATCACCATGTATAATACATAAGGGGGGTATATGATCTCCATGTATAATACATAAGGGGGATATGATCTCCATGTATAATACATAAGGGGGGATATGATCTCCATGTATAATTTACATAAGGGGGGGGATGATCTCCATGTATAATACATCAGTGGTTTCATATAGTGAACTCGGTGTAGTTATTCCCCTGAGGTCATCACAGAGGACAAGGGGGAGCTCTTTACGTTGGAGGAAAAGAAATGTAATCTCCAAACACGGGAAAGGGTTCTTCACAGTGAGAGCAGTGAGAATGTGGAATAGACTCCCTCAAGAGTTGGTTGTGGCCAGCTCAGTGGATTGCTGTAGGAAAGTCCTGGATTCTTTCTTGGATACACATGAATATAAAACTGGATATAACATTTATAGGGAAAGTTGATCCCGGGAATATCCAATTGCCTCTCGGGGGATCAGGGAAGGAATTTTTTCCCCTTGCAGGAGCAAATTGGATCATACTTTGCTGGGTTTTTGCCTTCCTCTGGATCAGCTGTGGGTGTAGGATTATAACTTGTTTTGTTTTTTTTAATGGTTGACTTTTTTTAGCCAGACTAACTATGTAACTGTGTAGTCATCAGATCAACATAATTAAAACCGTCACATGTTGAACGCACTGGAAGCCCTAACCATGGGGTATCCGGAAAGATACATGTGGGCGCCTCTATGTGTCTGCTGTCACCTCTGCCAGCAATGTGACAGTTTTAAAATTCTCACAGGTTTTACTTTAAAGTTCAATAAAAAACAGAGGTTGCAACACCTTTGAAAATGTACATAAAAGGCACCAAGAAAGTCTTATTATTTTTATTATTTCAGGTACTTATATAGCACCATCAATGTACGCAGCGCTTTACATATATATTGTACATTCACATCAGTCCCCGCCCCCAAGGAGCGTACAATCTAAGGTCCCTAACCCTCAAGGGGCGTACAATCTAAGGTCCCTAACCCTCAAGGGGCGTACAATCTAAGGTCCCTAACCCTCAAGGGGTGTACAATCTAAGGTCCCTAACCCTCAAGGGACGTACAATCTAAGGTCCCTAACCCTCAAGGGGCGTACAATCTAAGGTCCCTAACCCTCAAGGGAGTACAATCTAAGGTCCCTAACCCTCAAGGGGAGTACAATCTAAGGTCCCTAACCCTCAAGGGGCGTACAATCTAAGGTCCCTAACCCTCAAGGGGCGTACAATCTAAGGTCCCTAACCCTCAAGGGGTGTACAGTCTAAGGTCTGTAACTCACATTCATACATACACATACTAGGGCCAATTTAGACTGGATCTAGTTAACCTCCCAGCATGTCTTTGGAGTGTGGGAGGAAACCGGAGTTAGTACCCTGAGGAAACCCATGCAGGCACAGGGAGAACATGCAAACTCCAGGCAGGTGGTGCTGTGGTTGGGATTTGAACCGACGACCCGAGTACTGCCAGGTGGAAGTGCTAACCATTTCTCGATGCGTTATTGAGATGGGGCAGACATTTCGCTTCCTGAATGGATGCACAATCCACGTTTCTAATTTTTTTAGGAGTTTGAGATGGATCACAGAATCCGCGAAGAGATGGAGCGGCAAAAGTCAGAAAGCGTGCGCACCGCACTAAAGGAGCTAGCATGGGAGCAAGAGAAGCACAACATTGGACTAAAGAAACTGCAAGCCCAGTAAGTAAAGCATGCTTGTTATACTCCCTGTGGAACCTAAGAGGTTAATCCTCTGCATCGTGTAAATAAGCTGTTTGATCCTGTCTTCTCTGATCCTCCCTTTCCCCTATTGTCCATAATCCATCTGCTGATAGCCAGAGCTCTAGGAATCACTCTGCACATGCTCAGTTTAGTGTGTATTGCAAGAGGGTTTTTTTTTTGGGGGGGGGGGATACATGTGATCAGCACAGGGCCAATCAATGCTGTCTAGACAGAGGGTCAGGGGTTATGCAGCCTCATAGGACAGTCAGAGCAGAATGAAAACTCCTCTTACAAGCTTTAACCGGTGCTTTTCTGGACAATGAACCAGCATCATCACCTGTGTGGATGTGTATGGATCATTTTTTTTAAAAAAAAGGATATTGTTTAGTGTTACTAAACCCCAACAGTACAATCAGTCTGTAGATGCAGGAAAGCGTGCTTGTTATACTCACTGTGGGACCTAAGGGGTTAATCCTCTGCATTGTGTAAAAAGGCTGTTTGATCCTGTCTTCTCTGATCCTCCCATTCTACTGTCCCCAATCCATCCAGAGCCTTTGGGGCAAGCTGCACATGCTCAGTTCAGTGTGTATTTCTAGAGTGTGTTTTTTTTTCTTCGGAGAGTGCATGTGATCAGCACAGGGCCAATCAGCACTCTCCAGACAGAGGTCAGGGGTCCTGCAGCCTTATAGGGGAGAATGAAAACTCCTCCTACAAGCTGTAACCAGTGCTCAGCTGGACACTGATAGAAGTCACAAGACTGCCATATACTGCTGATGAGAAAAGGGATTTAGCAGTTTATATTAACAAAAATAATTGTATTTCCATGTTGTGTGTACTGTAGGAAACCAGATATAGTGGAATGCAGGGTCCGGGGAGACCAGATATAGTGAATGCGGGGTCCGGGGAGAGCGGATATAGTGAATGCAGGGTCCGGGGAGACCGGATATAGTGAATGCAGGGTCCGGGGAGACCGGATATAGTGAATGCGGGGTCCGGGGAGACGGATATAGTGAATGCGGGGTCCGGGGAGAGCGGATATAGTGAATGCAGGGTCCGGGGAGACCAGATATAGTGAATGCGGGGTCCGGGGAGAGCGGATATAGTGAATGCAGGGTCCGGGGAGACGGATATAGTGAATGCGGGGTCCGGGGAGAGCGGATATAGGGAATGCAGGGTCCGGGAGAGAGCGGATATAGTGAATGCGGGGTCCGGGGAGAGCGGATATAGTGAATGCGGGGTCCGGGGAGACCAGATATAGTGAATGCGGGGTCCGGGGAGACCGGATATAGTGAATGCGGGGAGCGGATGCGGGACCGGAGAGCGGGGTATAGTGAATGCGGGGTCCGGGACCAGATCTTGTGAGAGCGAATATAGTGAATGCAGGGTCCGGGAGAGCGAATATAGTGAATGCAGGGTCCGGGGAGAGCGAATATAGTGAATGCAGGGTCCAGGGAGATCACATATAGTGAATGCAGCGTTTGGGGAGAGCGGATATAGTAAATGCAGGGTCCGGGGAGACCAGATATAGGGAATGCAGGGTCCGGGGAGAGCGAATATAGTGAATGCAGGGTCTGGGGAGACTGGATATAGTGAATGCAGGGTCCGGGGAGACCGGATATAGTGAATGCGGGGTCCGGGGAGAGCGGATATAGTGAATGCGTTGTCCGGGGAGAGCGGATATAGTGAATGCGGGGTCCGGGGAGAGCGGATATAGTGAATGCGGGGTCCGGGGAGAGCGGATATAGTGAATGCGTTGTCCGGGGAGACCGGATATAGTGAATGCAGGGTCCGGGGAGAGCGGATATAGTGAATGCGTTGTCCGGGGAGAGCGGATATAGTGAATGCAGGGTCCGGGGAGAGCGGATATAGTGAATGCAGGGTCCGGGGAGAGCGGATATAGTGAATGCGGGGTACGGGGAGACCGGATATAGTGAATGCGGGGTCCGGGGAGAGCAGATATAGTGAATGCGGGGTCCGGGGAGAGCGGATATAGTGAATACCGGGTCCTGGGTTTAGTAACACTTTAACCTGCTCTTGCTCTGCAAAGGCAGATGTTTTCTAAAGACTTTTATAGATTTTGTTTTACATGACATTAGTGATGGATGGGCCTGGGGGGAGAGTGCTGCATGTGGTGGCCATTCAGGAGGTAGAAGGGTTGAGTGCCTTGGAGGGGACCAAGTGAGCAGTTTTTTCTCATGGGTCAATACCTATCCCTAGTATTATGTAGGCCCTTCTTCTAGTAAAATGTCCTATCATTTAGGAGAGGAAGCTGGGGGGCACCATGTCAGCATGAGGTACATTCTGGGCATTATGTGAGAACTCATGGTGACAGCAAAGCAAGAGCCTGCTGAATCTTGTTGCAGAATAATGGACAGCAGATGAGAACGATAAATAAAATTCAGGTTTTCTGGCATTTAATGTGAAAGCCTCAAATTATTATGGTCACCATAAAAGAGACTGTACATGAACAAGAAGTGAGGGTGCACTATGGGAGAGAGAGGGGATGTGGGAGTGAGGCAGGTAGGCAGGGAGGTAATCCCCTGGGAATAAGTGGCAGTGGTTATGAGGAGAGATGAGGCAATGTGTTGTCTTGGGAAGCACTGTGGTTACAAGAAGAAATGAGGGCCCTGGCCAGGAGGATAGACAAGGGAGGGTACTCCTCTGGGAAGTGAGGGCTCTGGTCATGAGGATAGACAAGGGACGGTACTCCCCTGGGAAGTGACCAGCTCTGGTCATGAGGATAGACAAGGGACGGTACTCCCCTGGGAAGTGAGGGCTCTGGTCATGAGAATAGACAAGGGACGGTACTCCCCTGGGAAGTGACAGCTCTGGTCATGAGGATAGACAAGGGAGGGTACTCCCCTGGGAATGTAGGGCCCTGGTCATGAGGATAGACAAGGGAGGGTACTCCCCTTGGAAGTGAGGGCTCTGGTCTTGAGGATAGACAAGGTAGGGTACTCCCCTGGGACGTGAGGGCTCTGGTCATGAGGATAGACAAGGGAGGGTACTCCCCTGGGAAGTGACTGCCCTGGCCATAAGGATATTCATGGGAAGGTGCCACCTTAGGAAATGAGAGTCATGCTCATGAGAAGAGATAAGGAATGGTACTCCTTTTGGGAAAAAGAAGGCGCTGGCCATGAAGAGAAACAAGGAAAGGTACTTCCCTTGGAAATGAGCATCCTGATAATGAATGAAGCAAGAAGAGGTATTTCCTTGGGAACTGAGTGCCATGGTCATGAGGAAAGATGGAAGGTGCCCCCCTGGGAACTGAGGGCCATGACCATTGTGAGAGACAAGGAAAGGTATTGCCCTAGGAAGTGATGGCCCTGGTCATGAGGAGAGATAAGGGAAGGTGTTACACTAGGAAGTGAGGATCAAGACCATGAGAGATTGGGGAAGCTGCTCCCTTGGAAATCAAGGGTCCTAGTCATGAAAAGAGTTAAAGGAAGGTGCTCCTCTGGGATCTAAATGCAATGGTTATGAAGGGAGATAAGGAAAGTTGCTTCTCTAGGAAGTGGGGGCACTGGACATGAGGAGAGATGAGGTAAGGTACTTCTCTGGAAAATGAGGAGAGTGAAGGTGTTTGCATTGTAGCTGAGGGCCATGGGAGAAGGTGGTCCTCTGAGGGCTTTGGTAATGAAGAGATATAACAGATGGTGCTCCACTAGAAAATGAGGGCTTTGTTCATTATGAAGGAAGGTACTCTTCTAGGAAGTGCGTCTCTGGTCATAAAGAGAAGTGGGAAGGTGTTGCCATAAGAAACTATGTACAAGAAGCCTGATAACCAGAGTAGTCCCTACTCTGGTTTTCAGGGTCTCCCAGGTAGTTTTTGATTTGTGGCCTTGGAAATGAGAACACCAGAGATTGTGAATCTAAACGGAAGAACTTCCTGCGCTAAGAATGGGGCCCTATTCACCAAGCTGCTGACACAAAGCTCCTTACCAAAATGAGTGAATACATATAAATATAAAGTGCAGCGCTATCCCTAAACTTACTAAATAAATATAAAATGCAAACTGACTGTTTAAAGTGTAACAGTGCTCTAAATAATACCACAAGGTACTAAACCTATGTGCAAAATGTGCATATACAAAAAATGTGCAACCCGTGTACTCCCAAATGGGAATAAAGTGCAATTAGTGACAATCAAAATCACTGCAAACATATATTGTAAAAAATAATAAGTCCATAAGGAAAAATTAAAGTGTCCAAATGCAACATAAGGAACTTTCAATCTTCATGCATGTGTCACACGTGTCCACACTGTGTGAATCCAAACATTAGCCGTGATGGCCCCTCACCTCCTTGCCAAGACCCCACAGGGTCAGCTCGCTTTAAAACAGGACACCACTCTGATGATTCACCAGGACCTCCCCCGCCTCTTACACTCTATCAGCAGTCTCCTCCTCGGATCATATATAAACAAAAGACTCACATAGTGTAATCCTGTTTATTCTTCCAAAATAGATATATAATAAAATTGGCCACTCACATTTAAATTCGTCTCCTCACAAGCCTTCAATACCCCATGCTATGAATCTCCTGCATGGGTATTTAGATACAGGGATTTCAAGTATGGCCGCCACGCCGGAAATGACGTCACCGCGCTCCCAGAATCCTCCTCGCGTTGCGTCACGGTAACACGTGACTTCCTCAGGGTTCAATGAGGAAGTCACGTGTTACCGTGACGCAACGCGTCGGAATGCGAGGAGGATTCTGGGAGCGCGGTGACGTCATTTCTAGATACTTCATTTTATTTTTTATTTGCAACTTTTTTATTAATTTTCAGTGTAACAGTTACAAAACAGAGGCTATAAGGCATACTGGGGCTTGCAAGTACACAGTTAAGCATAGCAACCTAAAAAAAAACCTCCTAAAAGCACTCCTAGTACCACAGCAACATAGGAATAGAATATATACAGGAGTAACAAAACCGTTGGAGAAGGTATCTCCTAGAGATTAACACCCGTTCCACCTCATCCGAAGACATGACAGCAGCTTATTGAGACATGAACCTGAGTATCGGGAGGAACCCGACTAACATCATCAAAGATATTCAATGGGTTTGGTTCCTGAGAGGCAGTAGTGGAGGGCCAATTGAGGCTTATGTTCCAAACCCTGGAACATTTTTTTCAGGCAACCCCTACAGGTGCTTAATTTTCCTCTTACAATCCAAAACTTACTGGTATGTTTAATAATTTCTTCTCAAATTCCACCTAATGTACCCATATGTGTATGGTAAGGACATAAGATGTAAGGTCCTTTGGGGGATGAGGACTCTATGGTTCCATGCACCCAAACACAAGCTTTATAGCAGTGGTTCTCAACCTTTCTAACGCCGCGACCCTTTAATACAGTTCCTCATGCTGTGGTGACCCCCAACCATAAAATTATTTTCGTTGCTACTTCAGAACTGTAATTTTGCAGTGGGAGGAATAGTAGTGCCCCATCATTGGTATCAGTGGGAGGAATAGTGCCCCATCATTGGTATCAGTGGGAGGAATAGTGCCCCATCATTGGTATCAGTGGGAGGAATAGCGCCCCATCATTGGTATCAGTGGGAGGAATAGTGTCCCATCGTTGGTATCAGTGGGAGGAATAGTGCCCCATCACTGATGTCAGTGGGAGGAATAGTGTCCCATCGTTGGTATCAGTGGGAGGAATAGTGTCCCGCCATTGGTGTCAGTGGGAGGAATAGTGCCCCATCATTGGTATCAGTGGGAGGAATAGTGCCCCATCATTGGTATCAGTGGGAGGACTAGCGCCCCATCACTGATGTCAGTGGGGAGGAATAGTGTCCCATCGTTGGTATCAGTGGGAGGAATAGTGCCCCATCGTTGGTGTCAGTGGGAGGAATAGTGCCCCATCATTGGTATCAGTGGGAGGAATAGTGCCCCATCATTGGTGTCAGTGGGAGGAATAGTGCCCCATCATTGGTGTCAGTGGGGGGAATAGTGCTCCATCATTGGTGTCAGTGGGAGGAATAGTGTCCCATCATTGGTGTCAGTGGGAGGAATAGTGCCCCATCGTTGGTGTCAGTGGGGGGAGGAATAGTGCCCCATCGTTGGTGTCAGTGGGGGGAGGAATAGTGCCCCATCGTTGGTGTTAGTGGGGGGAGGAATAGTGCCCCATCGTTGGTGTCAGTGGGGAGAGGAATAGTGCCCCATCGTTGGTGTCAGTGGGGGGAGGAATAGTGCCTATCGTTGGTGTCAGTGGGGGGAGGAATAGTGCCTATCATTGGTGTCAGTGGGGGGAGGAATAGTGTCTATCATTGGTGCCAGTGGGAGGAATAGTGCCGCATCGTTGGTGTCAGTGGGGGGAGGAATAGTGCCTATCATTGGTGTCAGTGGGGGGAGGAATAGTGCCCCATCGTTGGTGTCAGTGGGGGGAGGAATAGTGCCCCATCGTTGGTGTCAGTGGGGGGAGGAATAGTGCCCCATCGTTGGTGTCAGTGGGGGGAGGAATAGTGCCCCATCGTTGGTGTCAGTGGGGGGAGGAATAGTGCCCCATCATTGGTGTCAGTGGGAGGAATAGTGCCCCATCGTTGGTGTCAGTGGGAGGAATAGTGCCCCATCGTTGGTGTCAGTGGGAGGAATAGTGCCCCATCGTTGGTGTCAGTGGGGGGAGGAATAGTGCCCCATCGTTGGTGTCAGTGGGGGGAGGAATAGTGCCCCATCGTTGGTGTCAGTGGGGGGAGGAATAGTGCCCCATCGTTGGTATTAGTGACACAAATGATGGGGCACTATTCCTCCCACTGACACCAATGATACTTACCTTGCTGACCCCTGCTCCAGCCTGGGCTCGCTCTCTCCCTCTCCCATCTACAGCCTGCAGAAGCAAAATTTGCACTTACCTGTCAGCTGTCTTCCTTCTCTGGCCTCTCTCCTCTTCACTCGGTCCTGCAGCTCCCTCGATCTTCTTCGATCTGCGCGCTCTGCCGCTCGGCTCCTCCTCTCCAAGCTCCACCTCCTCGCCGGTGATTGGCCGCCTGTGTGCCTCTCCTGAGCTACAGTTCCGGTGGCCAATCAGCGGCGAGGAGGCGGAGCTGTTGAGTGATCCCGGAGGTGTGGCCAGGTTACAGGGGCAGCATATCATCCCGCCCACAGATCGCGAGACAGAGCAGCGGTGTCTCGGTTCCTAAGACCATCGGAAATATGTGTTTTCCGATGGTCTTAGGCGACCCCTGGGAAATGGTCGTTCGACCCCCAAAGGGGTCGCGACCCCCCCAGGTTGAGAACCGCTGCTTTATAGGATGACTAGAAATAAAATATTAATACAGTGCCTTTAAAGTATTCATACCCCTTGACATTTTTCCACATTTTGTCATGTTACAACCAAAAATGTAAATGCATTTTATTGGGGTTTATATGTGATAGACCAACACAAAGTGGCACATAATTGTGAAGTGGAAGGAAAATTATAAATCTGTGAAAAGTGTGGTGGCATTTGTATTCAGCCCCCCCGGAGTCAATACTTTGTAGGACTCCCTTTGGCTGCAATTCCAGCTGCAAGTCTGTTTGGGGATGTCTCTTTGCACATCTAGAGAGGGACATTTCTGCCCATTCTTCTTTGCAGAATCACTCAAGCTCTGTCAGATTGGATGGAGAGCATCTGGGAACAGCAATTTTCAAGTCTTGCCACAGATTCTCCATTGGATTTTGGTCTGGACTGTGACTGGGCCATTCTAACACATGAAGATGCTTTGATCTGAACCATTCCATTTGAGCTCTGGCTGAATGTTTCGGGTCGTTGTCCTGCTGGAAGGGGAACCTCCGCCCCGGTCTCACGTCTTTTGCAGACTATAACAGGGTTTCTGCTAAGATTGCCCTGTATTTGGCTCCATCCATCTTCCCATCAACTCTGACCAGCTTCTCTTTCCCTGCTGAAGAAAAGCATCCCCACCACATGATGCTGCCACAACCATGTTTCACAGTAGGGATGGTGTGTTCAGGGTGATGTGCAGTGTTAGTTTTCCTCCCACACATAGCGTTATGCTTTTAGGCCAAAAAGTTCAATTTTGGTCTCCTCTGATCAGAGCCCCTTCTTCCATGTTTGCTGTGTCCCCCACATGGCTTCTCACAGACTGCAAACGGGACTTCTTATGGATTTCTTCCAACAATGGCTTTCTTCTCGCCACTCTTCCATATAGGCCAGATTTGTGGAGTGCACGACTAATAGTTGTCCTGTGGACAGATTCTCCCACCTGAGCTGTGGATCTCTGCAGCTCCTCCATAGTTCCCATGGGGCTCTTGGCTGCTTCTCTGATGAATGCTCTCCTTGCCCGGCCTGTCGGTTTAGGTGGAGGGCCATGTCTTGGTAGGTTGGCAGTTGTGCCGTACTCTTTCCATTTTCGGATGATGGATTGAACAGTGCTCCATGAGATGGTCAAAGCTTGGGAGACTTTTCTATAACCTAACCCTGCTTTACACTTCTCCACAACTTTATCCCTGATCCATCTGGTGTGTTCCTTGGCCTTCATGATGCTGTTTTTTTCACTAATGTTCTCTAACAAACCTCTGAGGGCTTCACAGAACAGCTGTATTTATACTGAGATCACATGACACACATGGGTGAACTCTATTTACTAATTAGGTGAATTAGGCAATTGGTTCCACTAGATTTTAGTTAGGGGTATCAGAGTAAAGGGGGCTGAATACAAATGCACTCCATACTTTTCACATGTTTATTTGTAAAAAATGATGAAAACCATTTATCGTTTTCCCTTCCACTTCACAATTATGGGCCACTTTGTGTCGGTCTATCTATCACATCAAATCCCAATAAAATACATTGACGTTTTTGGTTGTAACATGACAGCATATGGAATATTTCAAGGGGTAGGAATATTTTTTCAAGGCACTGTACAGGCACATAGGGAGTCTGAGTCTCGTAGACTGGTAGATGCTTATCAGGTGAGAGGAACGGTAAAGCACAGTCATAGGTCAAAACTATGGCACTAGAAGGACGGCTCATTAGAGGGAATAATTTGACAAGCGGCCATGTGATCTAGTGAAAGATATCTCACTGGTTTGGGGATGGGGGAGTATAACATTGGGCAGGGGGCTACCAAAGGTGCAGGTACACTTGTGACTTTCTTCCACTGAATGTCTCCTGCTGTATGCCAGGTTCCGGGATAAGGTGGAGTTTGACGCGGGTGACGGTGCGTGCCATCAGCACTGAACACCAAGTATCCACATACAGACTCCTGTCTCTCCCAGAGAAAGACTACAAGGCGAAGGGGATGATACTGAAAAGGAGGCCAACCCGATACGACATCTTTCAGAAAGAGGAAATGTCTAAAGAGAACCGGGACTCAGGTGAGAGCTCATCGGGAAATGTTCATATCGGACACATTAGCTGTGGTGGTGCATTTGTTTGCGTTGTTCTTTTTCTGTGCACACTGGACAGCCTTACGGTGAGCTAACAACCATGTACCGTAATTCACATGTTCATCTCCTGCCTACATGTAAAGCCTACCCATATGGAAGAAAATTATATTTTAAATATATTTTAAAAATGGTCTTCCCAAATATATTGACATATAATTGAAATACTAAAATGTTGGCCATGTTCAATATATTTCAATATATATATATATCACGGCTACTCCAGTTTGCTGCCCATGAGAACTAGCAGCCGTTCTCCCCTCACTCTGCTCCGCCGCCCAGGAGAACCAGTCGCCGTTCTTCCGGGGGGGCAGGCATTCCCTTCACTTTGCTCTGCTGTCCAGGAGAACCAGCGGCCTTTCTTCCAGGGGGTGGCGCTCCCTTCACTTCGCTCTGCTGCCCAGGAGAACCATTGGCCGTTCTTCCGATGGATGGTGCTCCCTTCACTTTGCTCTGCTGCCCAGGAGAACCAGCAGCCTTTGGTCCGGGGGACGGTGCTTCCTTCACTTTGCTCTGCTGCCCAGGAGAACCAGTGGCCATTCTTCCAGGGGGCGCAGCTCCCTTCACTTCGCTCTTCTGCCCAGGAGAACCAGCGGCCATTCTTCCAGGGGGCGCAGCTCCCTTCACTTCGCTCTTCTGCCCAGGAGAACCAGCGGCCATTCTTCCAGGGGGCTCAGCTCCCTTCACTTCGCTCTTCTGCCCAGGAGAACCAGCGGCCATCCTTCGGGGGGCGGCGCTCCCTTCACTTTGCTCTGCTGCCCAGGAGAACCAGCGGCCGTTCTTCCGGGGACGGCGCTCCCTTCACTTCACTCTTCTGCCCAGGAGAACCAGCGGCCTTTTGTCCGGGGGACGGCGCTCCCTTCACTTCGCTCTGCTGCCAAGGAGAACCAGTGGCCTTTCTTCCGGGGGGCAGCGCCGCCACCCCCCTGAAAAATGCCGCCCAAAGCAAATGCCCCTGTGGCTATATTCTAACATTAATGCTCGCAGTCTTTGAAGGGAGTCGGCAGCAGCCAGCAATATGTGTATATTTCTAATTCAAATTTATTTTTTAAATCAATTAGAATTCAGAAGAAATTTCCTTTCGTTATTTTGGATTCATTTAAATTTCTTACTATTGTAACGCGGATCCATTCGAATTTCCCAATAATGAAAATTTTGTCCGAATTTTTATTCGGAACTAAATTAACTGCACGCGTCTAATCAACAGCCAGGCAAGCGATGGACCGAATCGGAAGGCAAGGACATCTTCAGGATACAGGCTGGGTTCAGCAACAGCCAGGCAAATGAGGGACCGAATCAGAAGGCAAGGACATCTTCAGGATACAGGCTGGGTTCAGCAACAGCCAGGCAAGCGAGGGACCGAATCGAAAGGCAAGGACATCTTCAGGATACAGGCTGGGTTCAGCAACAGCCAGGCAAATGAGGGACCGAATCGGAAGGCAAGGACATCTTCAGGATACAGGCTGGGTTCAGCAAGAGCCAGGCAAGCGAGGGACCGAATCGGAAGGCAAGGACATCTTCAGGATACAGGCTGGGTTCAGCAAGAGCCAGGCAAGCGAGGGTCCGAATCGGACGGCAAGGACATCTTCAGGATACAGGCTGGGTTCAGCAACAGCCAGGCAAGCGAGGGACCGAATCGGAAAGCAAGGACATCTTCAGGATCAAGGCTGGGTTCAGCAACAGCCAGGCAAACGAGGGACCGAATCAGAAGGCAAGGACATCTTCAGGATACAGGCTGGGTTCAGCAACAGCCAGGCAAGCGAGGGACAGAATCGGAAGGCAAGGACATCTTCAGGATACAGGCTGGGTTCAGCAACAGCCAGGCAAATGAGGGACCGAATCGGAAGGCAAGGACATCTTCAGGATACAGGCTGGGTTCAGCAACAGCCAGGCAAGCGAGGGACCGAATCGAAAGGCAAGGACATCTTCAGGATACAGGCTGGGTTCAGCAAGAGCCAGGCAAGCTAGGGACCGAATCGGACGGCAAGGACATCTTCAGGATACAGGCTGGGTTCAGCAACAGCCAGGCAAGCGAGGGACCGAATCGGAAGGCAAGGACATCGTCAGGATACAGGCTGGGTTCAGCAACAGCCAGGCAAATGAGGGATCGAATCGGAAGGCAAGGACATCTTCAGGATACAGGCTGGGTTCAGCAAGAGCCAGGCAAGCTAGGGACCGAATCGGACGGCAAGGACATCTTCAGGATACAGGTTGGGTTCAGCAACAGCCAGGCAAATGAGGGACCGAATCAGAAGGCAAGGACATCTTCAGGATACAGGCTGGGTTCAGCAACAGCCAGGCAAATGAGGGACCGAATCGGAAGGCAAGGACATCTTCAGGATACAGGCTGGGTTCAGCAAGAGCCAGGCAAGCGAGGGACCGAATCGGAAGGCAAGGACATCTTCAGGATACAGGCTGGGTTCAGCAAGAGCCAGGCAAGCGAGGGACCGAATCGGAAGGCAAGGACATCTTCAGGATACAGGCTGGGTTCAGCAAGAGCCAGGCAAATGAGGGACCGAATCGGAAGGCAAGGACATCTTCAGGATACAGGCTGGGTTCAGCAAGAGCCAGGCAAGCGAGGGACCGAATCGGAAGGCAAGGACATCTTCAGGATACAGGCTGTGTTCAGCAAGAGCCAGGCAAGCGAGGGACCGAATCGGAAGGCAAGGACATCTTCAGGATACAGGCTGGGTTCAGCAAGAGCCAGGCAAGCTAGGGACCGAATCGGAAGGCAAGGACATCTTCAGGATACAGGCTGGGTTCAGCAAGAGCCAGGCAAGCTAGGAGGACCGAATCGGAAGGCAAGGACATCTTCAGGATACCGGCTGGGTTCAGCAAGAGCCAGGCAAGCGAGGGGACCGTATCGGACGGCAAGGACATCTTCAGGATACAGGTTGGGTTCAGCAACAGCCAGGCAAATGAGGGACCGAATCGGAAAGCAAGGACATCTTCAGGATACAGGCTGGGTTCAGCAACAGCCAGGCAAGCGAGGGACCGAATCAGAAGGCAAGGACATCTTCAGGATGGGGCTGGGTTCAGCAAGAGCCAGGAAGCAAGATACAGAAACATAAGTCGGAGGCAGCGTCAGGATATAGGCCGAGGTCAATTAACAGTCGGGCAACATGCTACAAAATCTGAAGAGTACAAAACACAGGCCAAGGTCACAACAGGCAGACAAGGATCCAAACATGGGTCAAGGGGAAGCCGGGTCATACATGGGAAATCAAAAGTACCAGGCTGGGTTGCAGGTAAATGGGAAATAAAGGTGAAGACCGCTCAGCAATCTGTCCATGTCACTTTTCAGCAGGGGCGGAGTGACAACTCATGGGGTCCCTGGGCAATAGGGGATCATGGGGCCCCTGTGTTCTTGCCCACACTCAAAGCACACTCAGCCTATAAAAAGGTACCAGGGGCATTTCATGGGGCCCCCTACTGACCCCGGGCCCTCGGACAGTGCCAGAGTGCCCGAATAGTCAGTCCGCCCCTGCTCTTCAGTTTATATTGGCCTTTCATGCCTATACCAGTGCTGAGCATACACATGGGCCTACATGGCCGCTGCTTGGCGTGCATGCTAAAAACTCTTCGGGTTTATATATTGGATCTCCCTTACAAGGTCTCACTGCCACAGGCACCTGGGATGGCATTGTACATCATGTAATACTACCACCCCCCACCCCACCTTTGCTCATGAGACGATTTCTAATCCTGGTTATTTTGTGTTTTATGTCATAGCAGAGTCCGATCTCGGGGCCAGAAGTATTGTGACGGCGGGTGCAATAGCAGAGCCCGGTTTTGGGGCCCGGAAGCGGGGCCAGCAACAGATGTCGCAGTGGGCGTGGAAGAGGTCCGAAGGTCAAGTGGAAAGAATCCGCAAAGTCATAGAAAAGGCTGAGAAGGCAAAATCAAAAATTTCCCAGAGGAAGCGGGAATGGGATGAGTTGTGAGTTTTATGTTTCTGAAGACGGTCCCGAGTATGATTCTCTACTTCCAGGACAATGCAGGCACTGCATACTAAAGCTGGCTATACACCAGTAGATTTTTAACCACTTCCCGTCCAGGCCATGTACATAAACGGCCGGATGGCAGCAGTGCCGAAGCGGGGGTGCCGTTTCTAAACGGCCCCGCATTCACTTCATGTGCGCGCTCCCTGGGACCGCGCGGCTCCGCAATCCTATACCCGCTTTGTCTGGAACCTCTCCCCGATGGGAGCAATGCCTAAATGGGTCGCCGTTTTTAAACGGCCCCCCTCATTAACTGCCTGTGCGTGCTCCCTGGGACCGCACGGTACCGCGATTCGGTGCCCGCTGTGTCCGGAACCTCTCCCGGATGGGAGCAATGCTGAAGCGGGTTGCCATTTCTAAACAGGCCCCTTCATTCACTGCCTGTGCGTGCTCCCTGGGACCGCGAGGCACTGCAATACGGTGCCCGCTGTGTCCAGAACCTCTGTGTACGGGACCTCTGTGTGAAGTCCTGATTCATGTGATCCCTGATTGGCCAATCAGTGATCACATGAATAGTAGCAAGCAAGATGTCACTTCCTGACATCATTGCTTACTACGTGTGAAATCTGTGAATGATCACAGAGGTCACATGGTACAGGGATATTCACAACAGCCTTGTACCATGTGACAAGCTGTGACCAATCACAGCTCTCACAGTACTTCTCAATGGCTGCAGGAATGCCACCAGAGAGGTGAAATGATTGTTTTTACAGCCTTTATGGGTGTAAAAGAAATTAGTGTAAAAAAAAAAATCTTCATCACCCCCACAAGTAGTACAGTGTCCACCATAGTGACACTGTACTGCTAGGGTTACGATATGTGTAAAAAAAAAACCCCATAAATAATAAAATAAAAATGCTTTGAAAATGATAATTTTTGGTTATAAACTAATTTGGTTTATTTTTTGTACTAAAAAGATAGCTAGATACATTGTGGCCAAGATTTCTGAAGAAAGATTATTTATTTGCAAAATTTTATAAGAAAAACACTTTTTTTTTCAAAATGTTTGGACTTTTTCATTTATATAGCAAAAAAAAATAAAAATCCCAGTGGTGAATAAATACCACTAAAATAAAGCTTTATCTGTCTCAAAAAAATGCTAACAAATTCATATGGGTACAGTGTTGCATGACCGCGCAATTGTCATTCAAAGTGTGATAGCGCTGAAAGCTGAAAATTGGCCGAGATAAGAAGGGGTGAAAGTGTCCGGACTGGAAGGGGGTGAAAGTGTCCGGACTGGAAGGGGGGTGTCCGGAAAGTGTCCGGACTGGAAGGGGGGGAAAGTGTCCGGACTGGAAAAGGGGGGGAAAAGTGTCCGGACTGGAGGGGGGGGGGGGTGTCCGGACTGTGTCCGGAGTGTCTGGAAGGGGGTGAAAGTGTCCGGACTGGAAGGAGGTGAAAGTGTCCGGACTGGAAGGGGGGGAAAGTGTCCGGAATGGAAGGGGGGGAAAGTGTCCGGACTGGAAGGGGGGGGAAAGTGTCCGGACTGGGGGGGGGGGAAAGTGTCCGGGGGGGGGGAAAGTGTCCGGACTGGAAGTGGTTAAATGAATGTTCATACAAATGAACACTTGAACAAAAATTCTCGATACATTCGATGACTTGACAAATGTCCTTCAAAAAGGGGGTTAATCACTTGTTTAGTGTTGGGGAGAGCTAAAGTAACTTTACTTCTTTTACTTGCCTGATCCTCCACTTCCCTAGCACATAGTACTCCCCCATGCTGTAGCGGTGGACTGATCCTCTATGTCAGGGGTGTCGAACTTCATTTCATCGTGGGCCTTATCAGCATTATGGTTGCCCTCAAAGGGCCGGTTGTATCTGTAAGACTAGAGCACCCCACCCCCATTACATCAGATGTCAAGAATCCCACACCCTCCCTAACATCACCATGCACCCCCTTTGGGGACAGTGCTGGGAAGCAGAAAGTGCAGGGTATGGAGGAGGACCAGAGGAGGAGTGGAGTCAGTTACTAGAGTCTACCAAATACTGAGACCAGGGATGGGGTGCTGCAGCTGCACTGAGAGAAGCAGGATTTGGAAGAGGAGTTCTATTGTCCTCTCTGCTGCCGATTGATGAGATAAGGTGGAGGTGGAGACAAGGGGGTACCTGCAGAAGAGCTGCAAGGGCCACATGAAATGGCCTGGAGCTCTGTGCCATCATGTCCAGTGCAGGGCTATGAACCCTTGGTTGGTCTTGATGACGTCAGGACCTTAGACAACTGTAGTATGGGGGAGAAGATGCTGCAGGGACCAGTCTAGTAGCATGGAGAATCAGGTAAGTATATCTAAACATCTAAACATATCATAAACAAGCAATTAACTCTACAGTCATGGCCAAAAATATTGTCACCCCTTCATTTCTGTCAGGTAACGCACCACTTTGCCTGGAAAATAATTGCAATTACAAATATTTCGGCATTCTCATCTTTATTTCTTTGGTTTGTATTGGTATGACACAAAAAAAATGGAGAAACAAAAAGCCAAATCTGACACATTCCACGCAAAACCCCAAAAATGGACCCTCTTACATCAGGTATCCCCATAACCGTCCCCTTAAATGGGTTGTCCCCATCAGAGTACCCCCTTACGTCAGGTATCCCAATCCTTAAATGGCTTGTCACCATCAGAGCACCTCCTTACATCAGGAAACCCTACCACAGTGCCCCCTTAAATGGGTTGTCCCCATCAGAGTACCCCCTTACATCAGGTATCCCAACTACAGTGTCCCCTTAAATGGGTTGTCCCCATCAGAGTGCCTCCTTACGTCAGGTATCTCCATCACAGTGCCCCCTTAAATGGGTTGTCCCCATCTGAGTGTCTCTTTATGTCAGGTATCCCAATCACAGTGCCCCCTTAAATGGAATGTCTCCTTAAGAGTGCCCCCTTATGTCAGGTATCCCAATCACAGTGCCCCCTTAAATGGGTTATCCCCATCTGAGTGTTTCCTTATGTCAGTTATCCCCATCACAGTGTCCCCTTAAATGGGTTATCCCCATCTGAGTGCCCCCTTATGTCAGGTATTCCCATCACAGTGCCCCCTAAATGGGTTGTCCCCATCAGAGTGCCCCCTTACATCAGGTATCACAACCACAGTGCCCCCTTAAATGGAATTCCCCTTAAGAGTGCCCTCTTACATCAGATATCCCCATCACAGTGCCCCCTAAATGGGTTATCCCCATCAGAGTGTCCCCTTACGTCAGGTATCCCAATCCTTAAATGGCTTGTTCCCATCAGAATACCTCCTTACATTAGGAAATTCTACCACAGATCCCCCTTAAATGGGTTGTCCCCATCAGAGTACCCCCTTATATTAGGTATCACCATCACTGTGCCCCCTGAAATGGGTTGTCTCCATCAGAGTACCCCTTTGCATCAGGTATCTTCATCACAGTGTCTCTTTAAATGGGTCATCCCCATCAGAGTACCCCCTTATGTCAGGTCTCCCAATCATAGTGCCCCCTTAAATGGGTTGTCCCCATCAGCGTGCCCCCATACATCAGGTCTCCCAATCACAGTGCCCCCTTAAATGGGTTGTCCCCATCAGAGTACCCCCTTATGTCAGGTCTCCCAATCATAGTGCCCCCTTAAATGGGTTGTCCCCATCAGGTCATCAGGTCCCAATCACAGTGCCCCCTTAAATGGGTTGTCCCCATCAGAGTACCCCCCTCTTATGTCAGGTCTCCCAATCACAGTGCCCCCTTAAATGGGTTGTCCCCATCAGAGTACCCTCTTACATCAGGTATCCCCATCACAGTGCCCCCTTAAATGGGTTGTCCCCATCAGAGTACCCCCTTATGTCAGGTCTCCCAATCACAATGCCGCCTTAAATGGGTTGTCCCCATCAGAGTACCCTCTTACATCAGGTCTCCCAATCACAGTGCCCCCTTAAATGGGTTGTCCCCATCAGAGTACCCTCTTACATCAGGTATCCCCATCACAGTGCCCCCTTAAATGGGTTGTCCCCATCAGAGTACCCTCTTACATCAGTCTCCCAATCACAGTGCCCCCTTAAATGGGTTGTCCCCATCAGAGTACCCTCTTACATCAGGTATCCCCATCACAGTGCCCCTTAAATGGGTTGTCCCCATCAGAGTACCCTCTTACATCAGGTATCCCCAATCACAGTGCCCCCTTAAATGGGTTGTCCCGATCAGAGTGCCCCCTTATATGAACTCTCTGCAGCACATCAGAGTGCTCCTTTACATCAGTTGTCCCCAAACAGACTGGATCATGGATCAGTAGACACACTCCCCCCTGGTTGGTGAATTCTTGTGTTCAGGTTTAGTACTCGGATACATCTATAATATTCAACCTGCACAGGGGCATAAGAATGACAACTTTATTGTTCCTCTGCAGATATAAGACCAAACCCAGCGAAGACTACGAGGATCCGCAGGATGTTCTGGCAATAAAGAACGCCAAAGAAAACATGGGAGACTTTAAACTGAAGACGGCAGAGGACTACACGGTCCCGGAGCACCTACGTATCAATGCGGAGCAGAAGAGGAACGAGCTGGCGATGCTGGAGAGCATTGTACGTATATCACGGGTAAAACATGGGAAGAGCCTCGTGCATTGCCTGAGAAGTCACTTCATTAAATCCAACGTAGATATATTTATACTCACAAACAACTGCAGTATCAAAAACATATCAATGTCCAGAGCAACAAAGTCACCGCTCAGCTCCCAAAGGCAAATGGCTGACGCGTTTCGACGGGCGAGCCCCTCTTCCTCAGTGCCAATCACCGGTGCCTGACCCGTGGCCGTATGTGCGGGTCCTCAGTACTAGACATGTGCGGTTTGTTTCACTACAAATCAAAATTCAGACAAAATTTTCATTATTCACAGATTTGGATGTATCCAAACTTCCGAATTGCAATTTAAACGAAATTAAACGATTCCAAAATAACGAAACAAAATTTCATCCGAATTAAAAAATTAGCCAAATTCGAATCGAATTCAAAACTGAATCGCATTAGAAAAACAAATTCGAAATAGGAGCATGTTGCTGACTATTGCTGATTTAATTCAAAGACCGTGTTTCTTGGAATTCAAATTTCAAAAAGAATTGAATATAATAAAACAGAATGGAATAGAATAGAAAATAAAAGTATATAATAGATGAATAGAAATAGAAGAGGATAGAAAATAAAAGAATAGAAGAGGATAGAATAGAAAATAAATGAATATAATAGAAAAGAATAGAGGATAGCATAACAAATAAAAGATTGCAATAGATAATAAATGAATAGGATAGAATAGAAAAAAAAATAGAATAGAATAAATTAGAATATAGCTGTCTTCCAAACTTAGAATTTTGAAATTCAAATTTCATATAAAAGAGAATAAAATAGAATATGAACATCTTTCGAAATTTGAATAGAACATAATAGAAAAGAATAGAGTATAACAGAATAGAATAGAAAAAAAGGAGTAGAATAAGAAAATAGAAAAGAATAAGATTGAAAATAAAGAAATCGATTAAAAAATAATAGATTAGAAAAAAAATAGAAGAGAAGAGAATAGAAAGAATAGAGCGGTCTTCTGAAATTTCAAAAAGAATAAAATGTAATAAAAAAACAGAATAGGAGAGAAAATAAAAGAATAGAATAGAAAATAAAAACAATGAAATAGAAAAGAATGGAATAGAAAAGAATGGAAAAGAATAGAATGTAATAGAAAAGAATAGAATTTAATAGAAAAGAATGTAATAGAAAAGAATAGAATAGAAAACAATGGAATAGCAAAGAATAGAATTTAATTGAAAAGAATAGAATAGAGTAGAATAGAATAAAATAGAATAGAATTAGTAACCTAACAAATCAATCCGTACTCAGTACTGGATATTATGTGTGGCCACATTAGTTTTTCTTTTTTAGGCTTCCTTTCTTTTATTTTCACCTGGTGATCTGGCCAGTAAGCCTTTTGTATTTTCAACAGAACAAGCTCTCCTGCAGATGTAGCAGTTAGAAGAAGGTTGAGATGAATCTGTGAACGCTGACAGGAGTGCTTACAATGGTCAGCCTCCTTATATAAAACCTCTATCCCAAAAGGAAAAAAAACAAAACATTTTGCTGTAAGTGATTATAATGTATTAGTTGGAGTTTGGCTTCAATTTGTTAGTGTATCTAAATCTGTTAGTACATCTAACACTCCCCTCCCCCCAAAGACTGACATTGATGCTGTCAGCTGTGCCTCCTGTGCTCCCTCATCCAGAGTGGAGGCGCTCTCATACAGGAGGTGTGTTACTGTCCAGATCACCAGGTGAAAACAGAGGGGAAAAAAATAAAACGAATGCAGCCACCACATCTAATGATTGGAAAGCTGCAATATGTAATCTGGTGATTTCACCAGTTCTTCCCTCCCCCCCCCCCCCCCCCCCATTTTCAACAACCTACTGAAATGTTTGAAAAGGGAACCGTTCTGTTTTCATTACATACCGTATATGAGACCCTGTTATGTTATCACTGGGTCTCTGTGCTTTTCTCTGCAAAGTAGGCAGATCATGACTTGTGGTAGGACGGTCACCTGTGATGCTGAGCCTTCTTGATTGAAAAAACTGGGATGCAATGAATGAAAGGGGCGGAGCAAGGGTGGTCAGGCTGACCATGAAAGGACTAGATCACGGGTTTCAGAATGGCAGCCCTCCAGCTGTTGCGGAACTACAAGTCCCATGAGCCATTGCAAGGTTGACAGTTACTGACAGCATGACTCTCACAGGCAGAGGCATGATGGGACTTGTAGTTCCACAATAGCTGGAGTGCTGCCAGATTGATACCCCTGGACTAGATGATGCTGGATGACCTCCAGCCAGGAAAGGAGGCGGAGCTCTATCTGACTTGCTGCAGCTTCTGATGCACATTGTGAGACGCTCACAGTATGCAGTGAATACAGAGGAAGCCATTTCAGTTCAGGGGAGGAGCTGCTCTGGGCACAGTGGAGATTTGGGGGATTTGTACTAGGAGGCTGGTTTTCTGTTAGCAAGGAGGATTTGAGCTGACCATAGTTCAGTATAACCAGTGTGGTCAGTGTTCACAACCTTGGCTGCTCTCAGCTCTGTATAACCAGTGTGGTCAGTGTTCACCATCCTGGCTGCCCTCAACTCTGTATAACCAGTGTGGTCAGTGTTCACCATCCTGGCTGCCCTCAACTCTGTATAACCAGTGTGGTCAGTGTTCACCATCCTGGCTGCCCTCAGCTCTGTATAACCAGTGTGGTCAGTGTTCACCATCCTGGCTGCCCTCAGCTCTGTATAACCAGTGTGGTCAGTGTTCACCATCCTGGCTGCCCTCAATTCTGTATAACCAGTGTGGTCAGTGTTCACCATCCTGGCTGCCCTCAATTCTGCATAACCAGTGTGGTCAGTGTTCACCATCCTGGCTGCTCTCAGCTTTGTATAACCAGTGTGGTCAGTGTTCACCATATTGGCTGCCCTCAAACTCTGTATAACCAGTGTGGTCAGTGTTCACCATCCTGGCTGCCCTCAACTCTGTATAAACCAGTGTGGTCAGTGTTCACCCATCCTGGCTGCCCTCAACTCTGTATAAACCAGTGTGGTCAGTGTTCACCATCCTGGCTGCACTCAGCTCTGTATAACCAGTGTGGTCAGTGTTCACCATCCTGGCTGCCCTCAATTCTGTATAACCCAGTGTGGTCAGTGTTCACCATCCTGGCTGCCCTCAATTCTGTATAACCAGTGTGGTCAGTGTTCACCATCCTGGCTGCTCTCAAGCTCTGTATAAGCAGTGTGGTCAGTGTTCACCATCCTGGCTGCCCTCAACTCTGTATAACCAGTGTGGTCAGTGTTCACCATCCTGGCTGCCCTCAGCTCTGTATAACCAGTGTGGTCAGTGTTCACCATCCTGGCTGCCCTCAGCTCTGTATAACCAGTGTGGTCAGTGTTCACCATCCTGGCTGCCCTCAATTCTGTATAACCAGTGTGGTCAGTGTTCACCATCCTGGCTGCTCTCAGCTTTGTATAAACCAGTGTGGTCAGTGTTCACAATCTTGGCTGCCTTCAACTCTGTATAACCAGTGTGGTCAGTGTTCACCAAGGTTGGAACAAGGGGTGGGCAGGAGGGGCGGCTGCCCTGGGCGCAGTGGAGATTTGGGGGATTGTGGTAGAAGAGTTGATGTGGATGGGGGATTTGCACTAGGAGGGCGGTCTTCTGTTAGGAAGGAGGATCTGGGGGGAAGGATTTGTGCTAGCAGGGATGACTGGTGGGGTTTGTGCTTGGAGTAGAAATTTTGGGGGGGGAGGATTTGTGCTGGGGGGCGGAGTTTTGGTGGGGGGTGGGATTAGTGCTAGGAGAGGGGATTTGGGGGATTTGTGCTGGGAGAGGGGAATATGGAGGGGGGAGAGGAGTTATACTTGGAGGGGAAATATGAGGGGTAGAGGATTTGTATTAGGAGGGGGGATTTGGGAAGGGAGAGGATTTGAGCTGGGAGGGGGGATTGTAGGGGGAATTTTTCTTTGGGGGGAATTTGGGCTTGCAAAGGGAATTATTCTTAGGTGGTGAGTGTGAAGATTAGTGCTCAAATTATTTTGCGGGGGAGGGAGGGGATTCGTGCTGACATAATACTCATGAAGTTTAAGGGGGGGGGGAGGCATTTGGTATATTCATCCTGGGCTCTAGATGACCCTGTCCCACCACCGCCCACCCCAGAGTATTGATTCATTAATGCTCATCTTGTTAAGTTAGTTTAGTTAGTTAAGGGGGTGCAACACAGAGAAATACCTACCTTTCCCTTTGCTCCAATGGCAGCTGGAGATCCTCCTCACCCAAGAACAAGGGCAGTCCGTGACGTCATCACGTACAAGGGGACATCCTAATTACCTTTTTTTTTTTTTTTTTTTTGTGCTCACCGAAACTCAGCGACTCGGTTGCCATGCTGTAGATAGCCACAGCCAAGGTCTGCTCTAGAGAGAAGTGCAGTGTGCGGCCTATTTGGCTCCTCTCTCCTCTTCCCGTACTATTGGGTATTTGGTTTTAAATATGACCCCAAGGAAGGGATATTGAGATGTCCTCATGCCTCATGTTTTTTTTCTAGCGCTTATGAAGGGGGTGCTCTTTGATCCCCAAAACGCGCTGGCTACTTTTTGGATTGTCCCCTTGACTTTTTTTGGAATAAAATTGTATCTGGACCTCATAGCAGTGTTGTGACCCTTCCCTTTCCATTTTTTGTTACAATTCTTCTCTGCAAGGTGGCCTAATGCAGGCCATAGATGGGGCGAAAACCGGCCGTGTTTTTATAAAAAAAATGAAAAATTGGTTGTTCGAAAGGCCGACGTTACCACCAACGATAAAAAAATCGGCCGATTTTCGTCCCGTCTACGGCCGGCATTTAATTACTTCTGTCCCTGCAGAGAGCTCCGCTATTATATTTTACATGAAAAGTCTTGCGGTTGCAACAATGTATCCATTTCCATTTCGGATACAGATGGTTTTATTCTGATACAAATAGATACATTGTTGCAACTGCAAGACTTTTCATATAAAATATAGTAGCAGAATAATTCTTCTTTTTCTTCTTTTTCTTTTTCTACTTCTTCTTTTCTTCTTCTTTTCTTCTTTTCCTTTTTACTTCATCTTCTTCTTTTTCTTCTTCTTTTTCTACTTCTTTTTCTTCCTTTTCCTCTTCTTTTTTTTCTCCTTCTTTTCTTCTTTTTTCTCCTTTTTCTTATACTACTTCTTTTTCTTATACTTCTTTTTCTTCTTTTTCTTTTTCTTTTTCTTCTTTTTTTCTTCTTCTGCTTCTTCTTCTTTTTCTTCTTCCTCTTCTCTTCTTCTTTTTTTCTCTTCTTATTTTCTTCTTGTTCCTCTTCTTTTTTTTTTCTCCTTTTTCTTCTTTTTTCTTTTTCTTTTTCTACTTCTTCTTTTCCTTATACTTCTTCTTCTTTTTCTTTTTTCTTCTCTTCTTCTTCTTCTTCCTCTTTTTTTTTTTTCTTCCTCTCCTTTTTTCTTCCTCTTCTTTCTACTACTTTTTTTCTTCTTCTTCTTCTTTTTCTTCTTTTTGCAGGTCACAGCTCATGCACAGATTTTTTATCGGTAAATTGATCGGCCGATTTGCCCATAATTGCCGGGAAAATCGGCTGATCGTCATAATCGGCCTCCGTGAATTTTCCAACTTGACCGATAAAATAATGTGCCAAAACCCCGAAAAGCAGCTGACCAATTAACCCACTAACAGTGCGAAAATCAGCCAATTTTTGACCCGGTTATGGCCTGCATTACAATGTGGTTTATACATTTTTTTATTTTTTGCCTTCATTCAGATCCATGAACAAAAGTCGGCCATGAACCGATCCATCTTAGAGCTGCGAGACTTCAAGGTGGAGACCATAGAACATATGAAGAGTTTAGCGGTGGAGCTAAAAGTCATCCAGTCCATGCTGGACCCTTCCAAACATCTCCCCATCCCCGAAGTCCCATCCATGAATCCTGATGAGATTCCGGAGAGGAAGTTCCAGTATGACAACGAGACCCTCCAAAAATTCAAACGGGAGCAAGCGAAGCAGGTCCAGGCCCCGCGGATGGTGGAAGGAGGTGGATTTGGAGCCTTCGAAGGGTTCGGAGGGCAGCAGCAAGCTGCAGTTAAGCAGGCCTGGTCTTCAAGGCCGTCCACCACAACGACCGTCAGGTCCTACCGAGCCGTGTCTGCCAGAACCCTCCAGGTGGAGGATGCAGAACTGTCAGAGCTGGAGAAGGAGATGATTCGGATTGAGGAAATTCAAAATCTCTACAGGCAGAAAAAAATCATCAAACAGGTACATCGACCCATCATAACTAAGGGGAGAGAGCAATTATATGAGAGTAAAATATTAAAGGTGAAGTTTAACCAGCCCATAAACAAAATACAAAACACCAAAAGTGCCTCACACTAGAAAAAACTATATATAAGTGAAACAAACTGTATATAATACATTCATAAACTCACAAAAGAAAAAATATATGTGCATTTAATATGTATTCCTGTGTATAAACAACTAAATGAAAATATACACTCACCGGCCACTTGATTAGGTCCACCTGTTCAATTGCTTTGTAACACAAATTGTTAATCAGCCAATCACACGGCAGCAACTCAATGCACTTAGACATCTAGACGTGGTGAAGACGACTAACCGAAATTCAAACCGAGCATCAGAATGGGGAAGAAAAGGGATTTAGGTGACATTGAACGTGTCATGGTTGTTGGTGCCCGACGGGCTGGTCTGAGGATTTAAAAAAACTGCTGATCTATTGGGATTTTCACGCACAACCATCTGTAGGGTTTACAGAGAATGGTCCGAAAAAAGAAAAATGTCCAGTGAGCGGCGTTGGGTGGAGGAAAATGCCTTGTTGATGTTAGAGGAGAATGGGCAGACTGGTTGGAGATGATAGATAGGCAACTAACCTAAGGCCAATAACCACTTGTTACAACCAAGGTATGCAGAATACCATCTCTGAATGCACAACACGGCCACTTGAAGCAGATGGGCTACAGCAGCAGAAGACCCACACCAGGTGCCACTCCTGTCAGCTAAGAACAGGAAATAGAGGCTACAATTCGCACAGGCTCACCAAAATTGGCCAATAGAAGATTGGAAAAACGTTGCCTGGTCTGATCAGTCTGGATTTCAGCTGCGACATTCAGATGGTAGAGAATTTGCCGTAAACATCATGAAAGCTTGGATCCATCCTGCCTTGTATCAACGGTTTCAGGCTGGTGGTGTCATGGTGTGGTGGATCCATCCTGCCTTGTAGCAATGGTTCAGGCTGGTGGTGGTGGTGTCATGGTGTGGTGTATCCATCCTGTCTTGTATCAACAGTTCAGGCTGGTGGTGTAATGGTGTGGGGTATATTTTCTTGGCACACTTTGGGCCCCCTTTAGTACCAATTGAGCATCGTTTAAACACCATGGCCTACCTGAGTATTGTTGCTGACCATGTCCATCCCTTTATGAATCCAGTGTCCCCATCTTCTGATGGCTCCTTCCAGCAGTATAATGCACCGTGTCACAAAGCTCAGATCATCTCCAACATGACAATGAGGTCACTGGACTCCAATGGCCTCCACAGTCACCAGATCTCCATCCAATAGAGCACCTTTTTGATGTAGTGGAATGAGAGATTCGCATCATGGATGTGCAGCCGACAAATCTGCAGCCACTGTGTGATGCTATCATGTATCACACACCTACTGAGCGACATATCAGACTGGATGTCGCTCCACTTCCTTAAACTGAACCTCTCCAAAACTGAGTTTCTTGTCTTCCCCCCCAGCCCACGCACCACCCCCCACTGACTTCTTTCTCACATCCAACAATGCCACCATCAAACCCGCACCGCAGGCCAGATTACTTGGTGTCATTCTGGACTCCAACCTATCCTTCCAGCCCCAAGTCCAATCTTTAACAAACTCGTGCAGACTCCACCTCCGCAACATGCAGACTCCACCTCCGCAAAATTGCCAAAATCCGCACGTTCCTAACCCCAGAAACCACTAAACAGCTCATCCACTCCCTCATCATATCACAACTCGACTACTGCAACTCCCTCCTCACTGGCCCTGACCTCACCGCAGGCTATCCCCGCTTCAGTCCATCCTGAATACGGCTGCCAGACTCATTCACCTTTCCAACCGCTCCGTTTCCACCACCCCCCTCTGCCAATCCCTCCACTGGCCTCCACTCAGTGTCCTCCACCCCCCTCTGTCAATCCCTCCACTGGCTTCCGATTGCCCAACGGATCAAATTCAAAATCCTAACACTGACGTACAAAGCCGTCCACCATACTGCCCCCGAAACTACCTCACTGACCTAATATCCAAGTACCGCCCAACACGCACAACTCCGCTCCTCACAAGACCTCCTTCTCTCTAGTTCCCTGGTCTCCTCCTCCCATGCCCGCCTCCAGGACTTCTCCAGGTGTCACCCATCCTCTGGAACTCCCTGCCCCAACCCATCAGATTATCACCTACTCCTCCCTCTCCTTTAGGCGCACCCTGAAAACCCACCTCTTCAGGGAAGCCTACCCCACCCCCTGCTAATTTGCCGACCTCCTCCACTCTTCCTACCACTCCATCCCCCACAGCTTTCTCCTCCTGTGCCACCATCCCCTCCCTCCTAGATTGTAAGCTCCAAAGAGCAGGGCCCTCAATCCCCTCATATTTTGCATTGTATTGTTATTGTTCTGTCACATGTTCTGTCCCCCTTTGTAATGTACAGCGCTGAGCGAACTATTGGCGCTTTAATAAATACTGTATAATAATAATGTCAATATGAATCAAAATCTCTGAGGAATGTTTCCAACACCTTGGTGACTCTATTCCATGAAGAATGAAGGCAGCTCTGAAGGCAAAAGGGGGTCCAACCCGATACTAGCAAGGTGGACCTAATAAAGTGGCCGATGAGTGTATTTGATCATAAAGTAACAAGTTGTCCAGTATACAAATCCCATACACCGTCCAATCTTCCCGTGAAATTCCTGATCACCTTTGCATTCCTTCCATGTTCAAAATCAGAAAACTAATATTCTCCACCATGAAAAAACATCGAAGTGCTCCCCTGGTCTGATGGACCCCACTGCAAGAATGGAGGTCAAACATGCTTTTTTGTCATGAACAAACAACTTATATCAAGATCCTCCTTCGATTATGATCACCAACCTCCCAAAGACATGGAAAAAGTATTCACATAGAAAAGCCAATAGTGCAGACTGCAATTCCTTATTCAGGGCTCATAATTTCAAGTCCTGAGCTACTAGCCAGGACTTAAGAGTCACTTGCCACCAGTTCCCCACCCAACCCCTAACCTGCCCCGCCCCTAATTCCGCCCCTAAACACGCCCTCGTAAATTATCTCATGAAATGGCACTGTTAAATGTTTTATGCAGAATGAAGGAACGGAAGAAAGGAAATGGAAGGAAGGGTGAAAGGGAGGGAGGGGTGGAAGGAAGGCAGAGAGGGAAGGGTGGAAGGAAGGAAGGGAGAAGGAAGGGAGGGAGGGGTGGAAGGAAGGCAGAGAGGGAAGGGTGGAAGGAAGGATGGGAGGGATAGCAGGGAGGGAGGAAAGGAAAAAAGGGAGGGAAGGAAGGGAGAGGTGGGTGGAAGGAAGGAACAAAGGAAGGGAAAGGTGGATGGAAGGAAGAGAGGGTGAAAGGAAGGAAGGGTGGAAAGAAGGAAGGCAGAGGTGAAAGGCAGGGGTGGAAGGAAGGAAGGGGGGAAGAAAAGAAGGGGTGGAAGGAAGGGGGGGGGGGTGGAAGGAAGAAAGGGAGTAAGGAAGGGTGATTGGAAGGAGGAAGGGTAGGGTGGGGGAAGGAAGGATCGGAGGGAAGGGGGGGGGGGGGAAGGAAGGGGTGGGTTGAAGGAAGGGGGGGAAGGGGGGAGGGGGGGGTGGGGGTGGAAGGAGGGAAGGGGGGGGGGGGGGAGGGGGGAAGGAGGGATGGGGGGGGAAGGAGAGGAGGATGGGGGGGGGGGGGGGGGGGAAAGGGGGGGGGGGGGGGGAAGGGAAAGGGGATCGGGGGGGGAGAGGGGGGGGGGGGGGAGGGAGGAGGGTGGGGGGGGGAGGGAAGGGGGGGGGTGGGGGGGGGGGGGGGGGAGGGGGGAAGGAGGGGGGGGGGAGGAATGAAGGATTGAAGGGAAGGGGGGGGGAGTGGGGGGAGGGACAGAGGACAGGGGGGGGGGGGGAAAGGGGGGTGGGGGGGGGGATCAGGGTGGGAGGGAGGGTTGGGGGGGGGGGGGGGGGGGGTGTGGGAGGAAGAAAGGGGGGGTTGAAGGAAGGGGGGGGGGGAAGGGGGGGGGTGAAGGAAGGGGGGGGGGACGGGGAGGAGTGGGGGGGAAGGAAGGAAGGAGGGGTGGGGGGGGGGGGGTAGGGGGGGGGGGGGGGGGGGGGAAGGGGAAGGGAGGAGGGAAAGGGGGGGGGAAGGGGTGGAAAGAAGGATCAGGGGGGGGAAGGGTGGGGGAAGGTAGGAAGGGAGGGGGGGAGGGGGGAAGGGGGGGATTGGGGGGGGGGGGGGAAGGAAGGAGTGGGGGGAATGGGGGGGGGGAAGGGGGGGGAAGGGGGGGGGGGGGGGGGGGGGGGGGGGGGGGGGTAAGGGGGGGGGAGGTGGAAAGGGGAAGGGGGGGAAAGAAGGATCTAAGGGGGGGGGGGGGGGGGGGTGGGGGGAAGGAAGGGTGGGGGGTAAGGGGGGGGGGGAGGGGGGGGGGAAGAAGGGAAGGGGGGGGGTGGGGGAAGGGGGGGGGGGGGGGGGGAAGGGGGGGAGGGGGGTGAGGGGGGGGGGGAAAGGAAGGGGGGGGGGGGGGGGGGGGGGGGGGGGGGGGGGGGGGTTGGAAGGAGGAAGGAAGGGGGGGAAGGAAGGATCGGGGGGGAAGTGAAGGGTGGGTGGAATGAAGGACAAGTGGGTGGGAGGAAGGAACGGAGGGGTGGAAGGAAGGATCGGAGGGGGGGGAGGGTTGGAAGGGGGAAAGGGAGGGTGTGTGGGAAGGAGGGAGGGTGGGTGGAAGGAAGGGGGGGTAGAAGGAAGGAAGGAAGGGTTCAGCTTTAGGTGTTCGGGTAGGGGAGGACTTTTACTTTGCACACTCAGATTCGGGACCATGACTATGCTCTGTGGGCGGAGTGAAACGCATTGGGGGTGTGGCCTTGTTGGAGCCCGGGCTGAGGCTGTCATACACCTTTTCACAGGACTTTTCCCTTTTCCAATAGATGCAGGAAATACGGATTTGGCCATTTATAGGTGCTTTGCTCTCATGATAATAGCTTGATGAGCCTGAAGATGTTTAAATACAAACTTCTTGTGCTTGACTGTACCGCCTCCTGGAAATGACACTTACTTGTATGCAGATAAATGATCTGGTGATTAGCTTTGACGCCGAGCTCCGCCTCCTGCGACACAACAAGCTGCAGCTGGACGTACGAATGAAAATGGCCGACCTCCGACACGTCACACTTTTTCGAGGAGCTGATGCTACTGAAGGAATATGAGAAGAGAGAAGACATTCTGCAGGAGAGGGTCAGCGACCGAGTCTCTGAGCTGGAAGAGATGAAGGTGAGTAGAAGGTGAAGGCTGACCACACTGGTTATACTGAGCTAAGGTCAGCCTAAGACCAGCCAGGCAGGTGAACACTAACCACACTGGTTGTACAGAGCTAAGGTCAACCATAGTGGTGAACACTGACCACACTAGTTATACTGAGCTAAGGTCAACCATAGTGGTGAACACACTGGTTATACAAAGCTAGGATCAGCCTAAGACTTGCCAGGCAGGTAAACACTGACCACACTGGTTGTACAGAGTTAAGGTCAACCATAGTGGTGAACACTGACCACACTGGTTATACTGAGCTAAGGTCAACCATAGTGGTGAACACTGACCACACTGGTTATACAAAGCTAAGATCAGCCTAAGACCAGCCAGGAAGGTGAACACTGACCACACTGGTTATACAAAGCTGATAGCTTAAGACCAGCCAGGAAGGTGAACACTGACCGCACTGGTTGCACAGAGCTAAGGTCAACCATAGTGGTGAACACTGACCACACTGGTTGCAGAGCTAAGGTCAACCATAGTGGTGAACACTGACCACACTGGTTATACAGAGCTAAGGTCCGCCAGGAAGGTGAACACTGACCGCACTGTTTATACTGAGCGAAGGTCAGGCAGGAAGGTGAACACTGACCACACTGGTTATACTGTGCTAAGACCAGCCAGATACGGGAACAGATTTCTTGTCTCTGGACATTCGACATTGTCTATGAACTTTCTTTGGTTTCTCCATAGAGGAAGTCTGAGGATTATCTACAGCAGTTGGAGACTAAGAAGAAGGACATTGTGAAGCTCCAGGAGAAAGAGAAGACCTTACATGGCACTTTCCAGACCTCGCTGGGCGAGAACAACAAATTTGCCACTTTTCTCACCAAAGTCTTTAAGAAGAAAATGAAACGCACCAAGAAGAAGGAGGTGACGGGGGATGAAGGTTTGTATGGGTGTCGGCTCTTTATGGGATCAACAAGATTCATTGCCAGATTGGTGAAGTCACGACTTCCAGAGCTAGGATCTAGAACAGGGGTGGGCAAACATTTTGACTTGAGGGCCGCAATGGGTTCATATATTGGACCCGGGGGCCGGACCAAGAGTAGATGAATGATGTGTATGTGTCATCCATAGTAAGTATAGTAATATTCCCCCATAGTAAGCATAGTAATTAATCCCCCATATAGTAATTAATCCCCCATATAGTAATTCATACCCCATAGTAATTCATCCCCCATAGTAATTCATCCCCCATATAGTAATTAATCCCCCATATAGTAATTCATCCCCCATAGTAATTCATCCCCCATAGTTATTCATCCCCCATATAGTAATTCATCCCCCATATAGTAATTCATCCCCCCTATAGTAATTCATCCCCCATATAGTAATTCATTCCCCCTATTAATTCATCCCTCATATAGTATTTCATCCCCCATATAGTAATTCATCCCCCATATAGTAATTCATCCCCCATATAGTAATTCATCCCCCCTATAGTAATTCATCCCCCATAGTTATTCATCCCCCATATAGTAATTCATCCCCCATATAGTAATTCATCCCCCCTATAGTAATTCATCCCCCATATAGTAATTCATCCCCCATATAGTAATTCATCCCCCCTATAGTAATTCATCCCCCATATAGTAATTCATTCCCCCTATTAATTCATCCCTCATATAGTATTTCATCCCCCATATAGTATTTCATCCCCCATATAGTAATTCATCCCCCATAGTAATTCATCCCCCATAGTAATTCATCCCCCATAGTAATTCATCCCCCATATAGTAATTCATCCCCCCTATAGTAATTCATCCCTCATATAGTATTTCATCCCCCATATAGTAATTCATCCCCCATATTAATTCATCCCTCACAGTACTATTCCCCCCCAAGTAGTAAGCCAAGTCCCCCCTGTGTTAATTCACTTACCTTTGCTCCGCGCGTTCCTCTCGCCGTGTTCCCGCGCCATTCCGGTCTTCAGGGCGGACTGTGAGAGGAGCCTAGCTCCCCTCACGTTCGTCACGCTGCCCCGCCTACACACATCCTGACAGCCATCCTGACAGTATCACGCTCCACGGGCCGGATTAAAAGGTCCGCCGGGCCGTAGTTTGCCCATTGCTGATCTAGAACATCGGTGTCCAAACTTTCTAAACAAAAGGCCAGTTTACTGTCCCTCAGACTTTAGTGGGCTGAGCGTGGCCAGTGGGAGTAGAAAATACATCAGGATTTGTGGTGGGAGTAAAAAAAAAAGACATCCCACCTGTGTGGAGGAGAAAAATGCTCCATCATTGGTGTCAATGACAGAAATAGTGCCTTGTTGTTGGTGTCAGTGTCAGGAACAGTGCCCCATCGTTGGTGTCAGTGGAAGAATTATTGCCCAGTCACTGGTGTACATATGAGTTGATGTCAGTGGGAGGAATACTGCCTCATAGTTGGTGTCAGTTGGAGGAATAATAGTACCCCATTATTGGTGTCAGTGGGAGGAATAGTGCCCCATCATTGGTGTCAGTGAATGAAATGCTGCCTCATAGTTGGTGTCAGTTAGAGGAACATTGCCCCGATTTGGTGTCACTGTGAGAACTATTCCCCCATCATTAGTGTCAGTGAGAGGAATAGTGCGCCATAGTTGGTGTTAGTTGGAGGAATAGTGTCTGATCATTGGTGTCAGTGGGAGGAATAGTGCCCCGTTGGTGTCAGTGGGAGGAGTAATGACTTATTGTTGGTATCAGTGAGAGGAATAGTGCTCTGTTTTTGGTTTCAGTGGGAGGAATAGTCCCCCATCATTGGTGTCAGTGAATGAAATGCTGCCTCATAGTTGGTGTTGGTTGGGGGAATGTTGTCCTATCATTGGTGTCAGTGAGAGGAATACTGCTTCATAGTTGGTGTCAGTTGGAGGAATAGTGTCTAATCATTGGTGTCAGTGGAGGAATTGTGCCCCATTGTTGGTGTCAGTGGGAGGAATACTGCGCCATAGTTGGTGTTAGTTGGAGGAATAGTGTCTGATCATTGGTGTCAGTGGGAGGAATAGTGCCCCGTTGGTGTCAGTGGGAGGAGTAATGACCCGTTGGTGTCAGTGGGAGGAGTAATGACTTATTGTTGGTATCAGTGAGAGGAATAGTGCTCTGTTTTTGGTTTCAGTGGGAGGAATAGTCCCCCATCATTGGTGTCAGTGAATGAAATGCTGCCTCATAGTTGGTGTTGGTTGGGGGAATGTTGTCCTATCATTGGTGTCAGTGAGAGGAATACTGCTTCATAGTTGGTGTCAGTTGGAGGAATAGTGTCTAATCATTGGTGTCAGTGGAGGAATTGTGCCCCATTGTTGGTGTCAGTGGGAGGAATAGTACCCCATTGTTGGTGTCAGTGGGAGGAGTAATGCCCCATTGTTAGTTTCAGTGGGAGGAATAGTTCCCCATCATCAGTGTCAGTGGGAGGAATAGTCCCCCATCATTGGTATCAGTGGGAGGAATAGTGCCCCATCATTGGTGTCAGTGGGAGGAATAGTCCCCCATCATTGGTATCAGTGGGAGGAATAGTCCCCCATCATTGGTGTCAGTGGGAGGAATCGTCCCCCATCATTGGTATCAGTGGGAGGAATAGTGCCCCATCATTGGTGTCCGTGAATGAAATGATGCATCATAGTTGGTGTCTGTTAGAGGAACATTGCCCAATCATTGGTGTCACTGTGAGAAATATTCCCTCATCATTGGTGTCAGTGAGAGGAATACTGTGCCATAGTTGGTGTCAGTTGGAGGAATAGTGTCTGATCAGTGGGAGGAACCGTGCCCTCTTGGTGTCCCTGTGCAGAATAGTACCCCATTGTTGGTGTCAGTGGGAGGAGTAATGTTCCATTGTTGGTGTCAGTGAGAGGAATAGTCCCCCATCATTGGTATCAGTGAGAGGAATAGTCCCCCATCATTGGTGTCAGTGAGAGGAATAGTCCCCCATCATTGGTGTCAGTGAATGAAATGCTGCCTCATAGTTGGTGCCGGTTGGAGAAATATTGCCACTATGAGGAATATTGTCCAGGTTCACATCGAAGCGTTTTCTGCCACGTTTTGCCGAAATGCAGTACAGTTCATTTAACGTGATTTCCTATGGGACAGGTTCACATCTCTGCTTGTTCACCCTGTGCATTTTTTTGAGAGGGTCAGGGACTTTTTAAAACGCAAAACATTGCGTTTTTGGTTCTATAGACCTCAGTGGAGACGCGCTTTAACCACTTCAATACAGGGCACTTTCCCCCCCTTCCTGTCCAGGCCAGTTTTCAGCTTTCAGCACTGTCGCACTTTGAATGACAATCACGCGGTCATGCAACACTGTACCCATATGAAATTTTTTACATTTTTTTCACACAAATCTTTTGACGGTATTTAATCACCACTGAGTTTTTTTTTTTTTATTTTTTGCTAAATGAAACAAAAAATACCTGAAACGTTTGAAAAAAAAAAAAAAAAACCCGCATTTTTCTTCGTTTTCTGTTATAGAATTTTGCAAAAAAAATAACATTTCCTCATACATTTAGGTCAAAATGTATTCTGCTACATTTCTTTGGTGAAAATAATAATAATTGAATTTGTATTTTTTTTTTTTTCAAATGTTGCTTTTTTTTTATTTTTTATTAAAGTTTTTCTTTTTTTACTATTTTATTTTTCAGCACACTGTGACCAAAGCAATACACAGTAACACTGAACTACTCTGGGCAAGGGATCAGGAATTTGTATTTTTTTTATTTTTAACACATTATGATTGCTAATACCGATGTATTTCATTAATATTTGCAATCATTGTTACTGAATGAAACTGATTCATTCAGTCTTTTGTTGTGATTAGCTGTGATTGGGCAAAGCTGATCACATGATACAGATGGGCTGTGATTGGCCCTGTCTGTATCATGTGACTGCCTTGACCAGTCACAGCTAACAATGTAATTGTATACAATGGATGGCATGACAGGAAGCCATCAATTGTATACAATCGACATGTGATCTGCTGTGATTGGTCACAGTGGTCACATGACACTGGCAACGGGCCGGTGTAATGATATGTCATTGGCAGGGGCGGACTGACAACTCATGGGGCCCCCAGGCAATAGGGGATCATGGGGCCCCTGTGTCCTTGCCCAAATTCAAAAAAGCCTATGAAAAAAAAGGTACCAGGGGCATCTCATGGGGCCCCCTACTGACCCGGGCCCTCGGGCAGCGCCCGAGTTTCCCAAATGGTCAGTCCGCCCCCTGGTCATTGGCTGTGTCCACAGGTCACAGATCGGTGACAGATCATGACACTGCGTGGCCCCGCGCCCACGTGAGCGTCTTGTTTTAACGGGATGTCATATGACCACTAGCACACCTCCCCAAATTCCCCCTCCTAAAACAATTCTTATCCCCTGCTGCCCCCCCCCCCCCAATTCCCCCTCCCAACACAATTCCCCTCCCCCATTCACCCACCCTAGCACAATCCCCCCCAGTTTCCCCTCCTAGCACACATACCCCCCAATCATCCCTACTAGTAACCCCCTCCCCCCCCCCCACAATAAAAAAAAATCCCCCTCTCAGCACAAATCCCAACCACACACCTTTACCATATCACTTTTTCTAGCACAAACCCCTCCAAATCCCCCCTCTTCCTCCTAGCACAAATCCTCTTCCCCCCTCCCAACACAAATTCCCCCAAATCACCACTCTTGGCACACCTCCCCAAACTCCCCCTGCTAAAGCAATTCTTATCCCCAGCTGCCCCCCCCCCCCCCAAATTCCCCCTCCCAACATAATTCCCCTCCCCCAATCACCCACCCAGCACAATTCCCCCCCAATCAATCACCCACCCAGCACAATTCCCCTCCCCCCCCCTTCCCCCCCAATTTCCCCTCCTAGCACAAATACCCCCCAATCAATCATCCCTACTAATACAAATCCCCCCCTCATAATAAAAATGCCCCTCTTAGCACAAATCCCATCCCGCCCTTTACCATAGCACCTTTTCTAGCACAACCCCCCAAATCCCCCCTCCGAGCACAAATCCTCTTCCCCCCTCCCAACACAAATCCCCCCAAATCACCTTTCTTGGCACACAACCCCAAATTACCCCTCCTAAAACAATCGTTATCCCCTGCTGCCCCCCCCCCCCCCCCCCAATTCCCCCTCCCAACACAATTCCCCTCCCCCAATCACCCACCCTAGCACAATCCCCCCCCCCCCCCCCCAATTTCCCCTCCTAGCACAATTACCCCACAATCATCCCTACTAGTACAACCCCCCCCCAATAAAAAAAATCCCACTCTCAGCAAAAATCCCCCACCCCCACACACCTTTACCATATCACTTTTTCTAGCACAAACCCCCCAAATCCCCCCCCAGCACAAATCCTCTTCCCCCCTCCCAACACAAATCCCCCCAAATCACCACTCTTGGCACACCTCTCTAAACTCCCCCTGCTAAAACAATTCATACCTCCGGCAGCCACCCCCCCCCCGCCCCCCAATTCCCCCTTCCAACAAAATTCCCCTCCCCCAATCACCCACGCAGCACATCTCCTCCCCCCCCCTCCCAACACAAATCCCCCCAAATCACCGTCTTAGCACACCTCCCCAAATTTCCCCTCCTAAAACATTTCTTATCCCCTCCCCCCAATCTCCTCCTGGTGCCCCCACCCCCCACCTCACATGATACCACAGTGCCCAGCCCTTGCCCCGGCCCTGCTACCCTTTGCTGATGAGCAGTACATTTTGGCAAACTTGATTTCACAGCAAAAATGCCTTTTCACTGACATTGGATTCCTTCAGCGTGCTTCCATTTGCCGAGCTCCACCTAAAACATCTTGCTGTGTGTAATGTTGGGAAGTATCTGCCCCCCCCCCTCCCCAACCAAGCTTACATGTCTCTGTGTGACCCCATTAGAGGAATTTATTCCAGTCCTACAAGGACAGTCAGGGCTGAACTGGGATCTGGGCTCTCTGACTATATATTGTGGGTGTCAGTGGCCCCCTAGTGGACTCTATAGGAATATATAGGGAATGCACTCCTGAGAGGGAACCCAGATGTTCTGATGTGATCGTGTTCTGTATGTGAGCCCAGCACAACTTTCCTTTATCTTCGGATTAACATATACTTTGTTTAATGTTTAGAAGAGGACGAGGACAGTGATGAGGAGTCTGATGAGGAGTCAACGTATGAAAGTGACGAGGAGGAATCGGATTCAGAGGACGGTGTCTTTGATGATTCAGTTTGTCCTGACAGTGAGTCCTTTCTGTCTCTCCACTTTTTAAAAAGGGGGCTAATAAATTGGGGCCCCTACCAGCCTGCCCCAATTTACACTCCTACTCTTAAGGATTAAAGTATAAATACTTGATAGAATTAAACATATATTTATTACTACTTTCATTAAAATTGATTTTAAACAGTAAGAAAACATGCCATAAATCAAAGACTAATCAACACAAAGGGCACAGTAGGGGGGGGGGGGGGGATCAGGAGGGCACAGTACTGGGATCAGGAGGGCACAGTACTGGGATCAGGAGGGCACAGTACTGGGATCAGGAGGGCACAGTACTGGGATCAGGAGGGCACAGTACTGGGATCAGGAGGGCACCGTACTGGAATTAGGGGGGCACCGTACTGGGATCAGGAGGGCACAGTACTGGGATCAGAAGGGCACAGTACTGGGATCAGAAGGGCACAGTACTGGGATCAGGAGGGTACAATACTGGGGTCAGGAGGACACAGTACTGGGATTAGGAGGGCACAGTACTGGGATCAGGAGGGCACAGTACTGGGATCAGGAGGACACAGTACTGGGATCAGGAAGGCACAGTACTGGGATCAGGAAGGCACAGTACTGGGATCAGGAAGGCACAGTACTGGGATCAGGAAGGCACAGTACTGGGATCAGGAAGGCACAGTACTGGGATCAGGAAGGCACAGTACTGGGATCAGGAAGGCACAGTACTGGGATCAGGAAGGCACAGTACTGGGATCAGGAGGGCACAGTACTGGGATCAGGAGGGCACAGTACTGGGATCAGGAGGGCACAGTACTGGGATCAGGAGGGCACAGTACTGGGATCAGGAAGGCACAGTACTGGGATCAGGAAGGCACAGTACTGGGATCAGGGGGTCACAGTACTGGGATCAGGGGGTCACAGTACTGGGATCAGGGGGGCACAGTATTGGGATCAGGAGGGCACCATACAGGTTCTAGGATGCTGCCTGGGACACGGCCATCCCGGGACAACAGTTTAGTAAATTTGATTTTTAACAATACGAAAATATGCCATAAATCAAAGACTAATCAGCAAAAAGGGCACAGTATGGGGGGGATGGGGGGGCATCAGGAAGGCACAGTACTGGGATTAGGGGGGCACAGTACTGGGATTAGGAGGGCACAGTACTGGAATTAGGGGGGCACAGTACTGGGATTAGGAGGGCACAGTACTGGGATTAGGAGGGCACAGTACTGGGATCAGGGTGGCACAGTACTGGGATCAGGAGGGCACAGTACTGGGATCAAGAGGGCACAGTACTGGGATCAGGAGGGCACAGTACTGGGATCAGGAGGGCACAGTACTGGGATCAGGAGGGCACAGTACTGGGATCAGGAGGGCACAGTACTGGGATCCGGGGGGGCTTGGTACTGGGATCCAGGGGGACACGGTACTGGGATTAGGAGGGCACGGTACTGGGATTAGGAGGGCACGGTACTGGAATTAGGGGGGCACGGTACTGGGATCAGGAGGGCACAGTACTGGGATCAGGGGGGCACAGTACTGGGATCAGGATGGCACAGTACTGGGATCAGGAGATCCCAGTACTAGGATCAGGGGGGCACAGTACTGGGATCAGGGGGGCACAGTACTGGGATCAGGAGGGCACAGTACTGGGATCAGGAGATCCCAGTACTAGGATCAGGGGGGCACAGTACTGGGATCAGGAGGGTACAGTACTGGGATTAGGAGGGCAGAGTATTGGGATCAGGAGGGCACCATACAGGTTACGGGATGCTGCCTGGGACACGGCCACCTCGGGACAGTTTTGTAAAAAGCATGACTGTCCCAGCAAATCCAGGACAGTTGGCAAGTATGATGTAATGCAAGATTATCATGTGGCCCCCATGCATCTAGGGCCCCTGGGCAGTGCCCGTGCATTAAGATGGCCCTGCTTGTCAGTTCTTTGTGTAAATTTATACTCCGCTTTCAGTGAAGGTTTAAAAAACACACCCGGTTGAACTTCTTGCTGGCCAGTGATGGACTCACCAAAGAGCCCCTTTGCAGGACCAATTTTTGAACCCCTCCTCCATTCTACTAGTGGCCAAGTAAAAAGAAATTAATTGTGTATAAATTAACAGTGAAAAAGTGAAGTCCAGGCCCAGTTGGCAGTCTTAGTTGTCCCGGCACCCACCTTATTGACATCTATTATATATAAGCCCTTTAAGTCCCAGAGAGCCCTAATGCAGCTGCTCTGTTGGTATGTCTTCCATGCTCCTGGACCACCACGCAGTACTGGCAGAACATTGTACACCAGCAGGGCTCCTTCTACAAAGATGCAAGAAGGGCATTTCCTTCAGCCCACCAAGAGAATTCTCATGGCTGTACATTGGGATGCATTTGTGGCAATTTCAATTCCTAAAAAGAAAAAAAAAAGAAAAAAGGTCACTCAGAAAGGAAGAGTCTCCAGCAATCTGCCATCCACCTTTTCGATCATTTCCTAATTTAAAGTGATCAAAACTGCAGTAAATTCATTTAAAATGACCAAAATAATCATGAAAAAGCTCTTACACTTCTGTTTATCAGATTGTTAGAGACCCGATTCAATGTACATGACTGTATGTCCAAAATTTGAGAGCTATGAAAAAAGTATAAAAAAAAAATCTACATCTTCTAGACAGGTTTTTTTTTTAACATAACTTTATTACCCACATATTTATAAACAAAAGTATAAAATCAAACTCGTTGAAATAGTACAGCACTCAAAATATACAGAGTGATGCATGTAACTATCCTATCACCTACTCTGCTCACTTTTAGGCGATCTCTAAAAACCGATCTCTTCAGGGAAGCCTATCCTGCCCTCACTAATAATGGAATCTTCTACTCTTCCTACCAGTCCATCCCCCACAGTTACTACCTTTTGTACCACTAGCCCCTCCCTCCTAGATTGTAAGCTCCCAGGATCAGGGCCCTCCTATCCCTCTTGTATTGAACTGTATTGTTGCTGTATTGTCTCCCGTTATATTGTAAAGCGCTGAGCAAACTGTTGGCGCCATAAATCCTGTATAATAATAATAATATAAATCCTGTATAATAATAATAATAATAAAATCCTGTATAATAATAATAATATAAATCCTGTATAATAATAATAATAATATAAATCCTGTATAACAATAACAATAATAATAATATAATAACTGGAGTAATAAAGTTTTTACCATTTTATATCAATTGACACACCAAAGTGACTCCTACAGTGAAGGAAATGCGTATTTGCTCCCCTGCTGTTGTTGAATGTTTGCCCACTCACAAAGCAATGATCGGTCTAAACATCGAATGTTCGGTGTATTGTAACACTGAGAGACAGAATAGCAACAACAAATTCAGCAGAAATGCGTCTAACAAATGATGACTGATCTGCATGTTCATGAGGGAAAGAAGGATTTGATCCCCTTCACAAAACATGACTTAGTACTTGGTGGCAAATCCCTTGTTGGCAATCACAGAGGTCAGACGTTTCCTGGAGTTGGCCCCCAGGTTCGCACACATCTCAGGAGGGATTTTGGCCCACTCCTCTTGGCAGATCCTCTCCAAGTCATTAAGGTTTGGTGGCTGACGTTTGGCAACTCGAACTTTCAGCTCCCTCCACAGATTTTCAATCAGATTAAGGTCTGGAGACTGGCTAGGCCACTCCAGGACCTTAATGTGCTTCTTGAGCCCCTCCTTTGTTGCCTTGGCCGTGTGTTTTGGGTCATTGTCATGCTGGAACACCCATCCACCACCCATTTTCAATGCCTTGGCTGAGGGAAGAAGGTTCTCACCCAAGATTTGATGGTACATTGCCCCATCCATCGTCCCTTTGATGCGGTGCAGTTGTCCTGTCCCCTTAGCAGAAAAACACCCCCAAAGCAAAATGTTTCCACCACCATGTTTCACAGTTGGGATGGTTTTCTTGGGGTCATAGGCAGCATTCCCTCCTCCTCCAAACACTGCGAGTTGAGTTGATGCCAAAGACCTGGATTTTGGTCTCATCTGACCACAACACTTCCCACCAGTCCTCCTCTGCATCATTCCCTTCCTCCTCCCTATGACATAATTGCTAATTTTTTTTTTCCCTTTTACAAATACCTTTTTGTTGTAGGCTCAACAATCTTCTGTGTTTCTCACCCAGGAAATGGTGGCTTGGCCCTTCTTTGCCCTCAGCCTCCTGGGCATCATGTCACATATTCCATAAGGCTGCAGGGCCAAAGGTTGTACTTTCCTGGAGTACCAGGCCATGCCATATTTTTCTAAAAGTCTGTTGGGGTGGAAATGGGGAACAGCCAAACATAACAAGCATTTTTAATGACCGTGATTCAGAGAAGTGAAAGAGGGAGAGGGTAGCTAACACACTAGGTGACTCCCAATGCCAGTCCTGGAAGGATAGGTACTCCATACTATAACTATCTTCAAAACCATGTCAAGTGTTTTCTATTGTTTTTTCGAGTCGGCCATGTTTATTTCTTCATCGTTTTTTTCTCTTGTGTACAGATTGCGACCCCCAACTGTTTGACAACACCTTGCAACTGCGAGAAAAGCGCCTGGACATTGAGGAGGCCCTAGCAGAAGAAAAGAAACTTGTTGATAATCTGAAGAAAGAATACGACACACTGGCCAAAAAGGTGGTTTATGAAGACTGTGATATGACCGAGCAACATTCATACTTTTATGTTTTATACCAAACTTAGCTGCATTTATCAAATGTGTCCAGCAAATCATATACCCTAAATGGGAACATATGTCATGTAATGCTATCACAGCCTTTCTCAACCAGGGTTCCTCTGGAACTTGCTAGGGGTTCCTTGAGAAATGAGTAATTTCTGCCTCTCAGATTATTATCATTGACACTAAAGATCTTTTTAGCTATCTGTAAGGGGAACATTCTTCCCATTGACCATCAATGTAAGGGACATTCTTCCCATTGACCACCAATGTAAGGAGCATTCTTCCCACTGATCACCAATGTAAGGGACATTCTTCCCACTGATCACCAATGTAAGGAGCATTCTTCCCACTGATCACTAATATGAGACATTCTTCTCACTAACCACCAATGTTAGGAACACTATTCCCACAGGACATCAATTTATGGAAAATTGTTCCTACTGATCACCAATGTAAGGAACATTTTTTCCCATTGACCACCAATGTAATGAGTGTTCTTTCCTCTGATCACTGACCACCAATGTAAGAATTCTTCCTACAGACCACCAATGTAAGGGGCATTCTCCCCACTGGCCACAAATGTAAGGAGCATTTTTCCCACTGATTACTAATGTAAGGATAATTTTTCCCACTGATCACCAATGTAAGGAGCATTTTTCCCACTGATCACCAATGTAAGGGACATTCTTCCCACTGACACCAATGTAAGGGACATTCTTCTCACTGACCACCAATGTAAGGGACATTCTTCCCACTGATTACCAATATAAGGAGCATTTTTTCCCACTGATTCCCATTGGCCACTAATGCAAGGAACATTTTTCCCACTGACTGCCAATGTAAGGAGCATTTTTCCCACTGATCACCAATGTAAGGAGCATTTTTTCCCAATGACCACCATTGTAAGGGACATTCTTCCCACTGACCTCCAATGTAAGGAGCATTCTTCCCACTGATCACCAATGTAAGGGACATTTTTCCCAAAGACCACCATTGTAAGGGACATTTTTCCCAGTGATTACCAATGTAAGGAGCATTCTTCCCACCGACCGTTTAATGTAAGGATCATTCTTCCCACTGATTACCAATATAAGGATCATTCTTCCCACCGACCATTAATGTAAGGATCATTCTTCCTACTGACTATCATGGCAATGTACTGTAAACTGTATATATGGTCATTATTAGTAGAGGTTCCTTAAAACCAGAAGAAAAATTCAAGGGTTCCTCTGGGTTAAAAAGGTTGAGAAAGGCTGCACTATATGACCAAAAGTTCTGAAGTGCAGTGGAAAGGAGATCCGTGAGTAGATTTGTTGGGATCCCCAGCCACCAGTGTATACCATACACACTTTCTGACCGCTTGATTTGTGGTCATTCTTGATTGTAAGCTCCCAGGATCAGGGCCCTCCTATCCCTCTTGTATTGAACTGTATTGTTGCTGTATTGTCTCCCGTTATATTGTAAAGCGCTCAGCAAACTGTTGGCGCCATAAATCCTGTATAATAATAATAATATAAATCCTGTATAATAATAATAATATAAATCCTGTATAATAATAATAATAATATAAATCCTGTATAATAATAATAATAATATAAAATCCTGTATTATAATAATAATAATATAAATCCTGTATAATAATATAAATCCTGTATTATAATAATAATAATATAAATCCTGTATAATAATATAAATCCTGTATAAATAATATAAATCCTGTATAATAATAATAATAATATAAATCCTGTAATAATAATAATAATATAAATCCTGTATAATAATAATAATATAAATCCTGTATAATAATAATAATAATATAAATCCTGTATAATAATAATATAAATCCTGTATAATAATAATTGTTTCTGGTAAGAGTTGGTTAATGGTGGAGGATTCCTACCTTTTCAAGCCCATTTACCTCTTCCGGCATGAATTTTTGGGTATTTCCAGCTGCACCATATAGACTTTTTCTGAGGACTGCACCTTATAACGCTTGCACTTTATGTTCTGACATTTTAGTTATTGCCTTTGGGGATATATCCTCTTTTAACATATTGAATATTTGGTAAGTAGCGCTTCATCTAGTTATACATTATTTATTGTTTCAACATATACCAAAACCAGCGCTCAGATCTTCATGCTACACAGAAAACACGGAATCTGTCACTCGCTGAGGTGCAGTCCTCAATAGATCGGGGGATCTTGATGTTGGCAAAAAAGAATAAAACAGGGCGCACTCTCCTCGTGCATTACTGTGATAAATAGGAAATTTATTAAAAAATCACAAATGCATAATCACAAACCAAAAAGGTCATAAAAACAGAGACAAGGAGCCAAAGATGACGGTCCCAGACAGCTGGGGTCCTTTGGTGAAATGTGCTAACCAGGGGCGGACTGACAATTCATGGGGCCCCCGGACAATAGGGGTTAATGGGGCCCCTGTGTCCTTGCCCACACTCAAAACCCCCCCAAAAAAAGCCTATAAAAGGTACCAGGGGCATTTCATGGGGCCCCCTACTGACCCCAGGCCCTCGGGCAGTGCCCGAGTGCTCGAATGGTCAGTCCGCACCTGATGCTAACATGTTTCAAGAGTCGAACTCCCTTCCTCAGAGCTCTTGTTGATTGTTTGTTGCCAACATTCTTGTTCACTGCTTTTTACCAGTCATGTTGCTGCTAGCGCAGATTGTTTCTGTGTATAATGTGGAGTCTTTTTCGTTGTCAGGTGAAAATAGTCGATGTGAATCTGATGTCGGCGATGACGGAGCTTGAGGCATTCCAAAGGGAGAAGCAGCAGAAGCTCAATGAGCTGCATGTTGTTGTTCCCTTAAAGCTACACCAGGTACAGTATTGCCCGCTCCCATGTCGCTCCCTAGCACAATAGGGCCCAATGTAGTCCAGTAAAAAATTGTTCTACATTAATACCCCAGTCACACCGGGTGCGACTTGCCATGCGATTTGCTGTGCCATGCGAGTTGCAAATCACATGGCGAGTTTCACCCTATTGTCCGCAATTAAAGTGGTTGGTTGTCCAATTGTTCTGCATTAACACCCCGGTCACACCAGGTACGACTTGCCATGCGTTTTGCCATACCATGCGATTTGCAAATCACATGGCGAGTTGCACCCTATTGTCCGCAATTAAAGTGGTCATATCAGTACGATTCCGACTTGGTTGGAGCTGCTCCGATTTCCGACTACTTCAAGTGCTACTTGCATAGACATCTAGGCAGCTGTCTTGCAAATTGCACCTCAAGACAGAATTACATCCGACTTTGAAATTGTGCGACTTCACTGGAAGTCGCACGATTTCAAAGTCGGATTGGTGTGACCGGGGGGGGGTTAAGGGCCAGTTCACACCCCAAAAATGCACTCCGGATGCGTTCTGGATTTATTTTGCTTACAGTTCACACCACACTCCGTTCCGGTGCAGTTTTGATGTATTTCCAGAACAGTTATTTGCAAAAAAATGCAGCATGGTCTACTTTTTTTCTGCACCGGAAACTGACTGGAACTGACTGCACTAGTGTCAACTAGGGCCATTGGAATACATGGAAAACACTGTGCATGCATGGAAAAAAAAAAAACCCACTGGACTGCATCTGGTGTGAACTGGCCCTATGAGGACCTGTACTGTGGTATCTGCAGAGGACAAAGAACGAGTCATGAATATTGCTTGTAGTCTCCTTGCAGCGGATCTTTTCCTCATTACTGTCTTACAAAGCCTTTCTCTGTGACTCTGTGTGGAGATGACCATTTTGGTAGAGGCAGGGCTTTGCTTCCTCACGTCAGAGCTGCCCCCCTAAAGACTCATGGTCTGATGACTGGTGGGGTAATGAAAGAGATGGCGGGAAGCACGTATCCTCAGAATGAATGAAGCAGGAGCAGGGAGATTCTTGCACTGCAGTTGCTCAGGTACAGCTTCCTCTCCAGCAAGGAGAACAGTAAGCAGAACAGTAGTGACATTACCAAATCTGAGGAGACTAGCAATCAGAGGCAGCAGCACCTTAGATGTTCTAACACTGCAGACACAGCTATGGGACTATAGAACAGGAGTGCCTAGGCACAAGATGTGCATATCTATTTCTTCAGAAGGAATGGAAGACAAAAGGTAAATCTTTCACAGTACTGCTTAGGCATGATTAATATTTCTAAATGTTCCCTATAAGACAGCAAATATTCACTTTTTGAGTTCAGCTCCACTTTAAAGGGGCACTGATACTCCAAATGTAGGTGGTGCCTTGTGAGCTCAATCACCTTGAGTTTTCTTTGTTGTTCAGTTTTTGTTTTTTTTTTCGCTTTTTTTTACAGCATTGTAGGCAGGTTATAATACTGTCTTGTATATTATAGAGAATACAGAAAAATAATGATACATTTTGTTGAGCAACCGTGTTTTATCTCATATAAAGAGTGTATCTGACAAGTGTAATATAAGAATGCGTTTGTACCTGCAAGGCAACCAAACAAGGGTGAACCTGAGAACAGGAGGGGCAATGGAAAGGCAATGTGTGGGTATGTGGGGGGAATCTTGGTGGTTTAGGGCAGTGGGATGGACCACCATGGGGTTCTGTGACCTATGGTAGGTGTTAGGTTGTAAAGAGGTTTCAGGAAAGAAGAATCAAAGCCAGGTGGAAGATATTTGTCTATCCAGGACTGCCATACTTTAGTGTGCTTAGGAATCCTATCTTGTAGCATGGCCTTCATTTTTTCATGTATCATTACTTGATGAACACTTGGGACTTTTCTAGGTCTTGACTATAGTTTGGTTGTAGTAGTAACTTGTAGTAGAAGCCTAAATTGTGTGCAGGTGATGTCAGGTGGACGCCTATTGAGAAGTGCTGTGGTTGAGTCCAGGGAGATAGTGGAACCAAGAAGATTCCAAAAAGATTGGCCAGGCATGTCCATCAGATGTGCAAGTAGGTGTCTACATTTTTGCAGCCCCCAAAGCAGGAGGGGCATATTTGTCTATCCTGGCCAGGACTAGGTACCATTGGGATAATATGTTGTAGTTTGTTTGCAGGGCTGCCAAATTTTGGGAACAGGACTTTGTGGTGACACAGATTTGACACCACTCATCAGGTTCAATGGCAACACCGAGGTCACGGCCCATTTTTTAGTATAAGAAGGGGATGAGGTGTAAGTTTGGTAATCATTGTTGGGTAAAGCATTGAAATTAGGCCTGGAGAATGGGGGTTTTAGAACATTTGTGTTCAAAACATGAGAATTGGTCTACAGAGGCTTGGGTTGGGATGGTACTTGCACAGCAGTGTTTGACTTGTACTGTAAATATTTCAGACTGCCGGAGTTTGGCACTGCTGCCATCTTGATTTTTTTTTCCCCCAAACTCTTTTTATGCCAGGCGCTGCCATCTTTTTCTTTTTTTTTTTTTAATGCAAACTCTTTTTATGCTGAGCTCTTCCAAGTACATCTAACCATCCCTGCCAAAACAACTCAAACTTACGGATGGCATTGCGGTGGCGGTAAGTAAGTTCCCTAATAGTAAAGAATTAACATATTCTATCCATTGTTTACATGCCGGAGAGGTAGGTGACCTCAAATATTTGGCAATATGTCTCCTAGCAAGGTATAACAGTCGAGAGACCATGATGTAAATTCCTGGGTGACATAGTTCAGCATCATGTGCTCCCAGTAAACATATCAAAGGATCTAAAAGTACAGTAGTTTGAGCAACTTATGAGATGGTTTGCAGGACCTTGGTCCAATATCTGGTGAGTTTTGGGCAGCGCCATATCATGTGGATAAAGTCCTTTCTATATAACTTGCATTTAGGGCAGATAGGTATCTTACCATACCTAAACAACTTCTCAGAGGTTTTGTAGACTCTGTGGGGTATAAACAGTTAGGTAAAGTAATGAGATGCTCAAAATGAGATTATGGGTATGGACTCTAAGGCCATAGCCCATTATTCGCCACTAATCTCACCCACGTCCTCTGACCATTGTACTCTACTTCTGAGGGGTGTTTCCATCTTGGATGTGATCTTAGCAGCCCCAGTAGACTCAGAGCTGTCACCCAAATCGCACTGTATGGTATTCTCCTTCTCTTTTTCCTGGGGAGGGTCCAAAAGAGCTTGGCCAGCCAGTACCAGGACAGGTTCGTCTAGTGCCTAGGGAAAGGATGTGGAACTGTGCCCCACTCATCCACTGCTAATGCATGACATAGAATGGGTGTATCGCCCTGCGCCCACTCTCTGCCCTCTTTCTTCTGGCTGCCCATGGTTGCCATACAGTCCGAACTGCACATGCATTGTCAATTGTTTGCGTTCTAGCAGTTAGAAAGTAGATGCATGGTGTGACAGCAGATCTGGAGTGTGTAGTAGGGGGGGGCGCCCCCTTTACCACTACACCCTAGGTGGCACCCCTCCTGCCCACCCCTTGTCCTGGCTCTGTGGCCAGCACAGACAGTAACCAGACACTCCCGGAAGAGGAAAGGGCTATGATATGTAAGTAAGAAACAGGTTGTGCTGAGGAAATGACTCTTCCTGGAGTAGTAGTCAAATTACCTAGCAAATTCATAGGCAAAATGTAAGTCAACAAAAATGTTTATGGAATGGAAAATTGCTACAAGTAATCTTTAAAAATGCTTGTTTTCTCTGTGCTTTTATTTGCAACTTTATAAGTTGATGATGGGGTCTCTCTAGTAGACCACCAGCCAAAATGGCCCAGTTATAATGTGTTTGTGTGACTGCACTGGTGGTGTTAGACTGTAAGCTTTTGTGGTGCATGGGCTGAAATGTGAGGTCCATGTTGTGTAATTGTCAGTTCTTTTTACATTAATAAAACAGCGTGCAGTGTATGAACAATTACAGTGGGAGACCAGTATCTTATCTTTTTACAAGTCAACCGTTAATTTAGGGCAGCACAGTGGCTAAATGGTTAGCACTTCCGCCTGGCAGTACTGAGGTCATTGGTTTGAATCCCAGCCATGGCACCACCTGCCTGGAGTTTGCATGTTCTCCCTTTGCCTGTGTGGGTTTCCTCCAACATTCCAAAGACATGCTGGCAGGTTAATTGGTTCCTGTCTAAACTGGCCCTATTATGTGTATGTACAGTTGTGTTAAAAAAAATGGCAGTGTTTGTATTCTTCTTTACAAACTCAAACATTCACTATATAAACTGAGAAATGTTTGAAAATTTTGCTTTCCTTTGAATGACTTCATGAATATTTGGTTGTAGTCGCACTGTTTCTGAGAACTGCTGTATATCTGTGTTGCATGGAGTCACCCAACTTCTGGCCCCTGTGATCAGGTATTCCAGCCCAGGATGATTGGACCACATTCCACAGTTCTTCTCTATTTCTTGGTTTTGCCTCAGAAACGGCATTTTTGATGTCACCCCACAAGTTTTCTATTGGATGAAGATCCGGGGATTGGGCGGGCCACTCCATAACGTCCATCTTGTTGGTCTGGAACCAAGATGTTGCACGTTTACTGGTGTGTTTGGGGTCGTTGTCTTGTTGGAACACCCATTTCAAGGGTATTTCCTCTTCAGCATAAGGCAGCATGACCTCTTCAAGTATTCTGATGTATTCAAACTGATCCATGATCCCTGGTATGTGATAAATAGGCCCAACACCGTAGTATGAGAAACATCCCCATATCATGATGCTTGCACCACCATGCTTCACGGTCTTCACAGTGTACTGTGGCTTGAATTCAGTGTTTGGGGGTCGTCTGACAAACTGTCTCCGCCCACTAGACCCAAAAAGAACAATCTTACTTTCATCAGTCCACAAAATGTTTGCACCATTTCTCTTTAGGCCGGTCAATGTGCTCT